CCATTTCACTCTGATGAGCTGTGAACAGAAAGGGAATAAAGGGGATCTCTTCGTGTTATGAAATTATAAAAGAACAAACTTTAGAGATCTCTTTGATGCTTCCATTGCCTGCTGAGAAAGGCATGGGAGAAAGGGAAATAGTATCTGCATAAAAGTGTAGGATTAAGTTTTGATGTGTTGAACTGGGTATTGATCACTTAAAAATAGAGAGTGCTCTGTTAACTGCAGGTTTTTAGTCCAGACATTGAATTGGAGAGATTTAATACCAACAGTTGATGTTTTAGGGGAGAAATAGTGTACTTATGGTAAAGTGTGGGATTTTTGTAGTGTTCATAATCATCTGTCAGTTTTTAGATTGACTTGTGTGGAATGCAAGGCTGAGCTGACTCGTGACAGCTGTCAGCTGCCTGATAACCTTCAAGCTCCTAGACACACTTGAGGTGATCCCAGTGGCTCTGGCTTGTACCCTGCAGGTGGCCGGTACCATGAAGCTGGAGCTGGCTCAGTACCGGGAGGTCGCTGCCTTTGCCCAGTTCGGCTCTGACCTGGACGCTGCCACACAGCAGCTGCTGAACCGCGGTGTGCGCCTGACAGAGCTGCTCAAGCAGGGCCAGTATGGTGAGTGCCCTGGGCTTGGCAGGTCTGGGTGCCCATTAGTGCCTTGTGCTAACGAGGCTGGGCTTGGTTAGCATTTATTGTGTCTGCTCTGTGTGCATGGTAAATGCAGATTTGCTTGAGCAGAGCTGTCCATGTGCACTTCATCTTCCAAGGACTCTAGTCTGTTGTGTGTGTCCTGATGGAAGAGTTCCCATGGTGTGAGTGCTGTTTTTCCCTGCAGTTCCCATGGCCATTGAGGAGCAGGTGGCAGTCATCTATGCTGGTGTAAGAGGTCACTTGGACAAGCTGGAGCCCAGCAAGATCACAAAATTTGAGAGTGCTTTCCTAGCTCATGTACTGAGCCAGCACCAGTCACTCCTCTCCACAATCAGGTATGGTGGTTTACCTTGATTTATCTCAAGGGTATTGATGTCTGGAGTGCAGATAAAGGTCATTGAACTGTTAATTTAGTGTATCCTAGAACATCAGGCGTTCAGCTGGCAATATCAAAACTGGGGGTTAAATCAGCCTTCCTACCATCCACCTTCTCAGCTTCAGCTCTTAGGAAATGCGTAAAGTGAACCTTCTTGCAATGTGTCTCCTCTAACCTGTTCTGAAATCACTTGATTGACTTAGTTCCCATATGGTGGACAGCTTTGAGCTGTTGGGAGAGCTCTGGGTTAAGTGCTGCTGAGTGAACTGTTGGGGATTGAGTATTTCCACAGTCCTGTCCTGGAAACTGGTCCTGGCATGTCTGTCATGAGGAAAATCATATGCCTTCTGTCTCTGGGGCACAGCTCTGTAGGTTGGGCCTTGTTGGAATGGAACATATGGCCATTCTGAAAGAATTTAGGAACAAATTTCAGTTCTTTAACAGGACTGGCTCTTTTAGGAGAAGGGATATTCTGTGAGTGGGATGGCTTCATGCACCAAACTAAGTGATTCTACTGAATTTGTTAGAAATGGGGAAATTTGTTATAAAGTTCTTATGTTTGTCTTGGGGTTGGCCCTGTTTTGATTGCTGTATCAAGAATTTAACTGAACTCTTCCCACAGGACCGAAGGGAAGATCTCTGACCAGACAGAAGCAAAGCTGAAGGAAATAGTCACAAATTTCCTGGCTACTTTTGAGGCATAAACTCTTAAAACTGTTCTAACAGTTCATAGATCACAGGCTGTTGTGATCCAGTGTTCCAGCTCCATCAAAGGCGAAAGCATGTGCGACTTGAATGTACAGATCTTGGTGAGAATAAAGGTTCCCATGTAAAAAGGCTCTGTTCTGAATGTAAAAGTACCGTGTTCTGAATGATTGTTTTTTGTCTGTACTTCTGGCTCACTCTTGCGCCTGTAGAACCACAGAGCTGAACTCCCGTGGACACAGCTCTGCTGGAGGAACTCTGGAAATCAGGGGTGTCTTCAGTGGTTGGGCAAACTCCCCTGACAGGAACCAGGAATGTGACAGAGCTGAGAGACCTTCTCAGTGTTTGTGCCGGGCAGCTTGTCCTGCAGAAAGGCAGTGCTGCTGGGGAGGCAGCTTGGGCTGTTGTCACAGGGGTAACGCCCATTGGACTTCACAGGAATCTCTTGAACTGCCTGACACTGACAGCACTTCTTGGAGTCACTGTCTGACCCATCCCTTTGGAATACTGCTCCTTGTGACTGAGGACAGCTGCAGGTGTAGCTGTCACAGTAGTAATAGCTACAGATAGAAATCTGAGAATCCCAGAATGGTCTTGGAGAGGACCTTGAAGATCATCTCATTCCACCTCTCTGCCATGGACAGAGACACCTTGTGCTATTCCAGGTTGCTCCAAGCCCTCTCCAGCCTGGCCTTGAGCACTTCCAAGGATGCAGGGGCATCCACAGCTTCTCTGAGCAACCTGTGCCAGGGCCTCACCAGCCTCACAGCCAAGAATTCCTTTCCAATATCCCATCTAACCTTGGCCTCTCTCACTATTAAGCCATTGCTTCTTGTCACTCCAGGCCCATGTAAATAGTCTCTCTCCCTTGTCAACTCCCTTCAGGTACTGGAAGGCTGCAATTAGGTCACCCCAAAGCTGCCTCTTCTGCAGGCTGAACAATCCTGATTCTCTCAGCAGCGGTGCTCCATCCCTTCCATCACCTTGGTGCCTCCTCTGGATTCTCTCCAGCAGCCCCATGTCCTTGTGCTGTTGGAGCCCAGGGCGGGGGGCAGCTCTGCAGGTGGGGTCTCACCTGAGAAGGGCAGACTCCTCCCCTGCCCTGCTGCCCCCATGGTGTGGGATCAGCCCAGGGCAGTGATGGGGGGTTTCAGGGGCAGGGCAGGGCTGCTCTTGATGTGTGCACTGTCCCCAGTTAACTTCCTGAACGGGAGTCTCCTGCCTCCCGGTCCAGGCCTGTGGGGTTACAGGCAGCTGGAAATACTCTGATGCAGTTCAGGCTAACATGCTTCTCTTTTTAATTGCCTGAGTGGTTGAATGAGCTCTGCAGTACGGGGCAAAAATAAGCACACACTTGGAATCCAGAGACCTTTTTGGGAACAGTGCTGTGCTCCAGGAGGAGGGTCTCCTGTGCAGCTCTTTGGTCTTTCACTCTCTTGTTTCTTTTACTCCACAGCCCCAGAAGAGGTGCCTGGGGCACCTCACAGGTGTGAGGGAATACTGTGGAATATTTCTGCTCTGATCTGCCCATCATCACTTGTTCCTTCCAGGACAGCTTTTGCAGCTTGTGACTCTTTCTGCCCAGTGACTAAACCCTGATGCTGCTGTGCCGTGTTTTACTTATATGCTGCTGAAGTTGAAAATCCCTGAACTCAGAGGTGTCTGTCCAAAACTGCACAGAGATGTATTTTTTTCCCAGTAACACAAGATGAATGTTCCAGGGTTCTGATTTCTGCCCTCTCGCTGCTGTGATGCAGGAAGGTGGTAATTTCCTCGTGGAAGCACCATGTACTAAATGCATCCAGTCAGATGAGAGGGAAAGGTTGGTGGATGAAGGTTTTGGAGGATGTAGCACAGGTCCTGAGTAGTGCCATGGGCTGCCCTAGCTGGGAAATGGTGAGTGGATCATAGAATCAGTGGTTTGGTTTGAAAGGGACCTTAAAGATCATCTATGTCCACACCCTGCTGTGGGCAGGACACCTGGTTCCAGGTTGCTCCAGGCCCCATCCCGCCTGGCACTGGACACTGCCAGGGGTGGGGAGCCACAGCTCCTCTGGACAACCTGTGCCCTGGCCTCACCATCCTCACTGGGAAGAGTCTTCCCAAGATCCCGTCTATCCCTGCCCTCTCTCAGTGGGAAGACATTCTTCCTTTTTCTGGTAACTCTGTGCCCATGTCCAAAGTCCCTTTCCAGCTCTGTTAGAGCCTGTTCAGGTGCTTGGTTGTGTGGATTTATGATGCTGGTTTGTGCTCTCTTGTGTCAGGAGGCTCCAAACAGGGTTAGTTTGCCTAAATCACCCTCATGTTACAACTGAGCAGTTACTGCAGTAAGTTGAAAATGCCTGTTTTTACGTCACTGGAGTGTTTTAGTTGTCCCTGTGTTCAAGCAGAGGCAGCAATTGAGCGTGGTAGGTGTGATTGAGGCATTTCAGTACATTGTGTCTCCCAGTATGCTTTAATATTTTCCAAGCATTGCTCAGAGGTCCCTCATGGAGTGCCTTGTGTCAGGCATTGGTGCCTAATAAGCTGTGTGTGACACGGGATGTGTGTGTTCAGGAGTGGCTGAGTGGGCTCAACCTGGAGAAAAGGAGGCTCAGGGGGCCCTTGGGGCTCTGCACAAGTCCCTGGCAGGGTGGGACAGCCGCGGGGCTTCGGGCTGTGCTGCCAGGGAACAGGGACAGGCAACAGCCTGCAGCTGTGCCACAATGGGTTTAGTTTGGATATTAGGAAAATCTCGACCTGGAGAGTTTTCCTGCCCTAGCATAGGCTGCCCAGGGCAGCGGTGAAGTCCTCATCCTTGGGCTTAAAACTTCTGTGGATATGTTGGACGTGGGTTAATAGTGGTCTTGGTAGTGCTGGGTGAATGGTTGGGCTCGATGACCTTGGAGGGCTTTTGTAACCTAAGCAATTTTATGATTCCATGAAACCTTCCCGAAATACTCCTGAAGCTCCGAGCCCGGCGTGCAGGATACTGCAGGTGGCGCGGGCACGGCTGTGCAGCCGCCGGCCGAGCCGCTCCCTTGGGGGGAAAGCCGTCTTTCCTTGGGGAAGCCGAGCTCAGCGGGATCGGCAGTCACGGACGGGTTTGTCCCACGGAGAGCTGATGCCGAGCTTCCCCTCCCCGGTAGCACCCGCCTGCCGCAGCACGTCCCGCTGCTGGACCCGCGGGGGTCCCGGGGCGGGCACAGCCGTGCGTGGGAGGAGACTCGGCGGGGCGGGCCGGGCCGGGCCGGGCAGCGTGCGGCGGAGCGCGGCGGTGGCGACAGCAGGATGCGGGAGGCGCGGTTCAGGGACCACTTCTGGGTGAGTGGGAGCACGGCGGGACCAGGACAGCACGGGCAGAGCCAGCCGGAACCGGGGGGCCACAGCTGGAGGTGGAGGGATCACTGCTCTGGTTAGAGTTGGCTCCAAAGCCAGCGACCCTGGTCGTGGAGTGACTTTGCTGAATGCTCTGGGTAAAACACTGGCACAGGTTTCCCAGAGAAGCTGTTGGCTGCCCCTGGATCCCTGGCAGTGTCCAAGGCCAGCTTGGACAGGGCTTGGAGCAACCTGGTATATGGGAAGGTGTCCCTGCCCGTGGCAGGGGGTGGAATGAAATGGGCTTTAAGGTTCTTTCCAACCCAAACCATTCTGGGATTCTGTTATCCCCAGCAGGCACTGCCTACCATACATGTCTTGAGAGTTGAGGCTTTTCAGCCTGCTCCATGCAGCCAAAATAATCCCTGCAAGTGGCTGCTGCCTTGCTGGAGGAAGTCAGTGCCAGGCTGAAGGGTTGGATATCATTAATTTGCCATTGGAGAACTACTTGGAGGCACCATTGCAAAAAATGTTCTTTTGATGTGGAGCTAATCCTGGGCTAGGAGCAAATCACTTGGTGTGGTGCTGCTCCAACTGTTGAGCCATGGATGAAAACCCACAATTTGGGGAAGACCACAAATTATTATTTTCAGTCTGAATTAAGCTTTTATAAAAGGAGAAGTGCAGGAAACCCACATATCTGCTGCAAAGGTTCAGCTCTGTGGCTACTCGGTTCCTCTTGTGGTGGATCTTCATTCTAGGTACTGGCAACCAGGAAGTAAATTACCAAATTTGGTCTTTTGGAATTGAAAATCTTCATCTGTGAATGGTATGTGGGGCTCCCCAGATGTTGCCTGGAAGCAGCTTCCATTTTGTAGGATGTGGGAGAGAAGCACAGGCCCCAGGAAGAGCTGGCACCAGGTTTGGGGCTCCTGAGTGCTGAGGAATAAGTGCAGAGCAGCAGCCTTACCCAGCATCATTAGTGAGTTAACTGGCATAGCGTTGTCAAATACATAAATCCCACACAGGTGTCAAACCTGTTGTGGAGAATAAAGCCAACTTTCCATCTGGCAGCTGCTTCCCAGCTGTTTTTTATGCAGAAGTTTTCCACAGTGCTCCCTTTGCTTTGCAAATATGCAGAGGGGAGGTTTTGAAGGTGGTGGCAGCACCACCTGGGCTGGGGGAATAACTATGATGCCAAAAAGGCTGAGTAGACAGGGTTTGTTGTGCCTCAGTGGCACATTGGATTGAAAAAGAGCTTCTCACTGCAGGGCTGACTTTGGCTAGTTCTGCCTGGTTTGTTCCTCTCCAGCAGTGGTGTGGTTTTTGAAGGAGGATCTTGGAGGAGGGGGCTCAGTGGGAGAAAACACCAGGTCAGGAGCAGCTTCTAACTCCCAAGACAGGGAGGATCTGGGGTGTTGCTTGGGGCCCTCATCTCTGCTGGACCACTTTTACTGTGAACACAGCTATTTCCTGAATAAATCCCTGGTTTTTGCTGAGCCCCAAACCAGTGGTGCTGCCAAGGATTTTTCCTGGGTTTTGTCCTTTGACTGATGAAACGTGCCTGGGGCAGGCAGCTGGGGTGGAGGTGGGATGGAACATGATGGATGTGACTCAGTGGAGAGACTGAGGCCCTTCTGCGGTCATTGGGCCCATGGAAAAGGCAGGTACCACCCCAAGCAGCTGCCACACCATGTACTGGTGACTGTGCATCAGCTGTGGGGGCTGGGGAGGAGGGGGGAATAAGGAAGAAGAAAACCAAATCAAGATGAAGTGTGGAAGGCTGTACATCCAGCTCCCACCTGCTGCTGAGTGCTGAGAGTGGGCATGCACTTCCTCCTGCAATTTTCCTCTTAGATTGCTTTGCGTAAGGCAAAAATAGGAGAAGTCTATGCTGAAGCAAGTGATTTCTTAGAAGCATAGAGTAATTTGGGGTGGGAAGGACCTTAGAAACCATCTAGACCAACATCCTGCTATGGTCAGGGACACTTTCCATGAGACCATGTTTCTCTCTGCCCTGTCCAGCCTGGCCTGGAACACTTCCAGGGATGGTGTAGCCACAGCTTGTTATAATACCCTCAATCATAAACAATTACTTCCTTATATTTAATATTAATTTCCCATCTTTTAGTTTAAAATCATCATTCCTTGTCATATAATTACAAAGAGCTTGGTGAGGCACAGCTTTCATCTTCTGTAGGTTCTTCACCTGTCAGACAAGGTGAGATCAAGAGAGCCATTGCTGCATGATTCTGGGCAGGTGGCAGATGCTGCCACACATTGTTCTTTAGTGCTGATGCTGTCTCAGCTTCAGATCTGCTGGTCCAACAAAATGCCCATGTCTTTTTTTTTCCCCCCAAATTAACTCATCATCCCACTCTATCTGCAGAATCCCTAAATACTGGGAAAAATGTATGTTACTCTGGTGGGAGCAAATTTCTCTGTGGTTGGGACAGCCTGATGAGGAGGAGGAAACTTTGGGAATGCTCCAGGGGAGGTATGCTCCAACTGATGGGATAAAAGTCTAAAAAAATGTGCCTACTCTCAAAACCTAGGCCAGTTTTGACATTGGATCTTCCAGCTTTGAAATGTGACTTGTTGTGAGTGATGACCTCCAAATTTCTTTGTGGGGATAGGATGGTATGGGTGAGGGTGGTGAGGCCCTGGCAGTGCCCAGAGCAGCTGGGGCTGCCCCTGGATCCCTGCAGTGTCCAAGGCCAGGCTGGACAGGGCTTGGAGCAGCCTGGGACAGTGGAAGGTGTCCCTGCTATGGCAGGGGTGGAGTTGGGATGAGGTTTGAGGTCCTTTCCAACCCAAACCATTCTTGGATTCTGTGATTGTAGGCTAAGCTGCAGCCCCCTTTTTGCTCTGTTGGGATTAGCAGGGCTGTGCTTCCAGCCTCACTGTTGTACTGTTGGGAATGGCGAGAAGCACGACACAGACTCTCTTGTGAGTTGAACAGGAGAGCGAGGTTTATTACCTCAGATTTTCTTTTATAGACTGATATGTGAAAGTACAGAAAGGTAAAACTCTTTTTGGTTAGTAAGCTAACACATTACCATCATTGGTCAGTGGGGTACACCACCCCTCAACCTTCTCTTGCAAGAAAACAAGAAACTGACAAACAGCACCTGCAAGGCTGGTTTCTGAGGATTGTTTTAATTCCTCCTTATGATTTCCCAGGCTGCTTTCTCAGGTGAGACTGAGAAAGTTATGTGGCCTGCTATTCCACAGACACCGTGCTCACTGCTTTTGCTCATATTTAGCATCCATACCTCACATGGGGACTGACTGAGTTTTAAAACTCAGCAGTTCTGGTTCCTTCACTGTGTACTCTGTCTGCTTTTGCACTGGCTGCTGCTGGAGCTGATGGTGTGATATTCCTGATGTGCTCTATTGGGAAAACACAGGGCCACTTGGCTCTCTGCACTGACGTTTGCTCATGCTCTCGGGTCTCAATACAAGATGATGGATTTTCTTAGATGAAGAGGTTTGCTCTCTGGCACCCCTCTGCAGCTCCTGCTTGCTCAGGGACTGAAGTCCAGATATGCCTGAAGCTGAACATTTTTTGCCCTGCACATTCTGATTCCCATGTCACTCACACACACAGGCCGTGTATCCTGCCTGCCTGTGAGGGAGCTGTGCAAAAACAAAAATACCCCAAAGCTCGTGTTTTTTTTCCCTTTCCCTGCCTGTAGTGATTGCTACAGGTTGGGCGGCAAGCATGACATTTTGTTTTCATTTGTTTTTGCAATCTGCTCTTCTTCTTTCACTGTGTGAGGTCTTTTCTTTTACTTTTTTTCACTTTCTTAGTACATGCCTTATTCTCTAGAAGCCTGTTCTTGCACATATTTCCGGTAACCCATCAACACTCTTTGGTGCTGATGTAAAACCATATGGTAAAAATAAAAATGCCAATAATGCTAAGAACCACTCTAATTCTGATTCGTGGGCTAACAGTGCAGTGTTGGTCATTTTGCCTTCAATGAGGCAATGCTCTGCTCCCTGCAGTGTGTTTAGTGATGCTGCTAAAACAACCCGTGGCTGGGGGGGATGCAGCCCTGGGTTCCTGGTGGTGGCCGTTCCACTTCCCCTTTCCCCTGCTTGTCCTTCTCTAAACGGGGACTGGCCTGGTGGAACTTAGCAGCAGCATTGTGAAATCCCCAGCTCATTGTTTCAAAGGAACAAGGTGGGGTTTGTGGGGAGAAGAAGTCGTTGCATCAAGGCGGAATGGTCCATTGCTTTTGATGTCTTGGGGGCGACCGGGGAAGGTGTTGGCGTAGGGGAAGGAAACTTCAAATGGAAAATGACTAGTCAAAAAGCTGATTTTTGGAGGATACTGGTCTTAGGTGGGTGGATTTGTCTTTTCCTCCCTGCAATGAGTTTTTTTCTGTCCTGTTGTACCCTCCTGGTAATGGGATGGGGAGGAACTGCAAGCTCTTGCAGCCTCTCCTCTCCTGCTCCCTGCAGGCACCAGCATAAGCACTTTCTTTGTCTCAGCAACTTCAGCAGACACGGAGCGATTTTGGGAGTGCACTGAGCAAGGACACCACAGCCAGCTACAGTTAGACAGTGTTTCCCACTACTGAAATAGTCACCGGTTTCTGGTGTGTTACTCTAAGCACACAAGGCTGAGGAAACATACTGAGAGCTTGGAATAAATATAAATCTTTCAAGAGATGGTCCATGAACAAGTGCAGTGCCCCAAACCTTTCAGTTTGGGAAGGTTGAGACAGACTGCTGGAAGGGATCTGGAGAGGCTGGATCTGTGGGCTAAGGCCGGTGGTGTGAGGTTCAACAAGAACAAGTGCCAGGTGCTTTTCTTGGGTCACCCAACCCCTACAGCTCCAGGCTGGGGCAGAGGGGCTGGAAAGGGCCCCTTGGGAAAGGCCGTGGGGGTGCTGGTGCCAGCAGCTGGACAGGAGCCCAGGGGTGGCCAAGTGGGCGAGAGGCCAGTGGCCCCTGGGCTGTGCCAGCCAGGTGTGACACAGCCCCAGGGCAGGGCCGGCGCTGCTGAGGCACCTCCAGTGCTGGGACAGCTCTGGGCCCCTCAGCACAGGAGAGACACCGAGGGGCTGGAGCGTGTCCAGGGCAGGGAACGGAGCTGGGGAAGGGGCTGGAGCCCCAGGAGCGGCTGAGGGAGCTGGGAAAGGGGCTCAGCCTGGAGCAAAGGAGGCTCAGGGGGCCCTTGTGGCTCTGCACAAGTCCCTGGCAGGAGGGGACAGCCGGGGGGGTCGGGCTGTGCTGCCAGGGAACAGGGACAGGAGGAGAGGGAATGACTTCAGGTTGTGTCAAGTGATGTTTGGAGTAGATATTAGGGAAAATTTCTTCATGGCAAGGGTTATTAATCCTAGAAACAGGCTGCCCAGGGCAGTTTGGAATCTCCATCCCTGGAGGGATTTAAAAGCTGTGTGGATGTGGCACTTGGGGAGATGAGTTAATGGTGGGCTGGGCAGTGCTGGGGAGCATTTGGACTTAGTGGTCTTAGAGGGCTTTTCTAATTTAAACGTTTCTATGTTTCTGTGTTTCTCTAATGCCATTTTCTTCACAGGATGTGTGTCTGCAGGGGTTTTCCATGTAAAGTGGGGTAGAAGATGGAAGCGTCAAGCTCAGCAGCTTGCTATGACTCAGACAGGATCATGATGTGCTTTCACATCCCCGGCAGAACCTTTTAACCCCTCTTTTGGCTAAAAGTATAATCAAACCCCAAAACATCACGAACAGGACACAAATCCCTTCTGGCTATTGAATCCAGGCAGCAGATTGGGAAGGGGGGGCTGGATGTCCTGCGAGCTCAGGAAACATCAGGTGCTGCTTTGTCACCTTGAAATCATCTGTTTGCAGTTTCCATGGGCTGTCCTGTAAAGAGCGTGTGAGCTCACAGCTCTGCCCAGCAGGGAGGACCAGGACAGATGTGTGCTGGAAAGTGGCAGGAGAGATCTTCAAGCTCTGTTTGGGCAGGGCTTGGTGTAATTCCCCATCTTTCATACTTGCCTTTGGGTTATTACGGCTTTAAAGCTTCTCTGTGCCCATGGCTCTCTGCCTGCTGTGTTGCACTTTCTCTTCCATTGCTGTTGCCAGCGCTGCCTTTGCAGTCACAGAATCCTAGAATGGTTTGGGTTGAAAGGGATCCTCAAGACCATCCCATTCCCCCTCCTGCCACGGGCAGGGACACCTTCTACTGTCCACTTGCAAGCCCTGTCCAGCCTCGCCTTGGACACTTCCAGGGATGGGGCAGCCGCAGCTGCTCTGGGTGCCCTGTGCCAGGGCCTCACGATCTTCGCGGCCAAGAAATTCTTCCCAATATCCCATCTAACCCTGCCCTCTGGCAGTGGGAGGCCATTCCCATTCCCAGTCCCTCCATCCTTCATCCCAAGTCCTTCTCCAGCTCTCCTGTGGGCACTGGGCAAGGCTCTCAGGTCTTCCTGGAGCCTTCTCCAGGATGAACTCCCCCAGTCATGCTGGTCCATTTGGCTCCTTCTGTGCCAAACCTACCCAGAAGTTTTCTGTAAAGGCTGATTTGACACCATACAACCCTGCCAGCTCCATCTGGGCTGGGAGCTCCTGCCATGGAAAACTCACATGGAGGAATTTAAAAGCCATATAAGTGTGGCACTTGGGGACATGGGTAGGAGAATGGCTTGACAATGCTAGGGAGTGTTTGGACTCCATGATCTCAGAGGGCTTTTCCAACTTAAACAATCGTGTGATTCCGTGTTTCAAGTAACACCTTGCACCCTGAGGCCTGGTCCAGCCTTGTGTGCTTAGGAACACACACGTGCTGGAATTGAATCCTTCTACTGTAGAAGGAAGATTGATAAAACAGGGAGCTTAGTGTACATTACTGGTAGATACTCCCAGTTTTCCCCTTGACCCTCTACCTGGCACAGAGACCCCAAGAGTGCCGGGCAGCAGAGCAGGATGCAGGAGCCTCTGGGTGCCCCTGGATATGCAGTGATGGGGCTCTGCCCTTCCTCCTTCCTGGGATTGAAATGACCAGCAGTTGTGCTTTGCATCCATTTTGCTTCCTTTGAAAGTGGGGATAGGAATTCAAGTTAGGCTGTTCCTGTGTTTTGCAAATGTAATGAAGCCTGACTCCAGTACAGTGTTTCCTTTTCACAGACCCAGTTAGTGAAGATGTGGAGCAACCTGAGAGCTGGTTGTGAATTTATCAGTATTAACTTCATTTTGGAGGGACATTTGCACTTTGTAAAGGAAGTTTGGTTTCTGCTTAGATCCTGCTCTATAGTCCTGTCTTCCCATGCAAAGATGATCTGGAGATACCTGTGGATTTTCTGCCAGTCCCACTTTACCACATCTCCCTTTCACTTCTCATTTTCTGGTCTCTGACAGTCAAATACTTGAATAGAGAATTCCATTTAATTAAACTCTTCCTTTATCACAAACTCTTCCTTTATCGCATCAGCAACAAACTCTTAAGAAATCCCCCCTTCTGCTGCCCACACTTTTATGCAAGATCTCTGCATACTCTCATCCTGGCTTTGAACTATTTTCTGAATCTCTCCATTCTGTTCAGGTTTCTTGATAATGTTTTCTGGCTTTTGTTTCCTATTGCTGAGCTTCATAACTGCTCCTACTATTGCTCCCTTTTCTGCAGCCATGTATAGGAATGGGGAAAGAATGAGGTAGAGTAAGTCAGCTTACATCATTGCTGCATCTTTTTTTTTTCCTTCTTTTTCTTTTTTCCTTTTCCTTTTCATTTTCCTTTTCCTTTTTTTTTTTTTTCTTTTTCTTCATGCATCAGTGCAACATGTTTTTAAGGAATGATTTGGAAGAAGACACTGACCCTTCAGAAGTCTATGGCAAATGTGAGTGGCACAGATGTATGTTGTCTCAAATTTCCACTGTTGTTCTCATTCTGGAGTCTCTCCTACCCCTAAAACAAAAGATCTTATTTCATAAAGAGCATTTCATAACTTGCAAACTTGCTCCTGCTGAGCCAGTGCCTCAGGAGGTGGATTGCACTGACAGGGACTCCTGTTCCTGTGTTTTCAGAGCACGGATCTGACCAGCACAGTTGGCTATGACAGCATCATTCAGCATCTGAATGATGGCAGGAAGAACTGCAAAGAATTTGAAGACTTTCTGAAGGAAAGGTAGGAAGCTGCCTCTGACAATGGGTTGGGTTGAGCCTGGAAGTGGTGCTGTGGCACTACTCCTTCTCCTGATATTCCCAGTTTGATTTCTGCTATGATTAACTGATGTTAAAATGCTGTCCCATGAAGTTTACCTTGCTGTTTACCTTGCAGAAGATCAGGTGAGAAGATCTTGGCCTGGAGAGCCATGGCTTTGTCCTGTTCTTGTCTCTGTGCATTATGAGCACCCCACATATTCAGTGTTAAAAAGTGGTAAGGTTAGGTACTGCTATTATTAATCAGAGGAGATGACCTAAGCTGAAATTCTGTGGCTGCAAAAACAGCTGTGATGATCTGGCCATGTATTTTGCCTTTATGGTTCACCTGGTTAGCAATGGCTGAATATAAAGAGCATTGTAAAACACTGTACATTGAATTAATGTCATTTTGGTAGTGACAACTGGAGAAAACCATCCTCTGACTGCATGACTTGGTACAGAGCATCCTGGAATAAACAAAATTGGGAAGAACAGGAGGAGAACTGCACTTAAAAGTGTCTAATGCACCTACATCTGTTTAAGCTGTAATTCCATCTTCCAGGAAAATTTGGGCCTTCCACATGAGGAGTGAAACCAAGTCTCACTCATCTGTGACAATGCAGTGCCAAAAGCCTCCTCTACACCCTGTGCCCTCTTTGGTCTTGAAGGGAGGTGTAGGTTGCCACTGAAGTGTCTAGCCAGGAGGAAATCAGAGGCTGGACCTGGATTTGCCTCTTTGGACTCGGCCCAGGTGTCCAGCATGGCTGTTACACAGTCCCAGCTATGGAGAATGTGCCTGCTGGATGTTTTGTCTCAAACAAAGTTCCTGGGAATGCTGTTAGGTTAAAAAAAAAAAAAAATTAAAAAATCAATGTATAATACTTTTTTTTTTTCAATTTCCCTATTAGCTTCTGGAGCTTTTAGAGTTAAGCTAAGTGAATTTAATTGCCAAACTCCAGAAATCAATTACACAGGGGTCTCCACCTGTGTTAGTAGTTAAAGCATTTTAGAAAGTTATTTTTTTTATCCAGTAGATGTTCTAATGGCAGCCTCTAGCAGTACTTGTTCCTTTCCACTGGCTACAAACAGCTAGGGCTGCCCACATGGAGGGAACTACATTTGACCAAGCAAGTCCAGGTTGTCTGTAGTGATTTCAAAGCAGCTGCAAAAAACCTGGTTGTTCTTACACTGAAACACATGGGCTGTCTTTCCCTCCTTCCTTCGTTCTGAGAGGGGGAGGTAATGTGGTCTCCCAAAGGTGTTATTTATGAATAACACAAGATTTGGTCTCTTCTACAGGTGCTCTCCCTAAGGATTAGTGCCAGGTACAGAGGGTACTTATTGCCACATTGCCAGAGTGCAGGGTTAGATGGGATGCTGGGAAGGAATTCTTGGCTGTGAGGGTGGTGGGACCCTCTTTGGCACAGGTTTCCCAGAGCAGCTGTGGCTGCCCCTTCCTGGAAGTATCCAAGGCCTCTTGGAGCTTGGAGCACCCTGGGGTAGTGGAAGATGTTTTTGCCCATGGCAGAGGGTAGAACTGGAGGAGCTTTCAGGTCCCTTCCAACCCAAACCAATCACTGATTTATCTCTTTGATTTTTCTTTTTCCTCAACAGAGCAATTATAGAAGAAAAATATGGCAAGGAGCTCATTAACTTGTCGAAGAAGAAGCCCTGTGGGCAGACAGAGCTGAAGTAAGTTTGCAGTTGCTTTTATGGGTGTCCCTGAAGCAGGGAAAGAGGAAGAAGAGAAAGGAAGCTGTGAGACAAAACAGAGTGGAAATGTGATTAGGAGATGAGCTGAAATCATTCTCATGAATGAGCTGTGCCCAGTTGGGCTCTAATTTGCTTTGTTTTGGAGCCCACCAGGTTCCCTTAGCCACAGATTAACCAAAGCACTGTAGATGCTCGGGGGGGGTGTGGGCTGGTGGGTCAGCAGAAAGCTGAGTTTCATGAGACCTTGGGTTACCTCCAGGCAGGTTTTGTAGCCAGAGGGAACTACAGGTACTTCCTTGAATCAAACCACGCAAATCTTTAGAGCCCAGCGTGCTGTGGCCACCATGGTTTTTTCCATTTCCCAAGTGATCTTCAGTGCCTTCTGCTTCCTCCTTTGTTTCTGTGCTTTATACATGCCTTGGTCATTTACTTACAGTTTCATATTGAGGTATCACTTAAAATGTTTCAGACCTCTTTACTGTGCAATATTAAGAGGGAGAAAAGCTCCCTACTTTCCCAACCACTGGCAAATGCACCATGTTGAAATTGTTTATCTGTTCCAGGTGATGGTTTTAGGAGGTTGCCAGAAATATTTGTCACGAAACTTTGAGTTTTTAATGGCATCCAGTGTTCAGAAAGATGTAAAATAGGTATCAAACTAAGTGAACTGTATTACACCTGCTGAGAGGGGAAAAAGCTGGAGGTACTAAGAGGGTAAATAAAAGTGCTTCGAGGTACTTTGGCCATTGCTGAGTGAGCTCTGTTTTGGAAGAGGTGCTCTGCTGATGCCTGTGGCTGACTGTGCTTTTCTACCCTCTCTATTGCCCTGCCTGTATTTTTCAGCACGCTGAAGAGATCCCTCGATGTTTTCAAGCAGCGTAAGTAATTACTGGTGTTTGCCAGGACACTTGGCAGTGCTAAAGCCTGAAGGCAAGTGCCAGGGAAGAAAATAGCAGAGAAATCTCTAAAGCTGTGCAGTGCTGAGGCCAGGCATAGGCTGTACTGCTGGGCTGGTTCATTCCAGTGTGTGGGGCTTGGGACAAAGTGAGCCAGGACATATGTGGGACAGGAGACCCACAAGGCATCATTTTGGGATCTCTTGGGCTTTCAGGCCTGGCTGCAGTTCAGAGGTCATGCTTATGTTGTGCATAGGAAGCTGTGCACGGGGAGCTCATCTGGGGTTTGTTGGACAGGCTTGTCCTCCTCACAAACACACTGTAACTCACACCTTGAACCTGGGGACAGCTCAGGAGAGACACTGAGGGGCTGGAGCATGTCCAGGGCAGGGAATGGAGCTGGGGAAGGGGCTGGAGCCCCAGGAGCAGCTGAGGGAGCTGGGAAAGGGGCTCAGCCTGGAGAAAAGGAGGCTCAGGGGGCCCTTGTGGCTCTGCACAAGTCCCTGGCAGGAGGGGACAGCCGGGGGGGTCGGGCTGTGCTGCCAGGGAACAGGGACAGGAGGAGAGGGAACGGCCTCAGCCTGGGCCAGGGCAGGTTTAGATTGGATATTAGGGAAATATTTTCATGGAAAGAGTTGTCCAGCCCTGGCACAGCTGCCCAGGGCAGTGTTGGAGTCCTCATCCCTGGAGGGACTTAAAGGACATGTGGATGTGTCACTTGGGGACATGGGTAAGTGGTGACCTTGGTATTTCTGGGGGAATGGTTAAACTTGAAGTTCTTAAGAGGGGTTTTCCATCCTAAATGGTTGTGTGATTCTAACTGGAGCATCTAGAAGATGGTGCTTTGGCCAGCATATGTTGTCATGTGTCACATCCTGTCATGGTACCATCAGACAGCAGCTTGAGGGTGAGCACTCGGCTATCCTGTGCCCGGTCCATCCCTTGCCCAGTCCAGGTTTCTTTGCTGCCCCTGTGGACCTCACTAACAGGGCTCTGCCTTCACCAGTGCTTACTATTCACAGCTGTGGGTTTGGAGAAGCTTTGGGGATTGAATCAGGAGCTGCCCTTTGGCTCCACTGCCTTGGTGGTCTTGCTGGGGTGGTGTTTCAGTGTGGCCACTTGCCTTCAGCAAGAGGAGCCCGAGATTGTTTTAGCCTTCATTTTTCTGTGCTCCAAGTCATTGCCTGCTGGCCTGGGGCAATGCAGTGTGTTGAAACATGCCTAGATTTACCTGCCTGAGGGGGAGAGTTTTCTCAAACTGGGGAGCAGGTCCCAGCAGGACTGATCCTCACATTGCTGGGCACTGCTTGGAGGCTGCTTCAGACAAGCTGGAGCTTTTTCACATTTCTGAAAGGGGATGTGTGATGTGTTCTAAGTTGACTTGAGAAACAGTTTCTATAGGAATATATATATATATATATATATATAAATGTTGAATTCATTTTCTCTTTGCAGAGATAGACAATGTGGGACAAGGTCACATCCAGCTGGCACAAACCCTTCGGGAGGAAGCAAAGAAGATGGAGGACTTCAGGGAAAAGCAAAAGCTGCATCGGAAAAAGGTCAGGCACCGTGGGAAGACGTGCCTTCCTGCAGGGTGTTGATCCTGCCCCAGCAAGGGGCTGATCCTGGTGCTGTCCCATGCCATGCCCCCACTGCCTGTGCTGCTGGGAAGTACTGAGCTCCTTCCTATGTGTTGTAACTGTGTTGAACTGTGTAGTAACCTCCAGCTTCCTTCTTCTCACTTCCACGTCTTCTTCATGTGCTTTTTGGGGTCAGCCACAGCACTGGAATGTTTCTAAAGTATTTATTTAGCTCCATTTATTATCTCCATAGGTGAGGTCATACAGCACTTGGCTAAAATGGTCACACCTTTTAACTTCTTCTGGCTTGAGATTCCTTTGTCTGGTAAACCAGGGAAAACTGCCAGAACCAGGGACTGGTTTGGACCTGGGAGTGGGGAGTGGGCTTCCCAGTTTTGCCAGAGTCTGTGGAGGTGATACAGTACTATATATTGCTAGGATTTAGTTTGTAGAGCTCCTTTGCATGCACAATTCAAGGCTTAGGCAGAAGCACAAAAGATGAGTTTTGTGAAGATGAATTGGGTGGTTGAAGGCCTTTAAACACATCTCATTGTGGTGTGTGGCTCTTCCTCTTCTAAGCCCCAGAGTGTGTACTGGAGCTTTGATGGTCAGTGATGTGCTGACCCCAGGTCTGTTGTCTTCACAGATAGAGCTGATAATGGAGGCGATTCACAAAAACAGGAATCTTCAGTACAAGAAGACCATGGAGGTAAAGCAAATGTGCTGCTGTTTCTTGCCATGTGGGTTAATGCTGCTCACACCAGAGCACTGGGACAGGCTTAAATGAGAGGGATTTCCTCTTCTGCTGTGACTCTTGACACCATGTCTGTCTGAGTGCTGTGCAGGGTGTGCTCAGAAACAGTGAAGAGCACACCAAAGACATGGCCAGTGGAAACTTCAGCAGGGTTGGATACAAATGGCTTAGAAACAAAGAATTATTCAGGTTGGAAAAGATATTTGAGTCCAACCATTTGCCCAGTACTGCCAAGCCCACCACTAACCCATCTCCCCAAGTGCCACATCCATACATTTTTTGGACACTTCCATGGGTGGTGACTGTACCACTGCCCTGGGCAGCCTGCTCCAGGGCATGAAAACTATTTCTGTGAGGAAGTTTTTCTGAATATCTACTCTAAACATCCTCTGATGCAACTTGAGGCCACTTCCTCTTGTCCTGTCCCTGTTCCCTGGCGGCAGAGCCCGACTCTCCCCTGGCTGTCCCCTTCTGTTGGGGAGTGGTGCAGAGCTGGAAGGTCCTCCCTGAGCCTTTCTTTCTCCAGGTTGAGCCCCCTCAGCTGCTCCTCGTCAGACTTGTGTTCCTCCCCATTCCCCAGGCTTTCTCTGGACATGCCCTTGGCCTTGATTGCCAGGAACTTTTCACCCCAATCCAAGAGCAGCCTGCCTTGCAAGCCTTTTCCCAAACTGCAGGGCACCTTTTGTCCCTGCTCTGCAGGCAGCCTGTTCCCTTGCAGGCTGAGCTTTTCCCCAAGGGCTCTCCCCAAGGTGTGTCTGCATCTGGCTGTTCTGGTGTCTGTCCTAGGCCAAGCGTCTGTACGAGCAGCGCTGCCGGGACAAAGATGAGGCGGAGCAGGCTGTGCACCGCAACGCCAGCCTGGTCACACAGAAGCAGCAGGAGAAGGTATGGGAAGTGGGTGGCCACAGCCACCACAGTGGAGGGGAATGAGGGGGAAGGGATGTTTCTTCTGGCAGCTCTCATGCCCCATGGCTCGTCTCCCAGCTCTGGGTTTTGGGGTGAGATGGGGTGGCTGGTGATGCTCCCCAGTGGGGCTGAAGTGCCACTGGTGATGCAGCCAGCCTCTTCTCCACCTTCCTGGTCTCTCCTGTTTTTGTCAGCTGTTCCTGAAACTGGCTCAGACGAAATCAGCACTGGAGGACACTGGTGAGTGTGGAAATGCCATGCTGAGATGGTGAGGGGAGTGTTTCCAGGGGCAAGGGGTTGTGAAGGTGTGATGTGGCTTGTGGGTGAGCTCCAGTTCTTGTGTCAGGCATGACTCCTCAGAAACACACACCCAATATAGCAGCAGTGGGCAACTTCCCTGGAGAAGCCTGCATGGCCCCACCAAAGCCATGTCCTTCTGAGATCCCTGATCTCCCATCCTTTTCAGCCTTTCTCCCAGCCCTAGAATTACCTTCTAGTGAAGGTATTTTTTAATGAATGTTAATCATGGAATCAAAGAATCATAAAATGAGTTGGGTTGGAAGGGACCTTAAAGGTCCTATCTCATTCTAACCCCACTGCCATGGGCAGACACACTTTCAGCCAAAATATGGTTTGTCTCACAGACAGGAGTTACCAGCAGAGTGTGACCACAATGGAGAAGATCCGGGAAGAGTGGCAGAATGAGCACATCAAAGCTTGCGAGGTAAATGCCCCTAAACTCTTCCACATGGCAGTGTGGTCCTCTGGGTTTGCAGTCCTGGCTGCAGGGCTCAGGGACAGCGCAGATTTGCTGTCTGTGTGTTCCCCTGGCAGTGACAGCTGACCCTGTGTGTGTCTCAAGCATGGCTTCTGGATTCAAGGCCCCACTGCTTCAAGGTTTCTGCTTTTATTTAATAATTTTTTATTTTCCACCACCTTGACAGAGTCAAGGTAGTGACATTTTTGCCCACTATCTGCTTGCATGCGTGGCATGGCTGTCATCTTGAACAGCTATGGTCACCTCTGGATGCTCAGTGACTCCAGGGCAGTATGTCCTGGAGCCTCAACAACATCTGGAAGACTGTCTGAAACTCTGGAAGACTTTACATGACTTTGCAGCAGAGGCTGGTGGTGGCTGGAGATGCAGGTGAAGCCGTCTCCACATGCACCCTGTGCCAAAAACCCTTCACCTTATGTCTCACAGACCATGCAGTAGTGTGGGAACCCCTCTGAGTGTGTGTATCAGCCTGAAGCAGACTGCCTCACAGGGAAGTGGTCCAGCAGGGATTTCTAGCACATGCTGGGGCATTACAGAGTAGCAGGATGGTAGCAATTCCAGGTAGCAAGAGGGCTAAGCAACTGCTCTGCTACTGGCCTGTGATCTGTGACTGAGGGGTGGACAGGGACTGGAAAGACAGATTTTATCCCAGATCTGCTTCAGCCTTGCAACCAGCTTTCCCATTCCGAGCTGTGCTGATCCCTTCCAAGTCAGGTGTTTTCAGGCTGCTATTCTACTTTTCCCTTTTGAACTGGAATTTGCTGTCTGTTTTGTGTGATGTGGGTGTCTCTGTGCTGGTGTGCCTTTGGAGTCTTCTCTGGAAGCCTCTAGGATGGGGACGGAGTTTAGTGGTGGCTTGGCAGTGCTGGGTTAATGGCTGGTCTCGATGTTCTTAAACAGCTTTTCCAACCCTGACAATTCTGTGGTGGGGAGTGGAAAGCAGCAGCTTCACTTTTGCAGATGGGTGATGTGGAAGTTTTCCTCTCCCTGTGTTACAAAGGTCATAAGTGGTAACAAGTGTTCATGGAAATGTGTAAAAGGATGTGAAATTGAGGAGTACTAGACAGCAGATTTCAAAAGGGTTTAAACCTACTTGGAGAAGGGCTGGGTAGGAAAGAGCAAGAAGACCAACCAGCCAATATACCTCTGATTTCATAGATCCCCAGTGCTTTTTTTTTTTTTCATTGCTCCATACCTGGAACATGGAAATGTTAAAAAAAACATGTACATGTGGCAGCTGGGGAAATGTGTTAGTGGTGACCTCGGCAGTGCAGGAGTAATGGTGGGATTTGAGGATCTTAGAAGGCGTTTCCAAGCTAAATGATTCTTTGATTCAAGGGTACCTGTGAAAGGGAAGTGGACTAGAACCACAGGCAAACAGGGAACCTGTACTGCTTTTAGGAAGCTGGTTGGTTTCCCCAGAGGTGGAAATGTACTGGGTGGTCCCCTCCACATTAGGCTTGCAGATTTTCCAAGCTTAGTACTCAACTTTTAATTACCTGGTTGCAGAGAGGGATTATCTCTCCTCTGAACAAGCCAGAGGACTCACGGCTTCCTTGTTTCCTGCAGAAGACCAACACCAACTCCTTCTGGCAGTTAGCTTTGTTTTGGCATGTGGGGGTAAGAAGCAATTAGGACAAAAGAGATTTGCCCTCATTTTAAAGATGTTATGGACAGTTTTGTCTGTGTTTTTTCAGTTCTTTGAGACTCAGGAGTGCGAGCGGATCAACTATTTCCGTAATGCCCTCTGGCTCCACGTCAACCAGCTCTCCCTGGGATGTGTCCTGAATGATGAGGTACCTCAACTTAAAATACTCATTTTTCTGCACAGAAAGCAAAGCCTAATTTGTTTTCCTAGGCACTAAGCTGTGTTACATCCAATTTGGGCTGTGGCTCTTGATTGCATGAGTGGGCAAGCAGAAGGACTGGCCAAAACTCTTGCAAATGAATTTTCCTCTGGGATTCCCACATTTTTTGAGGGTGGAGATGCCCTGGCACAGATTTCCCAGAGAAAATGTGGTTGCCTCATCCCTGGAAATGTCCAAGGCCAGTTTGGACCGGGCTTGGAGCAGCCTGGTCTAGTAGAAGGTGTCCCTGCCCATGGCAGGGTCTGGAATGGGATGGGCTTTAAAGTTCCTTTCCAACCCAAACTATTCTGGGATTCTGTGATTCCCCTGACACTGGAGCTTGTGTGAGTGAGTACTGGGCTTTCACCCCGTGTGTGGTAAGCAATTGGGAAAAAGCCTTGGGTTTTTTTTGACCTGATATAAACAAATGCACTTTATTTCCCTTTTGCAGAAATATGAGGAAATCCGCAAGAGTTTAGAAATGTGCAGCATTGAGAAGGATGTTGATTTTTTTGTAAATTTACGCAAAACTGGAAATTTGGCTCCAGGTAAGAATCTCAGAATTAGTAGTATCTCAGAAAGTAGTGCTGTCTGCTGTGTACTCCTCAAGGAACTGGCTGCCCTGGTCAGCATCATTTTGTGTGCAGAAAACACTCATTTTGCATTTCATTTGTTGCCATGCAGCAGCACTAGTCTGTGCCTCTGTTGACAGCCCCTGGAGATCATAGTCCCGTTTTTCAGTTTTCTGATCAGGAATTTTCTCAGGGAAGAGGAAGACTTAGCAGCTGAATGTTGGTATAGCAAGTATTTTATGTCTGTAAGAGGCTTGTACTTTACTACTGTCAACTTTCCTAGCTCCTGTTGTTTATGAAAACTACTATAATGCCCAGAGAAATGTGACTCCTGCTGCGAGAAGTCCAGCTCCTGTGCCTTTATCAAGGTAAGGTGTGTAACATGTGCAACTGCAATTGTTACTGCAGATGATGCTCCCTCCCCCAAAACAGGCATATTCTGTTCCTTTCAGTCTATTAGAAGCTTAACTTAAGCTTCTAATTCCTCTATTTAGAGGAAAATATTTACTTGCATGGTACTTGGTGTACTGTCTGTCTGAGGAGGGTTAAAAGCATTTGTGGGTGGAGAGAGGAACTACAGAGCTGAATTCACTCTTGTGGGACAGAAGCTGGGCAGGGAGGACATGGTGGAGGGTTTTTCTGTCAGGGGAAGATGATGACTGGGGCCAAGACTCATGCTAAGGATGAATTGCCACTTTGGCTGCCACACTCAGAGAGGAGTCATGTCCAATTACAGCTTCCTGATGTCTCACTCTGGCCAAAGGCATATACAAAGACATGCCCTGAGGCTCACTTGTGAATTTTTCCCCGAGTCAGTGCTTTCTGATTATTTTTTTCCTCTCCTCCACTGTGTCAGGTTCCTGTGTTTGCCAAGTGGGCTGTGGGTGGTGAGCCCATCATGACTTGCCTTGTCAGGTCTCCATAAAGGCCGGGCTGGCCAAACCTCTTGCCCTCCCACCAGCTCTGGTGGGGCAGCTCTGGGGTGCAGAACCAGGGCAAAGGGAGTTCCTTAGCCATGCAGATCCTCAGCTCTGTGTTTCCTTCTGTACAGGAGGGGACCCTTGCCCACCCCGACCAGTGCACCAGGTGAGTTACTGCTTCGTGTGCTTTCTGGCCCCCGAGGGGAAATCTCACTTCAGCCCTTGCCCAAAGTCCCTTTCCAGCTCCCTTGGACCCCCTTTAGGCACTGGCAAGGGGTCTCCTTGGAGCCTTTCCTTCTCCAAGTGAAACCCCCAGCTCTCCCAGCCTGGCTTGAGCCTCATTCACTCTTGCATCCCATCCCTTTAATGTGGTTGGCCAGTGTGTGGTGTTTCTGCTCTGTTTAAAATCACATAATGAGCACTTCACATGGGTAACCTGAGGGGACTTTTTGTACTTTGTGTTTCAGGGGAGCCTGATTATGCCACAGTTGATGGTTACAGCTTGGTACATTTCTAACAGTCACAGTAAGTACCCACTTTTGATGGACAAATGAGGCTTAAAAGAAAGAGGGGGAAGAATTTTTTACCTGGGCAGATAGTAATATGACAAGGGGGAATGGTTTATACCAAAAGATGGTAGATTGAGATCAGCTAGAAGGGAAAAATTCTTCCCTGTGAGGGTGGGCAGGCCCTGGCACAGGCTGCCCAGAAAAGCTGTGACTGCCCCTGGAAGTGTCCCAGGCCAGGCTGGTTGGGCTTGGAGAAATCTGGGATAATGGAAGGTGTCCCTGCCCATGGCAGTGAGGTTGGAATTAGATGGTCCTGATGGTTCATTCCAACCCAAACCATTCTGGGATTCTATAAGAAAGGATTTAATATGAGATGAAGCTACACATCAGGGACAGTGGAGAAAGGTCATTGGTTAAGGAATGACATTTGAGGTGGCTGACTGGAAGTGATGCTTCTGTCAGCCCTCCCATTGCTTGCCTCAGCTGTAGCTGTGGTTTAGACACTGATGGTCTTGTTCTCCAGGTTTTCCAAAAGGCAGAAGACATTGTTGGTCTGACCAGCATGGCAGAGATGATGTTTTCAGTTACTCCCAGACATATAGAGCTGAAGTGCTTCTGCTTTTCAAGAGAATATTTTGAGGACTCCAACAATTATTTGTACATTCAGAAAATGCTTACTAAAAATCTATGCCTCTGATCAGCAAACTCCTTGGATGGATCTTCTTACTCAGAGTAAGAAAAGGACCAGACACAGGGGTGATCTGTGTTGGAAGTTTTCAATTTGAAGTTCTTCTAAAGTGTAGCCATCTAGAAAGTCTGGAGCCTTCCACTCTGTAGGTAACTAAGAAGTTGTATGTGCTGAGAGGAGTGCTGCACGATGCTTTGGTCATGCTGGCTTGTGTTCAGGGTATGTGCATCCCTCTCAGATCTCAGGTTTTGCCTGTTCCTAAGGGCTTTTGCCTGTTCCTAAAGTCTTTCATTAGTGGGGATTAAACTTGTCCTTTGGGTCAAATTTTACTCATATCTCTCAGAAATCTTACTTAGAGGAGCACCAGCAGTTGCACAGAGTTCCTGGCTTAGCTGTAGCTGTGCTCCAGGCTTAAATGCTGACACTGGAAGCTGATTTGCATCTACTCAGGGAGGGGCTGTGCCACATCCAACCTGCTGGGAGGTCCCAGGAAGGATCTGATGGAATTTATTCATCTCTTCCAACCACCTCTCCATTGAGGGTCTTGTGAGCTCTTAGGTTTATCAGGTTGTCCCTGGTAAGCTCTGGATACCAGGCTGGATGGGGCTTGGAACAACCTGGTGTAGTGGAAGGTGTCCCTGCCCATGGCAGGGAGTTGGAACTGATGCCTTTTTGGGACCACCTAAAAACAGAGGCCCCACAAAATTAAAGAGAATAACAAGAATTTGTATTCATTGAAGGGCCTTCAGGTACACTTGGGGCATACAAACCTCCCCCCATGGGCTACACCCCAAAAATAGACAATGGGTCATAGGTTTTCATATTTTTTAAGTTTGGTTCACTTGCATATTGTGGGGTTAATCTACCAATTACACCTTCAAGTAATGAAGTAATTTACCCCAAGTTTGTTGCCCCCAACTTTTGTTTACATTTCTCAGGCCCTGAGGCAGTAAGGTCGATTCCCATTTTCCCATGATTCCCAGGGCAGAGAGGAATTACCTGACCAAAATGGGAAAGCAGCAGCTAACACTCTGTATGGAGTTTAGAGTTATACACTAAAGAATTGCAGGATTACAAATATATGAAAATAGAAAAGCTAAAATCCTAAGGCATCAGAACTAGGTGGTCTTTAAGGTCCCTCACAACCCAAACCATCCTGGGATTCTCTGATTCTATGATTTAATTAACTTCTGTGATTCTCTAAACTTTGGATTTGTTCTGACTATGCACCACTGGAAACAAACTTATCTACTGCTGGAGCTTGAAACTAGTTTTCTGACCGCATCTCCTGAAAGTTCCTTCCCTTGTTGTTACCACATCCATAGATATGATTATGGCTTTGATTCAGAAGCTTATGTGCCTCAGGGCTGCTGGTCTGTCTGATGTCCCTGTGTGCAGTGCTGCTTGACTGCTCCTCGCTGCCTTATGACACTGGATACAGGGATACAGGACATGGGGATAAACACACAATTTACCTGTCTAAACCTGGTGCCAGGTCACTAACCTGGAGCAACAGGATTTGTTGTTTTTATGATGTTTTTCAAGTTGAATCTGCATGGCTTCGGCATGTGCCTCAACCCACCAGTCCTTGGGGTTTTTACTGGATTTATTTGTGTGGGGAAGATGACACTGAGCTCTGACATCTGCCTTGCTGCCTCACAGTGAGCTGTGCAGAGTGCACATGCCAAGGAATCAGCTATCCTATTTATTTCTGAAAGACCAAGGATACAAATACTCTTCTGAAGGAGCCTGCTGTAGTCTTAGTTCCATAAATATATATTTTAAAAAATAAGTTTTGAGTCTCGTGTTCTGGGTATGTGTTCTTTTTTTAAAGTTGTCATGTTCACTTTCTGTTGGGGATGGGTTTGAGGTCCATGCAAAGCATCTTAGTCTCTCCTGGATGGAAACCTACAAGATCACATCCTCGCTCTGCCTTTATTTCAGTCCTTGCTCAATACCAATGCAGTAGTGGGAGAAAACACCCCAAAAGACAATGGGAGGAGAACTTGTGATTAGCCATGAGCTGCAGACCATGCAGGGCTGTTTCCCCTGGAAGAGTATCTGCTCTGTGAAAACTTGCATGGTTTCTTTTTTGTGATTTTTTCCACTGTCTGAGCACAATAGTTGCTGTTTGGCTTTTCTGGATGTAGAGGTCCCCAGTGAGGCTAAACCTTGACTTGCACGTTTACTAAAAGCACAGAAGTAATCCCAAAACCGGGGTGCTGGGGAAGGTTTCCCTCCCCCTACACGCATGTACAGCTTACCTTTCCCATAGATACTAAAAATTCCAGGTTACACTAGCAACATAAAGACTTCTCAAGCCCTAAGCACAAGGTCCTAAGGAGAGAGCAGTGCCTGTTCAAGGCAGTTAACTGGACTGTGATGTGTTCTGCAAAGTGCCACTGAGCTCTGGGGCTGCACTGGGAGAAGTCACTCCTGCTCCGCGTGGGGACTGGGCCCTGCTCCAGCTGCAGCTCCCTGGGGATGTCTGGCTGCCAGGAGAGGGCTCTGAGGGACTGCAGTTCCTGCTCCGGGGCTGAGCCAGCATTCCTGCTGTGCTGGAGGTGTCTCAGGCCCTGCGGCAGACACAAGTGACCTCACACTCCCCATCCTCACCAGTGGGGGCTTGGCTTCTCATCCCACATTCCCTGTAGCAGGAGCTTGGACTGGCCCTATGGACAGTTTTTGAGTCCCTGCAGCAGGCTCTGGTTCACTATGGACTATCTGTCTGTCCCTCTGGACGGTCTGTGTGTCCCTGTGGAGGGTCTCTTTGTCCCTATGGATGGTCTGTATGTCCCTGTGGATGATCTCTGTGTCCCTATAGTGGACCCTGGTCATCTGTGGAGTGTCTGTCAGTCCCTATAGACAACCTGTGGGTCCCTATGGCAGACCTCGCTCATCTAGGGATGGTTTGTGGGGTCCCCACAGACAGTCTGTGTGGCCATGGACACTTTGTGACTCCCTATGGCGTGTCTGTCCCCATGCGGTGTCTGTCTGTCCCAGTAGAATCTCTGCGTCCCTCCGCCCCGCCCCCGCTCCCTCAGCCCCTCGCCCCGCCCCCACCCCAGCCACCCCCTGTGATTGGCCGGCGACAAGGGGGCGGGATCCACCGCCCATCTGTCGCTGTGATTGGGCGGTGCTACGGGGGCGTGTCTCACCGCTCATCTCTCTCTGTGATTGGTGGGTGCCGTGGGGGGGGAGGTCTCGCCTCCCAGCTTTCTCTGTGATTGGGCAGCGCTGGAGGGGGCGCGTCTCACGGCCCATCTCTCTCTGTGATTGGTGGGTGCGGCGGGGGCGTGTCCCACCGCCCGTCCCTGCCCAGCCCGGTGCCGCCTCAGCGCGGGGCAGGGCGGCCATGGCCGAGGCTGTGCGACCCCCGCGCCGCTCCCGCACTCGCCCCAAGGTAACGCGGCAGCGAGGGGGGCGAGGGGCGTCCCCCACGGGCGGTGGGGGCTCGGGAGGGTTCCGCGTGTCGGGGCGGCGGCGCCAGGCCGTGTTTACATCCGTGTTTGTGCGGCCTCTAATGGTGAAGGGTGGAGAGTGGTGGAGCATTTGTGGGTGATGTTCTGGTGTTTTTGGGTTTTTTTTGTTTCGTAAAAAGATGCTTGCTGCTTCCTGCTGTTTTGCACTGCGTAGCCATGGATTTGTCGTTTTTGCCAGGCGGGTGAGGGTTGTTGTGATAGGCCTTGTGCTGTAGTAGGATGTAAACAAGGTTTTTATTATGTTGTCGTACAGCCTCCTCAGGGGTCCCGTGTCCTGTGGGAGAGCTGAGGGAATGTGCAGCAGTGGAACTTACCTGGATTTACAGTGTTTTAGTGTAGTGTGGGGAGACAGTCCTACAGACAGAGCTGGGGCTGCTCCCCTGCACAAGAGAAGGCTCCAGGGAGAGCTGAGAGCCCCTGGCAGGGCCTAAAGGGGCTCCAGGAGAGCTGCCCAGGGACTGGGGACAAGGCCTGCAGGGACAGCACACAGGCAATGGCTTCCCAGTGCCAGAGGGCAGGCCCAGCTGGGATATTGGGAAGGAATTGCTGGCTGGGAGGGTGGGCAGGCCCTGGCACAGGGTGCCCAGAGCAGCTGGGGCTGCCCCTGGATCCCTGCAGTGTCCAAGGCCGGGCTGGATGGGCCTTGGAGCATCCTGGGACAGTGGAAGGTGTCCCTGCCCATGGCATGAGGGTGGAATGAGATCTCTTTACATTCCTTTCTAACCTAAGTCATTGATTCTGTGTTACTCCATCTTGTCTACGTTAGGCTTTGAAATGCTGAGAACATGATGCCATGTCTAGCACATGATAGTGCTGCTTCTTCATAAGCTGTTTTCAAGTATCATTCTTCCAGGCTTTTATCCTGTTTTTAGTGTATTCCTTGTTCATGATATTAGTACTGACAGCTTTTTGAAGACTTTTATTTAAAGTATTTTCTTTATTCAGAGTGTTTGTGGGAATGATCTGAACTACCTCACAAAGTGGAAATGTTTTCCTTGGTTTCTTAACCTCTTTCTTCCAGTTCCTATGGGCAACCATGGAGAGCAAGGACATTGAAGTCGTGACTGTAAAAGCGCTTTGAAAACGCTGAATTAATTGACCTGTGTTCTGTAAAACCAAGGTTAAATCTAAGTGTCAAGTGTGGGTGTACTTCCCAAATGGAAGGCAAGTAAAGATTGCAGGGAAGAGCAATCCCAGAAGAGTTACTGTGTCATTCTTTTAGTTTTGATTCAGCACCCTGGCTTGTGCAGGGCAGTCAAACCTTCAAACTGCTGCCTAGGAAAATTGGTTCCCTGCAGGAAGGCGGTGAGTCATGGATGACACTGCTGTTTCATTAAGGACATGTGTGTGGTGACTCTAGTCTTTAGCCATCCCTTCTAGGTGAAATTCACTGTGAAACAATTCACTGGAGGTATCACATGTAAGAGCCCTGAATTCTCCAGTGCTACACATGACCCATTTCTGGTATTTCTGTTGCTATTACTGTGCTCACCTCTGTTAATACCCAGGCATGCCTGAGGATGCAGTTTGCGGGTCAGTCACATTAAGGACTTTTCCATTCCCATGCGACAGAAAAAGCTGTAATCCTTTGAAAAGCTGGAATTCTTGTGAGCTGAGAGAAAGGCTGGCTCAGCTGCAGAGCTGCCAAGTGGTGGAATGGAGCCCAGGGCTTTCTGACAATAGTGGCCCCAAAGTTAAACTTGTGCAGCACCAGCAGCACCAGACTGATTCAAACACAGAGAGGTGGCAAAACCAGTGCACCTGGAAATGGTGAGGAGGAGCCCCTGTGTCTGCTTGTTTCTGTGTATGGCACTCAGGTTGATGCCTTGGGATTTTAGGGTTTATATTTTTCATATACTTGTAAACTCCATAAAGTCTGTTAGCTACTGTTTTTCCATTTTGGTCAGACACAGTTTCTCTCTAGGCTTGGGAGTCAAGGGCATTTCACTGTCTCAGGCCCCTAGAAATGTAAGCGAAAGTTTGGGGGCATCAAACTTGGGGTTAATGAGTTCATTACCTTGAGCTGCAACTGGAAGATTAATCCCCAATATGCAAATGGACCAAACTTATAAAAATATGAAAACCCATGACCCATCATCCATTTTGGGTGTAGCCCCTGGGGAGCTTTGTCTGTCCAAAATGTACCTGAAGGCCCTTCAATCAATATAACTTCTTTTTATTCCCCTTAATTTTGTGGGGCCTCTGTTTTAGGTAGTCCCAAAAAGGCATCAGGATTATTCCAGAGATATTTCCTGAAAAGTCTGAAGTGTCCATAGAATTTGAGGGTTATTGATGATGTGCAAGGAGAAGGAAGTTGTCAGGCATGGGGCAAGGCTAATGAGCAGCTATCATTTTCCCATCCCAGGGAGTGTTTCAGGCCAGACTGGACAGGGCTTGGAGCGACCTGGTCTAGTGGAAGGGGTTCCTGCCTGTGGAAAGGGTTGGAATGAGATTGTCTTTGAGGTCCCTTCCAAACCAAAACATTCTGGGATTCTTTGATATGTGGCTTAAGCAGAATTTTCCTGCTTGTCAGTTCAGAACTTGATTTCTCTCATTCTTTCTCAGATGAAATCTCTTTAAATGATTATGCCTTTTTTTTTTTGCCTAGGAAAGTGAGAACTGAAAGGCACATCATAAATTTTAAAAACAGCTGGGTCTGGGAGGGAGGGATGCAGGCTGATACTGAGAGATAAAGGGAGTTTATTCTATATGAGGACTGCAAGAGGAAACATTGAGATTGTAGAGGGGAGAGGACCAGCATATGTTTGTGAAGTACGTGGATCAATACACTGTATAAAGATGATTTTTATACAATATCCTGTGGAAATTATTGACTTTGTGGTAGTTGTCGGGAGGTGCCTATTATGACAAGTCCAGGCTTAAAAAATTGCACTGATGTATTTTTAGCCTCTCACCTGCAGGTTTTACTCACTCAGCTAGTGAGTCAGAGCTGTTTTGTGATCAGAAGTGTATACAGGTTTTAATACACCAGAAAAAAGTATGAAAGCAAAGCCAGAGTACTTTTTTTTGTAAAGGACTTGTGACCATATGTTCAGAATAAAATTAGCCTTGAGACCAAGGTGAGCTAGTGCCTTGATTTGAGCTGTTTTCATTTATGCTTTCTCTTAAGGCAAGAGTATTCAGATGTTTAGTAAAAATAGATGTGATACTGCAAGCAAGTTTCTAAAACTGTTGTCTTTTCCCTATTATAATTTCCCCATATTAAAAGCTTGTACTAATTTCACCTATGTTCATTGTTACATTTTCTGGGTCATCCAAAACTGGAACACTGTGACCTAGCTCCTCAGTTTTACTGCTAATAAAGTGTTAGGTCTACACAATTTACGGATTGGCTAACCACTTTGCCAATTTTTTGTTTTACAAGTTGGCAAATGATTTACAGGTTATCAAAATCTCAGTTCATTTCCTATGCTGTGCTTTTGGGAAGGAAGCTAATCTACACCTTAGATTAGGTTTATGGGAATTATTTTCCCTCAAACTAATTGTAATTTTGAATTGATTTGCAATTTTAATGGTACTGTTAAGTTTTTTTGAAATCTCCAGTGTGTATTGCCTGCTGAAAACAGGTATTTCAGTAGTTGTTCAGATGTTACCATGGTTTTAGAATGTAGCTAAGGGTTACATTCCACTTGCTTTGTTCTGAAATTGCTATTTCAAAAATGTTTTTCCAGTCACTAAAATATTCTGTAACATTTAAGGTGGGTCTGGATTACAGAGTATCTTTTTTTTTATTTTTTTATTTTTTTTGTTTGTTTGTTTGTTTTTGTCAATATGGTGAAATTGAGTAACTCTTCTTAGGTGTCAGAGTTCGATTATGTTGATTATTTTATGTGTTAATGAAACAGTCTGTCGTGTGATATTTATAGATTTTTACTTAGAAATGGTGAAGCCTTGTGCAAGAGCTGACCAAGAAAACACATACTGGTAGACAGTCTTCATAGGGCATCTAAAGAGCAAAGATGTGTTTGGTATATTTGTTTTTATCTTTAATGTTATGAAAATGTTTAAAAGGGCTTTTGGAGTCATAGTGCTGACAAATACTACTATTGGTGTTGGTGGTATTTGGGATGCAAGATGGAGAGATTCACTTGGCAGTGACACTGTTAATTTTTTGTTTGCTTAGGAAAAAAAGAAAAGAAGCAGCGAGGAGCCCCAGGTACAGGAGCCTGATGATGTTTTCCTGCCTCCTGTGGCAGAAGGGTCTTCTCAAGCCAGGAGTGTGCAAGTGGAACATCCTGGAGAATTTACAGAAATTCAGCTCAGAGATGAAGTAGAAAATAGGAAAACTATAAATGATGCGTCTGACATCCCCCAAAGTCATTTATCTTCAGCAAATGAAGGGGCTCTGGCAGTGACTCTGGAGCCTTCCAAAGATGCAGAAAAGGCCAAAGCTGATCCTTCCCAGGAAGAATGTGGGGAGGGTGTTGAGAAGAGCGAGAACAAGTTGGACAAAACTCAGAGCCCTGCGGAGGCAGTTGCTAGTGGATCTAGGAATTCTGATTTATTGGGTAGTACCTCTCAGTCCAATGCTGCTCCCCCTCTGTTAGTGATGGGCTTCGTACAGGGCAGAAGAGCTGAAAACCGACAAGACTTTAGAGATCCTCTTGCCTGCTCTTCAGAGAAGCTTCCTCTCAGCACCTCACAGCGCTCTGAGAAATCCAAGTCGCGCATTCTGCGGCCAATTTATCCAGACCTGTCCTTGGAGCTGTCCTATGAGAAACCCACCATCATGGCAGTGAAGCCCCTGCTGCACCACGAGAGGCTGTACCCAGAGCTCCCCTCCGAGCCAGAGCTGGTGCCATTCACCAGGGAGCAGCTGAAAATCTTTGAGCCCTGTTCGTGGCTGGAGAATGTTGACTCCTATGCCGAGGAATTTGAGAGTGTGGCTCACCAGGACAGGCATGAGTTCTACGAGCTGCTCCTGAACTACATGCGCTGCAGGAAGCAGCTGCTGTTGGCTGAGGCAGAGCTGCAGGCCATGACAACAGACTGCCAAAATGTGAAGGGGAGATTATGGACTTTCAAGGAACAACAGAAGACTGTGCAGGTGCTGTTGCTGAAGCTACTTTTGAACCCAAACTATTCGGAAATTAACTTTACTTGGTGCCAGGTTTATCGTAGTTAGGCTGTTTTGTTGTAAAAAATCACAGAATGTCATGGGTTGGAGGGGACTTTAAAAGTCATCTAATCCCAGCCCTGCTTTCCATGGACAGGGACATCTCCCACTAGACCAGGTTGTTCAAGGCCATATCCAACCTGGCTTTGAGCACTGCTAGGATTGGGCCAGCCTTCCGGGGCAACCTGCCAGTGTCTCACCATACTCACAGTAAAGATTTCTTTTTTCCTAATATCTAACCTAAATTTCCCTTCTTGCAGTTTGATCCCTTTAGTCCTTGTCCTGTCACTGCAGCTCCTGATGAAGAATCCCTGTCCAGCTTCCCTGTAGGCCCCTTCCAGATCCTGCAAGGTGCTGTGAGGTCTCTACACTCCCCTTCTCCAGGCTGACCAGCCCCAGCTTTCTCAGCCTGTTTCCATAGGGAAGGTGCTCCAGTCCTCTTACCAACTTCTTTGCTTCCTCTGGACTTCCTCTGGCTCTAAGAGTTCCATGTCCAGAGATTATTGCCTTTGCTTTCTGTCTCTTCCGTGACCCCCAGCACTTCAGGATATCATCCTCTTGAGACTTTAGACTGTTCGTTGTTTGATTTTTAACCCCTGACGTGTGCAGGGCAGTGGGATATATATGTTGGTGATTTCTTTTGGGGTCAGTAAGGATGAGCTGTGTACACCCAGTTCTGTCTGTGGTGTCAGGTGAAGTTTGTATCACCACACTCCAAGCAGATGTGGAGGACACGTGGTGGAGTGGCTGTAGCAGTGATGTCCCATCTGGCCTGCAGCCAACTGTAGGGACAGTTTCCATTGATGGCATTCCTGCTGTCAGAGTGGCAGGGGAGCTGGAGTCGTGCTCAGGAGTAGCCCCATAGCTCAAAGGGAATGTTAGGGCCATCCACTTGCAGCAAGTTGTTCCAGAAGTGTAGCTGTGGTTTTTCTTACTTCCAGAGTGGGCATGGTACTCTCTAATATTTTTGTAAACCAAAGGGGTTTATGGAGCAATTCGGGGTGCACATCAGGAAAGTTTTGCCCCTGACTCCTTCTGTGACACTTGCCTTTGGAACTCAGTGTTACAGTTAGGAGTGAAAGAAAATGTTCTGGTGCTGTTTATAGCCCACACATCATCAAAATTGTCCAAAGATGCTGAACACCTATTCATATGGTAGATTTTTCTGTTTCTGTGAGTGCAGTTCATCAGAATTGAGGAACTGAACACATCTGAATTCTTTCCTTTTTATTGGGGAATAGCACTGAGCCTCACTGGATTCTAAAGTTTACAGTGGTCATTTTCTGTACCAAAAGCAATTTTGGCTTCAGTCTTGCATCCTATAAGGGAATCATAGAGCTGTCTAAGTATCTAAATATATAGTGAATTGGGATGAAATAAAGAAGTTGCTGCTTGCTTTGTTTCATCCCAATTCACTATATATTTATTGTGTGTACAGAATAATTTTTGTTTTTATACCTGTTTAAAGTTCTTATTCTACTAATTTAGGAAACACAGGGAAGCTCTCAAGGTAAGCTTTCAAAGTGCTGGTTCTTAGAAATGTTCCTGATTGCATAAAAGATTAACAGGAATGTTATTTATCGTAAGAATAACAAGAATCTTATTTATTGAATTTTTTTTTTTGCTGAAGAAGTAGAGATGAGGCAGAGGAAAACTGGACTGAGCTTTTCATTTCAGTTTGGGAAAAGGTTAGAGTGCAGGTAATTTCTGAACATTTTAAACATGCAGTGGGAAATTGCTGCAAATTATCAGTCCTGGGAGTTTGGGAAATATTTATCTTGTTCCAGTGAGTGTTTCAGCTTTAAAATAGCAGATCAAATATATATGGAAATCTGTAAAATAAGAAGCAGGTGCATAATTATTGGGAATGAGACACCTGGATTTGTTCACATTTCTCAGTGCTGCAGGCAAGTAACTTCTGGCTGTTTCTTAACCTGAGTTACTGAGGGTTTACATAACATTTTTTTCTTCAGGAGTCAAGGATATGAATCTTCAGTAATCAGTAGCTATAAAAAGCACGTAGGATATTGCCAAATGTTTGTCTTTTCATTTATGAAATGTCCCTTTTTATGAAAGTCTTGAAATCTGTTTAGGAGAGAGTTATATCATGATTGATTTCTGTTAGGGTGACCCAACAAAATGTCAGAACTGCTGACATAAAATATTTGCTCTCTTTTCAGGGTATGTGTGCAGATCAGTGCAAGGTGACAGGTCACCACCGCTACCAGACAGTGGAGCTGAACGAGAGTGTGCTGGGGGAGCTGAGGAAGCTGTTTGAGGCCAAAGCAGAGCATGTACACCAGACCCTGGCACTGCACTCCTACACTTCGGTGCTGTCCCGCTTGCAAGTGGAGTCCTATGTTTACAGGTTGCTCAGCAGCTCGTCCCTGCTGAGATCTGTGGCCCTGCAGCAGCAAGAACAAGGTGTGTTTGCTGGTCTGGACTGCTCCCAGTCCTGGTCAGGGTGCCCAGCACCTTCTGCAGCTGCAGTTTCGGAGTCTTGTGGTGGAATTTGTGTACTGGAGTGCTTCTGCTCTGTTACAAAAACCTGTTGATCTTATGTAGGGATCAGTCAGACTTTTTTTTTCACAGGAAAATGTCCACTTCCCTTGATTTTGTCACCTGGGCAGTAAAAGCTGAATGCAGGGTGACTTCTGCTCTGTGAGCTGCAGACTGACACTGATTACTGTAAAGAAACACTGTGTGGATGGGACACTCAAATTCCCAGTCTTTTGTTGTCCAAGGCAATATCTAATACAGTTTTTTTTCCCCACTTCTAAAATGAGCTGGGTATTTTTCCTGCTTTACTTCCTCTTGGAAGGCCATTTGAAATCTTAAGCTCTTAATATTTAGGATTATCTTTTTGCTTTTCTGCCTATGTGTTCTGTTTTATATTTTGTGCCAATATTCTTTTAGCTAAAATATTTCTTCTCCTCCTGCCCCAGATATTTTTCTTTCTTATTGCTCCTCCCTTTGCACTCCACCTCCCAGATAGTTTACATGCACAGTAAATGATGATTCTTACCATTTACTCAAGATGATGTTGAGGGAAGGCCTTTTGTGGGAGTGACCACAGTAGATTCTAATAATTAGTATCCAGATCTTGATTATAAGAAGAAACAAAGTATTGTAAGTATTCTTTTCTGAGGGATCGAGCAGGCAGCTGTGTTGAAATATCTTGGTGTCTGCAGATACAGAGAGCAGTTTTATATGCAGCTCCAAGCCCATTGTTCATGCTGCAACTTCTTGTCAAAGCTTCATTAATTCTGTTTTTAATTTACAGTTTCAAAGCAGTCAGAAAATCTCTCTTCAGACTTGAGCCACTTGAAGGAATGCATCAGTGTCCTTTTCAGCTTCACTCGCAGGGTTATTGAAGATCCTCAGTTTCACAGTGACCTTCTCATGTGGCTGCAGAGACTGGTGAGGAAGTAGACGTGGATATATCTGATCCAACACACAGGATGAATTCAGGAATAATTTCTGGAAGTGTTACTGTTTTGCTCCCTGTCCCATGAGCGATGTTTATTTTTGGTGGGGTTTGTCCTACTTGAGGAACAGAATCTCTCAGCAGATCTTTAGAATTGATTCCCTTGTCTGATAAAGTCAAGCAGCATTAGTGAGGACTGGCACCTGAGCAGGCAACACTGCTCGCAGTGACCTTAATAATACTCATTGTGCTTTTACTTACTTTGAAATTAGACCTGTTCAGACTTGTCATGTTTGAGAAACTTTTGTTCTTTCCAATTTCTAAATAAATTAGATTTTAATGCAGTTGTAGAAAAAAATAATTACTTTATGCCAAAGAAAGCAGTTTGTGGCTCGTAAGGCAATCTAACAGAATTTAAATATTGTTCTCCTGTAACATGCTCTGAAAACTCAGGTCTGTTAGAAAGTGTGGAAAAGGAAATGAGCAGTATTACTCTAGTTAGCAAGACTGTAAGGAAATGAACTTCAAAATTATTTACTTGATTTCAATCTACTTCCCTCCAGGTATCTGTGTTGCAGAGAATTGGCTGTCCAGGTGACCATCTCTTCCTCTTCAACCACATCCTTCGGTGTCCAGCTGGCATCAATGAGTGGGCTTGTCCATTCATTCAGGTGTGAATGTTTAATTCTTTAGTGTCAGCAGGTTGGAGCAGGAGTGGTGTGGGTAGGAGAGGAGAGTGTCTTGTGCCTACTTAATCCCTCATGACTCACACTGTCTTTCCAGGTGTGTGGAATCATGGTGCCAGTGAGAGGCTTGTAAGGGAATACAGTTATCCATGTTAGGCTAACCATGTGCAGGTTAACAGGGGAACACACCTCACTCTTGACTGGAGAGGTTCCATGAAAGGAAGTCAAGGCCTTATGCATCAGATTTTGGGAGTATTCTCCAAATAGTGGAAAGCATATTTAGACTTGAAGCAGGAACAGTATATAAAAAGTGAGATTGGAGTCAGCTCTATGATGTGTAAAGGATCAGGAGAAGCAGATTTTTTTATATCCTACACATTGAAGTGGGACTGGTTTCCCTGGAAAGGGACAAAGGAAAGGGCTCACTTTGTCTAGGTCAGAGGGAGTGTGGATATCCAAAGGCGTTCTTTCAAAGAACATCTTTTGCTTTTCTAAGAGGAGAAAACATTGGAAATCTTGTCACAGGAAAAAGGCTTCAATTGCACTAACAGGAAAAGCAAACAATGCAATAGAAGTATAGAACAGATTAAATTAGCTTGGGAAAGACCCTTAATATCATTGAGTCCAAATAACCTAACATTAACCTAATGTGGTAGGATTTCATCATCCCCTGTGCTCACTGAATTACCCCTGGTGCCCAGACCTACATGTGGCACAAAAAGAGAGGTTGTCTTTTTTATTTATGGAGCTTTTGACCTAGTTTTTTTTTTTTCCCCTATCCTATAATTCTTCTAAGTAATTCTTTTGAACAAGTCACAATATTTTGCCATGGCAATACTTTGTCCAGGATGTGGGTGTTGTCTTTTATGGATTCTTACAAGTCTTAACAAAAAGCTGGTGAGAAATGTGAATTTCTCTGCTAAGAATAATTTGCCCTTTGCTAATCTAGATTTACTTAGATTTTTGCATTCAATTTCAGATCAAAGTCTTGGGTAACCCATCGGGTGTCTTTCATTTCATGCAGTCTCTTGCCTTGCTTATGTCTCCTGTCAAGTAAGTATGAACAAGATTTTATAATATATGTTCTGATTATTTTAGAGTAGAAAGCACAACATACAATCTACTTGTAGAACTCTGAAAGTTCATTGCAGGCAAAGTAATAAAAGCAGGCACAAATAGATTCATAGTTTAATTCAAGCTCTTTTTACTCAGTCATCTTAAAATTCACCCTTGGCATTACCTCCTTGTGCTGTACACAGTATGTTGCAGCTTTCTTTCAGCTGTGAAATAGCTTGTGAAGACTGACAGACCCACAGGTTTTGTTACTGTGGCTTCTGAAATATCTCTTGCTTTGCACCATGGCCTGTTTTTTATATTGTCTCTGCAATAGAATCCCCCTAGTAAAGGTGTTAAGCTGGTGTGCACACTGATTAGACTTCTTGATATATTTTTCACCCTTTTAAAAAAAAATATTTTTAAAATCTAGTAGGAATGTTGTACTTGGAGAAGCTAGTTAATGAAATTAGTCACAAGTGAAAGCAGTTATGTTCTCCAGATAAAATACATAACTTGCCTCTACTGCCCAAATTTTGAGGTCAAAGACTCAAACTGCTGGTATTTAGGGTTGTCACTGTGATCTTGATAGTTTTGGTCAGAGTTAAATGGGAGTCTTTTTTTATTGAAAGCTATTATTTTAAAGGGTTTTTTTTTACATTTCCTTTCTAGAATTGCCTGGGGAAACCAGTGTATCCTGAGGGAGTGTGTGTTGCCAGTGCCTTTTGATACTTGTGTTTGGAACAAGGGTCAGCTTAATGTGTCTGGGGTGCTGCTCTAAATGTTGATACCAGAACTCAGAGCCTCCACAGGGTCTGTTCTTACTGGTAAAAGAGCTGAGGCTTGTCTGTTACAGCTCCTGCATGTCAGGAAGCAGGTTATCCTAGAGTCATTTACAGTCATAGGATTGTTTAGGTTGAAAAACACCTTTAAGATTATTGAGTCCAACCCTTAACCCAGAACCACTGTTTCCGCTGCTGAACCATGTCCTCTGGTGCCACATCCATAAGCCTTCTGAACTCTTCCAGAGATGTTGACTCCACCACTGCCCTAAACAATCTATTGCACGGCCTGACCAAGTTTACAAGAAAAAAATTTTCCTAATATCTAATCAAAACCTCCTCTAGTGCAACTTGAGGCTGTTTCCTATCCTATTATTTGTAACTTGGCAGCACAGCCCAACCCCCCCCGACTGTCCCCTCCTGCCAGGGAGTTGTGCAGAGCCACAAGGGCCCCCTGAGCCTCCTTTGCTCCAGGCTGAGCCCCTTTCCCAGCTCCCTCAGCCGCTCCTGGGGCTCCAGCCCCTTCCCCAGCTCCGTTCCCTGCCCTGGACACGCTCCAGCCCCTCGGTGTCTCTCCTGTGCTGAGGGGCCCAGAGCTGTCCCAGCACTGGAGGTGCCTCAGCAGCGCCGGCACAGGGGACGGGCCCTGCCCTGGGGCTGTGTCACACCTGGCTGGCACAGCCCAGGGGCCACTGGCCTCTCGCCCACCTGGCCACCCGTGGGCTCCTGTCCAGCTTATGCTTTTCTTGCCAATTTCTTCCTCTTGCATATGAATTTTTTAGTATCTTCCCTTAACTGAAAGACTACTGAATTTAGAAATTTTTATTTCCTAATTTTTTACACATGAATTTTCACTCTAAACCAGAAATCGCGTGGACTTTATGTGCCATATGAAACCAAGTGACAGGAAAAGTTCCTCTTCATCTGGGATGGAATCTGGGAACTGGACTCTGGTAGATGAAGGAGGAGAAGAGGTATAGCAGATGACTTCTTCTTTTTTCTCTTTGCTTTTTTCCTTTATGTTTTTGTCCAAGCTCATTGATCTTCATGAAATGGATGAAGAGAATCTGACTTGTAAAGGTAAAAAGTATGGTTTGAATTTACTTCTGTTTTAGCCTCCTTTTGTTTCTGTAGTATAACTGTAGAGAGTGCGGCTTCTAGTAATGAGTATTAGCAGAGAGAATTCAAATATTTCAGTTACTCCTAACAAAACTGTAATTAGTACCATAGTGAAGCCCTTTATTGCTGGTGTCATTGTAAAGCCACTGACAGCACCTGTATTTGTCTATAGGATGAGGATCCTGAAACAAGCTGGATTCTACTCTTGGAAGATGACTTGATTGCTCTGTTGTCACAGTTCCCATTTCATGAACTCTTTCAGCAGTTTCTCGGGTTTACGTCTGAAGGTAAATCAGTTGCTATTCTTCATTTTGCTTATGGTAATTATATTAATGACTGCCATGGCCAGGGTGCTACTGTATTATGAAACTCTCTGAGAAAAATAGTAACAAACCTGTGCAACAGCTTGCAGGCTAAAGAGATGAGATGGAAGTATATGCCATGTGTAAAAATTAAAACCTCATAGCAATATGCATGCAAAACATTAGAGTCTTCTCCCTTAGTTTGGATTTGGTTGTTCATTTGTTTGTTTGTTAACTCCCAAAAGTGCTTTCAGAACTATTTTTCCCTCCTCACCTCTTAATTGTAGTGTTACTATGATTTTTCTCTGATTATTTTTTTTTTCAAAATGCCTGGGCAAGTACATGAAGGTAATTGCTTGCCAGAGGTCTTAATACCTGCATAGTTTATTTGTACTTTCACACTTAGCAGATATTTATTGTTCATTTCATGAACAAAACATACATTTCAGTTCACAGTATGGTGAATTGTTACTTTCAGTGCTTGTTAAGTTAAAAATTAGTGCTTGTTAAATTAAAAATCCAGAATTCATACTTTTTTTTTGACTCTTATTTTTATGTCTTCATCTTAGGTGCTTATTTTCCTGAAAAAACATCTCCCCAGAAGATGATGAAGATTTTTGCCTTTGCAAACTCCTTAGTGGAACTTCTGTCTATGGGGTTGGAAACGTTTAACAGAGCACGGTACCGACAGTTTGTGAAGAGAATTGGTCAGCTCATCAAGTAAGAGAATTTTTTTCTCTGTGCTGTGATTGAATCTAAATATTTCATATTTAGAGCTGCTAAAAAATCCCCAGAACCAATCATCAAACAACCAAAAAAACCCAAATCCCGTCCAAACAGTTCTCAGGTATGTTTTGCTCTGATGTTTGGTCAGTTCAGGGTTATCCAGTCTTAGGAATATGAAATGGGGAATTACAAAATCTAAGCCCTGTGAGTACAAAGAAGTGAAGTGAGCTGTGGAGCACCAGGCTGACTTCCATTAGTAATGTTGTTAGGCTTGTCTTGGGTAGCCCCTGAAACCCAGCAAACAGAATTTCCTTGAATTTCTCCTGTCTATAACCAATGTTACTGCTTTATTTGTTGTTACCCAGAATTGTTTCAGGATTTTTAATTTGCTCCCTGCAAATTGTCCTATTGTTGCAGTAAATAAATGTAATTGAAGCCTAAAAGCTACTCTTTATTTTTAAATCTCCAGCATTCACTCTATATGGCTTCTATGAGTGTATCCTCAAGGGGGAATACCGTTAAATCAGAAACAAAATCCATCTTTTTCTTTGTGTTATGGAGGCAGTAACTTTCTCAGTGTAATTATTCCTTTATGAGCTTTCTGGATGTACTGCCATTTCATCCTGTACAGTTACCTTAAGGCTCCAAAGGTCACACAAGAAGTAATTTGGTATAACAGAATATTACGCCTTGTTTGCTTGTAAAACCAGGGAAGGAGAACACAGAAATTTGACTGATACAATTTCTATAGAAACCTCTGGAGCCCAGAGGGCAAAACGTTGGAAATGTTTCTTGTGGCTAGACTCTGATCTGATTGCCCTTGTCTGTGTTTTCCTGTGGTTGTGACATACTTAATGATCCTTCTTTGGCTTGTTTGCTCTGCTGTATAGGATGACACTGTGTCATGTGAGTGACCACTGGGCCCAGTATGTTAGTGGCAATAAACAATATGGATCAGTAGAACACCCCTACTCTGTGGAAAAATTGCAACTGGAGTTTGATGAGCTGTTTTTTAGAGCTGTTCTACATGTTCTGAAGGCAAAAAGGTGGGTAATCCCTTCACTGGCTTAGTTTTGAGGAGCTGAATCCTTGAAACTGGGATTTGGACTAGCTTTAAATAAATGTTTAAAGGTTTAAACAAGACTGAAATAAGTAGGATTTTTCAGTGCACTGGTAGCATCAAGGTGGGGAGGAATTAGGCCATGAATTGTAGCAACTGACAGAAGCTCTGGAATCTTGGTCAGTTCAGAATGAGGTTGGCTCAGAATTTGAGGTGCTAATACACATCCTCACATTCCTAATTCTGTTACATAGCAGAGGTGTGGGCCAGAGATGTCTCCTTTCCAAATGCTGGGATTTGTCAGGGTGGAACTGTTCCTAACTGCCTCTTCAAATCCAACAGGTTGGGAGTCTGGCTGTTCATGTCTGAGATGCCTTATGGAACCTTGTCCAGCAACATGCTTTGGAGGCTCTTCTTTGTCATGCATTGTGCTGAGAGCGAGCAGCTGGAGCAGCTCTGCTCTACTCTTCAGCCTGCTGACTACAAGCAAAGACTCAAAGGTAAAATTCCCCCACAGAACCAATTCTAATCCATTCATCTGCTGCTGCATCTGCTGTGGGTTTAACTCTGTGCAGGTTGCATTGTTAAATGCACTCTTGGGAGCATGACTGGTCCAGTGGCCGCAGAAATATCTTGGGCAGTTCATTGTTTTCCAGTACCTGTTTGCCCAAATTGTCATTTTAACAGCAATTGATAGATTTATTGTCCTAGTTTTGTCTGTGGCTGCCTCAGAGCTGTAAGAGTAACATGCAGGAGGTACCTCTTGTGTATCCTCATATGACTTCCCTTCTTGAACTTCAACAGTATTTGGAGAATGAGATTAAAATCCTAAAGTACAGACTTCTGTATCACTTAGGGTTGGTGTTGCAATTTCTTGGTTTGGTTTGTTTTGTTATTTTTTTGTTTTTTGTTTTTTTTTTGTGACTGGTTGACTTTTGAGCTGCTGATAGTTCTCTAAATAATGTATATCTAGAGTCTTCCTTTTCTTCCCACTAAACTTGCTAATTTTGGCTTTAATAACTCGCATTGTGGGAGACTGCTTATCATCCCCAGCTATGTTTCTCTTATCTCAAGCCTTCTTTTCATGAATTTCTTCTCCTAAGTGGCACGTTTTATTTTTATTTCCTCTTGACTTTTGTCCCATGCTGATCTCCACAGTGAACGTGGTGTCTTCAGCCATAGCAGAGCTATTTAGAGGCCAGCTGGAATTCTAGTTTCCCTCTGCTGCTGCATTCATGGATCATATTTCAGGACTTGATTGACAGAGGGATAGGTAAACAAACAGTTTACTACTCCCTACTTTACAGCTTCTTTGCTGTCTTCAGGGAGAGAAAATCTCATTTTTGTAGGTATTTCTTCTCAGCTGGCTGGTACCCCAGGTAGCTGTTACCCCATCTAGTAAGTCTTGATGGAGAAGCCGGAGAAAGTGTTGATTCTGAGAGCTTCCTGAGTGTCTTGACTGTGCAAGCTCAGCTAACATTTAAGGCCATTTACATAGGAAAGGAGAGAGATACTAAGATTGTAATTGCCTGCACTTGATGAAGTGCTGATCTGATAAGCACTTGCCAGCCAAAACGGTGACTGTTACACTGTTTCAGTAGTATGTCTTTAGTTTTGGTTTGCTGGAAATTTTTTACTGCATCTATTATGGGTTGCAGTAACAAACACAGATTTTATTTTTTTAAAATATATAACTATCTTTTTCAGGCATTGTTTGTCTTTTAGCTAGCTTTTATCTTTCAAAGCACCTGAAATGCTGATGCAATATTTATTTCCTTCTTTTGCAGTATCCTCTTCATTCTCCTCAATGATTTTGGTCAGCATAATACTGTTTTTCACTAGTGTCTAGGCAGTGAATATCAACAGTTCTTTCAGTGAAATCCATCTGATCCTCTGAAATAATTTTTTTTAACTGACACTTAAATTAATGCTTAATTTCCTGTAATTTGTACCCTGGAAGACCATGACATTAACGTTCTCTTGGGAGAAAACCATTTTTAGTAATTTCCTCTCCCAAATTAAGCATGAGAAAAGGGTGGTGAATCTACAGGTGGAAGCAAGCTTTGGTAATTGATGGAAGCTTTAGGCACCAAATCTGTGGTGGTGGGAATAATGCCTTTTTGGGACTACCTAAAAACAGAGGCCAGACAAAATTACGGGGAATAGAAAGCAGTTCTATTTTTTGAAGGGCCTTCAGGTACATTTTGGACAGACAGAGCTCCCCAGGGGCTACACCCAAAATGGATGACAGGTCATGGGTTTTCATATTTTTATAAATTTGGTCCATTTGCATATTGGGGGTTAATCTACCAATTACACCTTCAGGTAATGAAGTCATTAACCCTAAGTTTGATCCCCTCCAACTCACTTTTGTTTACATTTCTCAAGGCAGTAAGGTTGATTCCCATTTTCCCATGATTCCCAGGCCTAGAGAGGAACTGTCAGACCAAAATGGGAAAGCAGCAGCTAACACTCTGTATGGAGTTTAGAGTTATACACTAAAGAGTTGCAGGATTACAAATACATGAGAAATAGAAAAGCTAAAATCCTAAGGCATCAGGAGCATAGTTGCTGTTCTAGTGAGTGATGTCCTTGCCTATGGCAGGGATTTGAAACAAGATAATATTTAATATCCCTTTAATCCAAGGATGCTATGATTTTATTTGTGGTCACAGTTTTCTTGCTGCCAGTATCAAGATTTGAGGAGTCAGTGATTTTTAGTGTGCTCTGGACTTGAATTGTAGTGATTAGAGGAAAGGAATAGGGTCAAGCAGCAAGTGGATGGTGAAGGTGTTTTTTCTCCATTAGGAGATGACAGGATTTAGGTGGAGTCTCTCTGCTTCCCTTATCTTCAGTCCCAGGTTATGGCTTGGTGTGGGTTTGAGGCTGGTGTGGAGCCCACAGCTGACCCCTTCTCCTCACTGTAGGTCACTCTGCTGTGCCTTTAGATACAATAATGATGCAGTCATGTTTAATGTCCTTCTGCATCATCTTAAAAAAAGAACAAAACAGAGTAGAAGGGGAGGCACAGTTGTCTGTAACTTCTGCCATAAGGATAAAAAATAGCATTAGGAAATGGAGGTGACTGGATGAGGCACCTGTCTGCCTGCTGTATCGATCAGCAGGGTTGTAGTTTCTCTCCCTGTCTGGAAGAAACTGTTCTCTTAAATTGCACAATCCTCTAGCATGCTTTTCCATGAGCTGTTTTGCCTGTACAAATCTGACCTTCTCAGGTTGGAGTAGAGTTGCAAAATTCTTGAAAGCCCTTAAAATAGAACGTAACCTTAGTGAAGTGTTTGATCAGAAGAACGCTGAGCACGTGCATGTTCAGGTTAGGTAGCTGAGTGCACAATGGGTGCTTTTTCTGTGCATTCAACTGCTATGATAAAATCACTGTAAACAGTGGTTGCTGGCATGTTGTGGTTCAAAGAAGGCAGATCACTCTCCAAAACTTTTTACAGCTCAAATACTGCTTTCAGTGCCTGTTTTGCTGCACAGGCTCTATTTAATTTGGAAGAAATAAAAAAATGCATTTTAAAGCCTTCGACAGGTTCTTTTGTATCCTTATTTTTCTGTTGTCCCACGCCCTGAGGAATGGACTGTTTATTTGCTTTCGGCAATATCTCTTGTGAGTTTAAAGAGGAAACCTGCCTTGAATGTGAGTGAAAGCATCTCTTAGCCTTCCCACTTGTTCAGTGCTCTGTTTTTCGTGATAGTCCAAACAAGTGCATCGAGTATTTTTTCTTGTATTGTATTTGAGAAACTAAAACTGGCCTTTATTTTTAGCTCTTGGGCATAATCAAGACCTGAGACTAGATACTTGCAGAATTTTTATTTGTGATATGATCTCCACAGATCACTTCTCTGGGATTTGAGTGAATAACTATATAAATGCTGCTGATGTGTATCCTATTGCACTTTTATCATGTTTCTTTCACTTGACATTTTTTCTAGATCCAGAGCACCTTGCACAGTTTGAAAAGTATCTTCAATCAATGAACTGCTCAGAAGAAATCTGTCTTCTCACCACATTTGCTCAGATGGCACAAACCAAACGGGCTGATGTTGATGAGGATTTTATCAAAATTGTTGTTCTGGAGATATATGAGGTGAATAATGTTACTGGTCCATTCAGGAAAAGAATGAAAATGCTCTTTTTATTTGTAACAGTGGAAGGTGTGAAACTTTCATGGCTTCTGTAGTTTGTTGTACTATGGAATTAAAAAATACTACTTTTTTAAAAAAGTACTGAATTAAAATTGCTTGAAGTACTTGTTATTTCTGGGTAAAAGAACAGCTTTACTGTAGGCAAAGCCAGAATGAAACAAGCAAGCAGAAAAACACTTATTTTTTCTCATGCAGCCCCAACTTGTAGCTCTGGAATTCCTTGTGTGGTGTTTCTTCTGTTGTTTTCGGTGGGATTATTTTTTAATACTGGTGGCTGTATTGTGCCTGTGTTTAGTTTTGGACATTTTTCTTGGCACTGTGACACAGAACTTTCCTGGTCTTATAGGGTGATCAGTTTCACTCTTCATATGGACATTTATCAACTTTGTCTAAGATGACCAAGAGCAGTTTAGTCTTGTATTTTCCAAAAGACATTTTATTTCCATGTTAGTGGAGGACAGCCAGATCAGTAACTTCTCCCTGCTCATCTTCTCAGGTGTCCTATGTTAGTCTTTCCACAAGAGAGACGTTTTCCAAGGTTGGTCGAGAACTCTTGGGAGCCATTGCCAGCATCCACACACAGATTATTTCTGTACTGCTGGATCGGATTAGAGAGACCATTGAGAAAGTGGGGATGGTAAGTGCTGATGTCTATAATTTAAATAATTTAAATCAGACACTCAGTTAAACCTAGAGGTTTAACACAGGTTAACCAGGTTGTGTGATAAGACACAGCTTGGTATGAATGGATGTGTTAAAGACCTGTCCATGGGGTTTTTGGTCATTACTCCCTTTCAGATAGCAGAGCACAGTGATTATTGTTGTTAGCTGAGTACTGATTTTCCCTTTTTGCTCTCTTTCTTCAAGGTTTCTTTATATCTGTTTAAAGAACTACCCTTGTACCTGTGGAAGCCTTCTTCATCAGAGATAGCCCTGATCCGTGACTGGTTGTTAAATTACAGTCTGACAACAGTGGAGAATAAACTGGCTTGTATTATCTTGGAAGGGCTGAACTGGGGATTTGGTCAGCATGTAGGTATTGAAAACAGGAGCCTTGAACCTCCTCATTTTCTTCAGAGCAAAAGCTTAACTCAACCTGGGAGTAGAGCAGAATTTGAAAATAGTTAATTGCATGCTTTTATATTGGCACAAAATGGGAATTTCATAATAATTTTACAGCAGTCTGCCTGAGGATTTGCTTATGCTGCTTCCTTGTAGTGCTGCAGCTGAGTTTAAGAGAGATACTTAAGCAGGGATTTTTTCCTCTCTAAACAAGGCAATAGCTGACAGGATAATTTTTTATGAGTCACATGATTAAAATGTTTTTGGCTTCAGAAATAGAGGAATCTTCCAAAAAATGTGTAGGAGACTGGTGTGACTGTAGTTTGCATGCTGGTATCTAGCTATGTTTTTCACAGTGCAAGAAAAGCAAAGATTGAAATGAGACATTTCAAAACCCTGAGCATTTAAATTATCTGGAATTAATCCATAATATTGGGTTGCTCCTGGAGCTCCATGAGTTCAGGGTATAACTAAGGGTGAATGCTGTTTCAGAGAAAAGCAGAAATAGATTGGGGGAATAATGTTGCCTGAGTTCAGTGATTTAGTTTAGCTTTGCATTCTGTGCACTTGGTCATCCTGAACTCGTCTCTTTGCCATGCTAATGTTTGTACATGAATATTGACTTACTTTTTTTCCCTGTTTCTTGTGGACATGTAAAGAAAAATGAATATTAGGGAAAATAAACAGAATTCTTTGCTGTGCAATAGCAATGCCATGTCTGTACCCTTTGATGGGAGAAAAATGGCTCTTTAATATGCCAATTGATAGAGGAATTGCTGTGTTTTCATACAAAAAACATGGTGATGAGATTTGTTTTGTTTTTAATGGCAAGAGTTCAAGTGTCTGCATTATGTAATTTAAAATGGCATCTATGTATTTTTGAATTAATTGTCATATGTTCATAAAATGCACGTGGAAAGTGAATATTATAGTGCCTTATAAAAAAATAATCTAATTGTTGGGCTTTGTATTGCCCAGTGTGAGCTTGGTACGCTTTAAGATGGAGGTGAATTTTTTTCATTGGGTAAGATTTTTGCCTAGATATTGCAATAATTAATTTGAACAGCCAGAAAAATATTAGGATTTATTTCTCTGTGGTACAGCTGAATGTACAGTTGAAGAGACCTCTTAAATGACTCAAGATTTTATGTTCTGACACTGTTTTTAGCAGAATACTCTACACCTGGATCCAGCTGTCCATTCTGAAGTTGCATTGATGGTCCTGGAAGCGTACCAGAAATATCTCTCCCAAAAACCGTATACTGGGCTGCTTTCTGAAAGCATAAAACAGGTATCAGTTCTTCTTACTTAAAAGGAATAACTTAGGGATGCCTACAAATGGGAAAAGCTGCAGGGCAAGACCTTGTTTTCTTCTTTTTTTTCTTCTTTTTAAAGGTGTTCTTTGTCCAACTACAATTTCATAACATACCAACACTCAGTGTTGTCTTCATCCACAGAGCTATTTGAAAGTACTGTTAGGCTTCTGTTGAACATCTGTATGAGAATCACAGGATCACTGAATGGTTTGGATAGAAGGGACCTTAATGATCATCCAGTCCCATCCCCTGCCATGGGCCACCTTCCACTATCCCAGATTTCTCCAGGCTCCTTCCAGCCTGACCTTGGACACTTCCAGGGATCCAGGGGTAGCCCCAGCTGCTCTGGGCACCCTGTGCCAGGGCCTGCCCACCCTCACAGGGAAGAATTTCCTCCTAATATCTGATCTAAATCTACTCTCTCTCAGTTTGAAGCCATTCCCCTTTGTCCTTTCACTCCATGCTCTTACTAACAGTCTCTCTCCATCTTTCTTAAAAGAGAAAATTTTGACCCACTTGCAGGTTTATGAATCATCACAAACTGCTCCTTCTTTACTTATGCAGAAGTAGACAGTACTTGCTAATGCAAGGCTATTTCTTATTATTGGTGACCATAAGAGAACTCACACCAGCTCTTACCTTATTTGAAGACTCAAGTGTTAATCCCAGTGGGCAGTGTTGTGTGACCTGAACACACCACAGACATTTATTAAATTGATTTTACAGCACACTGGACTCAGGAAGGGATAGCTCCAAGTTACAGAGTGGAAATGGAAGGGTAGAAAGATAAAGGCTAAAAAAAATCCGTTTGGATATTTAGTCCACAATACTTACATTTATTTATTTATTCAGTTTTAGCATTGTTCTGGGTTTTGTCTTCTCAGTATTTTTTGCCTGGTGTTTTCTCCTCCTCTGAACATTTTTCCCCCAGCCTTTTCTTCCCACACTCTGAATGTTCCTTGTTGTCTCTGTTCTGTTCTGACCTGCTCCTCTGCAGTGCTTAACCAAGGTTTGTTGTCTTGTGCCAGCCAGATGAGTTCTCTTTTTTAAGCCAGTGTCAGCCCTAGTTGCCACTTGTGCTGGTCAATCTGTCCTGACTTGCATGAGCCTATAACTAGAATTTGAGAGAAAATAGTGCTTACATTCTTGTACTCTTGCTTAGAGAGGATGAAATATCTGCATTGCCCATCAGCTCTGCAATTTGCACTGCTCTGTCACAGCACATTTATGTGCATTTTTTTTCCCCAGAGATTTACAATTCCTTGTGATCTAGACATGGTCTTTGTGACAGTGGACACATACATATGTGACTCTGCCTGTCCACATGCAGGCTTTTTTCTAAGGAGAGGCTGCCAGGTTTTAGGCTTCTTGTGGACAGATAATATTTTTGCATAGATTTTTCTGTTTCCTTTCACTAGAAGTCTTAAATGTTTTAAAAGCTATTGAAGGTTGTGTCTGGTTTTTTTTTGTTTGTTTGTTTGTTTTTTGTTCTTTTTTAATAGATAATAATTAAAATTTAATTCAAGGTCAGCATTTAGCTTGGAAAGATTTAAGCAGACAGTGAAAGTTGATAGCCCTTACCTAAAGGGATGGAGGGAAGGAGAGGGAGGTAGAAATCTAGGCTATAGGAAGAGATAAACTACATGGTATGTCTAAAAAATAATTGCTGTTGGTCTAATCCTAGAAGATTTGGGTTGGAAGGGACCCCAAAGATCATCCAGTTCCACTTCCATGGACCAAGTCCCAGACCAGAGCCACACGTGCTGTGTCATGGCTGTGCTTCCTCATTCCTGCTCCTGTTGCTCTGTTCCAGGTCTCCTACCTGGCCAGCATCGTTCGCTACGGGGAAACACCGGAGACTTCCTTCAATCAGTGGGCCTGGAGTTTGATTTTGAGGCTGAAGCTGCACAGGAATGACCGTGGGGTGCAGCAGAGCGGGCTGGCTGTTCCCGTGTGTGACAGCGCGCTGGACACGGCCGAGTCGGTCACGCTGCACCCCCTGCTCAAGGCTGTGAAGGCAAACATCCCCATTGGCTGCTACCTGGCACTGGCAATGACCACCCTGGGCCACAGGTGAGGGCTTTTTGCGTGTTTGCCTTGGGTGGATGGCCTCAGGGACTGAGCAGCCTCCCTAATGCTGAGCTGTGGGTTGTTAACAGCTTTGTGCCTATTTAAAGAGTAAAGGACTTGTGGTGCAAGGGATTGAGCAGCTTGTCATCTCTCTTATGAGGAGGAGCTGGGCCTGGTTAGTCTGGAGAAGACTGATTTGGGATCTCATTAATGCAGACAAACATCTCAGAGAGGTGTCCAGAGGATGCTGCTGGACTCTGTTCAGTGGTGTCCAGCAAGCTGATGAAGAGCAGTGGCCACAACTAAGACACAAGAAGTTTCACCTCAGCATGGGGAAGAACTTCATTACACTGAGGGATAGCAGAGCCCTGGAATAGCTGCCCAGGGAGGTAATGGATTCTCTTTCTCTCTGGAGACATTCCAAACCCACCTGGACTTGTTCTTTTGTAGGAGACAACACTCTGCCTTGGAGGGGTTTGGACTAGATAATCTCAAAGTCTTTTCCAACCACAGTTTTCTGTGATTCTATGACTGTAGTTCCACAGAATCCCAGAATCATTTAGGTTGGAAGAGACTTCTAAGGTCATCAAATCCAACCTGTGATCAATCCCCACCTTGTTGCCCAACCCAGAGTACTGAGTGTCTCATGATTCCTTAAATACCTCCAGGGATGGGGAGTCCACTGCCTCCCTGGACAGCCTTTTCCAGTGCTTAATAGTCCTTTTTGTGAAGAAGTTATTCCTGAATTCTTTCAAACAACATGCTGTTTCCTGTATTTTGCTAGTAGTATTTTTTTTTGCCTTCTGCACTTTAGGGTCCAGTCATAATAAATAGTACTGAAACTGGGGGTTAACAGTAATTTCTCTGGACAGGATTAACTTTGAACCACAGTTACTGAAAGGGTTGTTCTAGAGGTAATTTCTTTTATCAGGGCAGCACTGCATTTAGAAAATAGTGAGGAGAAAAAACCCACTCACTCCAGGAATGGTAAATATAGTACATTATATGAGCAGTGAACCTCTTAGCCATGATTGTGTTCCAGCAGTCTTTCACAGTGCTTTCAGCTGGTTCATAGGTAAGGCTTTTGGACATAATCAAATATTCTTGTTTGAAGTACAGAGCTACACAAAATTTGATCAGTTCTCACCAGAACTGTTTTCCTTGAGTCTGTGATAAATCCCTTTATATGTGCTGTGCTATTCAAAATTTTCACTAACTCGTTTTCTATGTATAATACTGCATTACTCTTTTAAGGCAAAATTATCTGGGCTTTCTTCTCCTTCCCCAAGGAAGCCATTGCTTCATGGTAAGATTGTGCTATAGATACTGCAAAGCACTGGAGTAGTTTGAGACTGATATTAGGGTATTTTGGGTTGAGAGTGGAAATTTTTCCATAGCTTCGAGCTTGGAGTAAAAAAACAAAGAACCTCTTCAGTCTGTTCCCCTGCACCTTCTCTGTTTAGCCTTTGGCTCTTCTTTTCCCTGTAGAGGGAGGCGAGTTGTCCAAGTTAGGCAAGAATAGTGATCTTTAAAGTGATAGAAACTTGATGAAGACTTGCATCTCTAGTGACTTTTGGAAGATGAGACACTGATCCCCAGAAAGGAATTTGTGAAGTAAGGAGATACTTAGTAAGTATTTGAGAAGGAAATACTTATCCAATCTGTCAACAATTCAATGACTCCTGCAGCTGAAGAAAAAAACCTCTGTATTTAGCTATTTAGATTTTCAAAGATAAAGTGTGAAGTTATGAATGTATTTACATCTCAGTTAATAAAAATTAAATCAACACCTTGTTTCCCTTTCTGCTCATAGTGAATATGTTTTTCTTAATTTTTTTTTGTTTTCTTTTCTGACAGCATTGAGAAATTCTGTGCTGAAGGGATCCCTCTTTTGGGTGTACTAGTCCACTCTAGACATTTGAGAACAGTAGTCCATGTGCTGGATAAAATTTTACCCTTGTTTTACTCTTGCCAGTACTACCTCCTGAAGAATGAACAGTAAGCATTATATATTCATAAAATGTTAATTTAAAAATTTTATGCATTTGTTTACTTAATTTATTCATAGTTGTAGTGAAAGTTAATAATAGTCTTTTGGTTTGGACACTTGACAGTCTTTCAGACAAGTCCTGAGTAAGATTTGGGTGCTGATGTAGATGAAGAACTGTATTTAGTCCTGATGAGCTGCCTTAAATTACAGACTGGTGTGAAATGTTCATAACTGTGCCCAATGTATGGCTGAACTTGAGCAATTAAATCTGCATTGTGGTTGTGGGTCAAAGCCTTTCTGTATGTGTCCTACTGGTGCTGTTGAGCTGGTTTTAAATTCTCTTGAAGCAGGCTTTCTATTTAATATGCAGTAGGAAATATTTTAATTTCATTTGTTGACATCCCTAGGTTTTTATCTTACGTGGAGCTGTTCCTTCATCTGGATAGTGGAGTCCCTCAAGGAGTGACCCAACAGGTTACCCATAAAGTGACACAGCACTTGACAGGAGTGAACTATGGAGAAAATGTTAAGCTGCTCAGTAGTATGATACAGGTAAGAAGATTATTTAAAAAAAAGAAGAGGGGGAGAGAGTGTTTAAAACCAAGCTTATTTGACTGAGTTAAAGGTTAGAAAGGATACTGAACCTGGCAGTTCAGTCAGAGTACCCTGTATCAGGCATTAGTAGTTGGGTTTGGTTTCCTGTAATGCTCCTGCTTAAACTTGCCTAAATCTGGCAATGCATGTGACACTAACAACAATATTCTACTTTCAGACTTCTTGGAAAATTAATTTTCCCATACCAGGTCAAAACTGTTTAAAAAAGGAAATGTAATATGCCTCACTGCTTTCTCTTGTTTGTGTTATTTGAGGAATGCAGCAGAGATATTAATGTTTGCAAGGTCTGCTTTTTACCATTAATTTAGGGCTCTGAAATGGAAAAATGTTCTTGGGTTAGGCTACAGAAGTGTTTTTTGAAGCGCAGAGAGGTCAAAACCCAAGGCCTTCTAACATTAGAGAGGGATAATGGAAACAGACGTACTCTGGGAAGGCCATTTGCAGAACAGCAGCCTGGACTGTGGAAAGAGATGCTCTTTATGCCTGGAGGGGTCCTTCTTAAGGCTTCTGTGTCTGTTTTTGCTGATTGCATAAGGTGCTCTGCTCTCCAGGTGTCAGAATCTACAGAAATTTGGAGGCTGAAGATGACAAAACTGTCCTTACTAGGGTATATAATGTTGTTGTAAATTATTTAATTTAAAGACAGCCCCACAGCCTCAAGCAAGTCAAACAGTTCTCCAGTAAGTTCTTCAGCATTACCCAAAGCTGCAATCTGTTGACCAGTTTTTACCCTTTAATTTGTCAGACTCACATTTTTGTAAGCGACCATCCAAATGGAGTGGGGCCAGCTGCAGTCCTGGAGTTCTGGGTGCAGGTCCTCACCAGCCAGCAGCTGTGGCACAGGGACCGGGCCACGCTCTGCCTGCTGGATGACTTGTGCAAAGCTGCTTTCCAGTACAGCCAAGAGGACTGTGTGCAAAAGCTGCTTTACCAGCAGCACAAGGTAATAATAATAAAATTAATAATAAAATTATTATTTTAGGTAATAAAAATAGCTGTGGTGTCTTGGTGTGCCTCTTGAGGAAATGGTCAGCTCATGTGTTGCACAGTTGGATTTTGATGTGAGTTTATTGTGAAAATAAATGGGAAATGTGAAAAGAAAGACTGTGAAATCCTAGGGTGGTTTGGGTTGGGAGGGACCTTCACAGCCCATCCAGTTCAGCTCCTGCCGTGGGCAGGGACACCTCCTACTATCCCAGGTTGCTCCCAGCCCCATCCAAACTTCTTCAGCACTTCCAGGGATGAGGCACCCACAGCTTCTCTGGACAGCCAGTCATGATGATGAGTTGTGATGGGGTTATTTTTTATTTTTCTGAGTTCATCAAGAATTTTTTTTTTTTTTCTGAGTGGGTCAAGATTAATGAAATGTCTGATATTTTAGTAATTATTATAATAATTACTAATAAAACCAGTTTGGAACACAGTTTTCATTCATGTGAGTTCTATTGTGGTTTGTCTTCCTTGCATTTCAAATATTTGATGGGGTGTTAAGGACAAAAATTAAGCTCCTTCTCCTGAAAAATACCACAGTCACTGCAACAGGATCTTTTCACTGAAATGGAAAGGCCAAGCAGGCATTTCAGTGGTGCCTGGCTGAGCTGAGGTTGGAAAGTAGAAACAGGAGGTAGAAATCTTCGCTGGATGAAGATTGAGTGACACACCTGTAGCTTCTAAATCACCTGGTCATGAAAAAACCCCAAATGTTTTCTGTTTCTGTGCAGAATGCTTTGGGCTATCACTGTGACAAGGGTATGCTGTCTTCACTGGTGAGCTGGATCGTGGCAGGCAATGTCACACCATCCTTTGTGGAGGGCAATTCCAACTCCTCCCAGGTAAGTGCCATGATGGTGTTTTGTGATGGGAAAAGCAGCACACTGGTCTAGCAGTCTTTTTATTTTTTTCCAGATTTCTCCCTTGATCACTTTTTCTTCCTGTCCCAGAGTTTTCTTTCTTCCCAGTTTAGCCGAAGAGAATGCTGTGGGTTTATTGCACTAACAAGAACATGGATATTTTTCACAGGCAGAGTTTCTTTAATCTGCATCCAAGAATTCATATAATAGGATTTATTAGTTAAATTTTATTCTGATCTACTATTGTTCTTGATCTGTTTAACAAGACAAAATATGTAAAGCCTGACTTCTCTATTAGATCAGTCTTTATCTGGTAAATATTTTGAATTTGAGTTACTTTCTCTCTGCTTAAGTGAGCTCCTTATTCAAGCAAAAAGGAAAAAGAGCCCCTTGCAGTATGCCAGAGAGAGATGTGTAGTGCAGATGGAAAAAAAGAGATCTTATTTTATTGAGTTTGAGGTTGTTTCCTCCAGAGCTCTCTGGGTAGTTCTGTCAGTTATGTCTCCTTTTCCCCTTCTTTCCCAAGACTGTACAAAGGGAAAATTTGAATTTAAGGATGAATTTGCTGTTGAGATGTGACACTGCTTTTTGCAATGAAAATCTTTCAAACAGTTGTTCCTCTTAGAGGAATCACCAAGCTTCCTAATCCTGCCCTGTGCCATTTTGTTACAAGTATTTCTGTCATTTCTGTGTTGTCTAGGTCTGGTTTGCATGGACAGTGTTAAATATGGAGTCAATATTTGAGGAAGATTCACAGCTTCGCAGAATTGTGGAGGGGGAGCTGGTTATCAATGCTTTAACTCCTGATCAAGCTTTGAAGGTGAGAGAACTGGTCATCCTTTTTTATTCATTAGAGAGAAATGCTGGAGAAAAGTGTTCCCTTTTATCATTTAGTTTTTCACTTATGTACTACTTTCTTACCAGGATAAATGCATAAATAATGCTGTACCTAGCTGTGCATGAGAAAATATACTGCAGGGAAATTTCCTGTTACATTTTGAGTATATTTGAGTTCTGTACGTTTAAAAGCTACCATGGAAATACCTGGTTTTACTCTATCAATATTTACAGAAAACTAACTTGTGCTTTTGCATGATCTTCTGGGTCATCTAAATGCCTCAACCTTCAGTAGATTTATTCCATACCCTTGATATGGGGAGTGCTTATTTTCCAAGTGGGAAAATGTGTCTGTATTTCAAACATGATTTCTCAGATGACCTGAATTGTGCAGAAGACTGGCCTTTACTTTTCTCTGTTTTCTGAATTATTTTCCAAGGCTTTAAGAACTAGTTAGGTCTCTCCTTTAAAAAGGCACTTAATCAGCTGTACTTCGGGCCACATTTGCAGCATTTTCCAGCTTCTTTGCCCAAATTCAGTTAGAAATTCTGGAGTGAAGCAAGTGGAAACCAAAGCTGTCCATTCTCAAAGTGTAACTTTTGGCCCATCCTTCATCTCAGCAGTTTCAGTCTGTTTCAGTGAAGGAAGTGGTTCTGTGAGAATAGATTTGCTTGGGCTGTGTCAAGTACATGTCTTGCATCCTTGGAGCTAGTCTGGAGAACATTTGTTCTTTGGCTTGCCTGTCTTGATTTGGCTGGAAGACAAAAAGAGTGTGGGCAATGTGTGGAAAAGGATGCCAGAGGTCTGGGCTAGAGGATGAGGGAGTGCCAGGGTCTGCTGCCAGTCGTGGGAACTCAGAAAAGCCTCCCATTTCCTTGCTTCAGGCATAGTCCAGGGGAGCTTGGAGTGGGACTATTCAACCATTTAGTGGGTCTGTGGTGGTGTTAAAATGGAATGCTGCTATTCATATTTTCTGCTTTTGTTTCTGTGTACTTTCTTAACTATAACTTAGTTTTACTTTGTGTTTCAAATTTTCACTAGAGCTGTATTAAATGTAATGTGGAAAAAGCTAAACATTTACTTCTGTGAGGAAGAACATTAATTAACTGTAATTAACACCAGTGGCCCATATGGTGGCCTTGTGCCAGAGCCATCATGCTGGGGTTTTGTAAGCATCAGAGATGTAGGTCTGCTCTCCAACAAAACTGTGAAATGGGCAGCCCATCCTTCAAAGCAGATGTGTGACTGCTTCCTAAGTTTTCTTCTCTGTAATTATCAAGTGTTCACACTGTGTTAATCTGCTCAGTTAACCTGTGACAGCCTGTTACAGCACCACACTTGTCTGGAAATGTTTCTGCAGAAAGCCCAGACCCAGCTGAAGCTGCCCATCGTCCCTTCCCTTCAGAGGCTGATGATTTACCGCTGGGCTCACCAGGCCCTTGCCACCCCTGCAGACCACCCTCTAATGCCACTGATCTGGCAGAAATTCTTCCTCCTGTACCTTCACCGACCAGGACCACAGTATGGGTGAGTCTGACCTGCTCCAGCAGATTAGCAAGGGCTAATTAAGTGCACAGCAAATGAGAGTCAGTGTGTTACACTGACTGCTCCTGAAAGCAGTTGGTACCAGCAGCTTCTCTGGTGAGCCATTTTATCTGCAGAAATACTGATTTGGCATTTGTAACAAGACTTAGTTATGCTTTTTTGTTCATTTTTAGATTGCCTGTAGATGGCTGTATTGGAAGACGCTTTTTTCAGAGTGCAGCTCATGTTAACTTGCTAAATGAGATGAAGAAGCGGCTGACAGAGGTGGCAGACTTCCATCATGCTGCCAGTAAAGCACTGAGAGTGGAGAGTCCTGAGAGCAGTGACAGGTCACCAGAGAAGGCCAGCTGCTCACCTCATTACCTGACTTCACCTGAGCTGCATAAGGAACTTGTCAGGTAAAAAAATGCCTCCCAGTTCCACGTTCAGCCTGAGTAGCTGCTCCAGCACAGCTGTAGCTGGGATGTGACCTTAGATGTACTGGAGGCACTTATTACAAGCATAAAATCATAGAACCATTCAGTTTGACAAAGCCTTCCAAGATCATCAAGTCCAGCACTTAACCCAGCACTGTCAAGGCCACCACTAACCCTTGTTCCCAGGTGCATAGCTAGGCTCAAATCCATTCCTCTGCATGAGGAACTTGTGTAGTTTGAGAGGTGGCTGCTTTTACTACTAAACATAAAACGTTGATAGGTTTGTTGCACCCTTTAGGGGAAAAGCTTTACTTTTTAATGAATGGTAGCCCCATGCTGGAAAAATATTTAGTATTTAGGCATATTTGCTACTCGTATGTCCATCATTAGCTATAACTGTAAAAGGCTCCTTGGTGTGTATATATGTTTGTTACAGACCAGGGCCTGAATTTATGTCTGAGTAAGATTACTTCATCAGGAAATGTACTGTGGGCTTCAGCACATGGTTCAGTGCAGTTTGCTTGGTTAGCAACCTAATGGTGAGCTCTGCCAAGTGTATTCTATGCCACCTGAAAAATGGTAAATCTGCTTACCAAAACCTTGCCACCTTGCCCTTTTTATCTTGGAGCAGGCTAAGGAGGGGGACACTGTCACACTCACTGCTACTCAGTTGGTGAATACCCACTTTTGTGAGAGATAGTAGCTCCTAAGAGATATCAATATCTCATGTATACTGAACGTGAGGAATTATGTGAATATTGCAAGGAAATAGTTGGAAGGATTATTTGAAATATTTGAAAAGAGTCTCTTGTTCAGGAACCCTGGATGTGTGGAATCCTAGCTCCTGCTCAGTGCTCTCCTCAGCAGTCAGTAGCTACTGTACAAACAAACAAGGGAGTTTATAAATCCCACTTGGTTGTCTGTGAAAAATAATCCAGAGATGCTCACCGGGTGAGCTTGATTAATATTTTCAGTGATTCATTTCAAATAAGTTCCCCACTCCAACAGAAAACCAGACTGCTCTATGCCCAAATAAATCTTACACTCAGGAAGTTTAATGACCTGTCTAGTTTCCTAGACAGGAGGGAAATTATAGGTAGGGTTTATAGGGGCTGATTCTTGGAATTGGTCTACTTCCATTTTTTCACCAATGACACTGATGAAGGAAGCAGGAGTTTGCTAGTGATATTTAATACCACAGTGTGAAGATTTAATGGCATTCTAGTGCTTCCTTGTCAGGAAGGCTTGGATGGTGTGACTGTGAAAATGGTAGCAGTCGGTCAATGATGTCAGCTGAAAAAAATGGTGTACTTATGTTAAAGTTTTAACAAAGGAGGAAATGAGAATGAACTAGCCATGGATGAGACTCTGAAGAGAAATTAAAAGATGTGACTTAACTCAGGCATGACATTTTTGAGCAGAGAGGTTGTGGGGTGAGAAGCCAGATTTGCTTATGTGTACTCTGTTAATTCCTTTGGTCTTTTGAATAGGATTGTGGTGATAATTTCTGACATAAGAGACTATTCCGGTCCTGGGTCTTATGCTTAAACTATGCTAGTTTGCATAATGTTTTCCTCTTCAGAATTTGTCCTCTTACTCTTTGTTGCTGCCCTTTGTATTTTTCTAAGTACCTTCTTTCCACTACTGGTCTTTAACTTGACTGTAAATGAGTGAAAAAGCACCTGAAATATCTTTTTTCAACTATGGCACCTTGTAGCATTATTTGTTGCCCCAGTTCTAACCTTAGATTAAACTTTCTAACAATCAAATTCACACTGATTTTTCTTTTCCTTTTTTTTTCTTTTTTTTACCCCCCTCAGGCTTTGTAATGTTTTAATTTTGTGGTTGGAAGAAGAGAGTTTCCAGAAAGGAGATACGTACATTCCCTCTTTACCAAAGCAGTATGATGCACACAGACTTGCTAAAGTCATGCAGAATCAACAGGTGGGTTCTAATAACACTGACAATCTGAAACCTAAAGTCCACTTTCTAAAATAAGTCATTGAAATCAGTGAGAGAGTTGTGTTACTGATCTTTAATACAGCATGTATGATACCTTTATGGCTCTAACCTTTTTCCTAAAATCCTGTGCTATTCTGAACTGCCTTCCTTTATGTTTGAAAGAGGACTCAGATGTAGATTCCCTGCATAACTGTCATTTCTTGCAACATATTTTTTTTTCTGTGCTGCTCTGTAATTCTATTTATGTTCTAAGTTAGTATTAGAGGATTATTTAAGTTGCAGCTTTAAATAACAAAAGACTGGAATCCAAAACCTGCTTGTGTTGGTAGTCTATAAAATATCAGGTTCAAATACAAGTTAGTGAGTGTGCATTATTCTATTCTTCAAGGCTAAAGACTTAGTATAAGCAAAATCCTGCAAGAGAAGAGATTTTGGAAGGATATTTCTTTATGCTTTCTTGTTTTCACCCTTCTAGTGTATATGACTGCTTGAAATGCAGGCTGCTTTAGCCTGGCTGCAGTTAATCATGCCATGATGTTTTAGACTGTCTTGATCTCTTGTATTCCCTCTTTAGGAGCAGATTTTTAATGATCTGTCTTTCCTTTTGTCTCTTATGTGTTAGAAGTTATACCAGGTTTCATCTCTAAGTGTCAGAAATGCTTTTCAGTAGATATCTATATATGTAATAAAAATAGTTCAGTGTTTTTCTTCAGTTTAGATTTTTTGCTCTTAATAATAAATTCCTTATGACTTAAAACTGATGGCTATATTTTTTATATACTGACTTTAGTTTCTCAGCTACTAGGATGGGTGAACAGCGCCTGGCGATGACCAAAACAGGAATGATAATTTAATTCTTTTGTGCCTCAGGATCTGTGGATGGAGTATGTCAATGTGGAACTCATACACCATGAGTTTCAGGAGGCTCTGAACCTTTGGCTGCAGGTTCAGCTTGAATCACATACAACCTGTGCTTCTGCAGGGAAAACAGATTTCACCAACCCTTTGTCAGGTAAGAGATAAAAATACCATTAAAGAAACTGCACCTTTAGGGATTACTGGAATGTCAAAGCCCTGGTTTCTTTAGGAGCTTGATGATGCTTGTCAATAAAGATATTAATACTTTTGTTTGTTTTCTGTGGGTACAATATTTTCCATGAAGTTGTCATGGTTTTTTCGCTAAGATTTTTATGTGAGAGGCTAACATTGATGTTTTTTGGCTTCAAGTTTTCCATGTCACATGGCAGAGCTAGGGTGTCATGGGTGAGCTCCCCAGAAATTCCTCTGCACAGAGTGCTTCAGACATTTTTCCAAAATTTAGAGCAAGAGAGAGAGGTGCAAGCAAAGGTAAAACCAACTGTACCTGAAAACATATTTTCTCTCTTTTTATTTTAGTTTAGTTCAGTTTTCTTGTTTTTATTTTTGTGTTGTTTTTCCCTGTGTGTTTCCCTGGAATTTTGGCATAGTGAAAGGGTTGTTCTAGCACAGAAGGGGTGATAGTCATAGCTGGTACATTAAGGATGTGGTGGGATTGGATTTGGGGCTGATCCAAAGAAGTGGAAGGAGTGAGGGAATAGAAGGGAATAGTTTCACAGGTGAATTTACACTGGACAAAGAAACTGGATGGGAATCAGGAGGAGAGGGCTGACACGGAGAGAGACTGTGCTCTGAGAAGGAATTGACACTGAAAAGACTGGAGGTGAGGATGAGTTGTAGGGAAAGGAAGATGAATTTTGCTTAGAATTTTGTCTGGGTGCTATGTCAGATGAGTAAAATAAATGGAGTGACAAGAAAACTGGAAGATAGGAGTGTTTAGGGAAAACAAGGAGACCAATGAGTCTTTTGATCCTAATCTTTGTGTGATGAAAGAGCTGGTCATGAAAATTAGCTGTGTGAAATAAAGTTTGACAAAAATAAGAGGATTAGTTGAGTGATTTTTTTTTTTTCTTTTTTGTAAAGGGGGAAACCCAAGAAATATTTTTCTGCAGTTAAAAATGCTTCATGCAAAAAAATTAATGTTTTTGTTCAGTTTCTCCTAAACTTTTCTTATTGACCAAACTTGCTTCTGCTCTTTTTAAATTTTGTTTTGTAGCCAAAGTGAGGATTATGAATAATTTGAAGAAGCTTGATACTCCCAAGCCCCCTCTGCCGCTGCAGACGATGAAAGCCCCTGTGCCAGTGATTTCCTCTGCCACTCTCGTGAGTCAGAAAGACGCGATCCAGCTCATGCGCAAGGACCTGAACATCTTGCAGCAACACGCCAAGTGAGTCATGTCTGTGCTCCTTGTGCCTCACCAGTGTGTCCAGCAATGCCTTCAAATGATCATGGAGTCACAGAATGGTTTGGGTTGGGAGGTACCCTAAAGCCCACCCCATCCTACCTGTTGCCATGGTCATGGACACCTTCCACTGTCCCAGGCTGCTCCAAGCCCTGTCCAGCCTGGCCTTGGACACTGCAGGGATCCAGGGGCAGCCCCAGCTGCTCTGGGCACCCTGTGCCAGGGCCTGCCCACCCTCCCAGGGAACAATTTCTTCCTAAAGATGTCCTTCTCAGCAGCCTTATTTGTGTGTTAGCACAGAAGTGTCAGTACTTGATTCCTTCTTCTTGTCCCATTTGTTTTCTCTTTCTTCTGGTTTATCAGGTTATTATTCAATTTCTTCAACTGACATAAGAGTGCACAAGTCTTATCTATTGACTTTAGATTGCATCTTATTTTCTTATTTGGCTCATTTCCTGAAATAAAGCCTTCTTTTAGGCTAGATTTGTTGACAATGAGTTATTTAACCTTTTTGCACTGAGGTAGTAGTTGCAATGTGAAGCACCCAGGTAAGAAACCTGATTTCTGGTTCTGCTAGCTTTGTGAATGAGAGGGACTTTCTGTTTTTTAATATTCCAGCTCTGATAATCCAGCTGTATTTTTTTTTGATCACAACTGGCCAATCTATAGCTGTTCTTACCCAATGCAGTCATTTAATAACAACATTACAAACCAGAATAAAAACTACTGAGCCCATGAGAGGCTGTGTCTAAATAATTCCAGTACCAATTTTAGGTGGCTTCTGTTTTTTCTGTTTTTTATTTTATTTTAATTTTTTAATTTTTTTTCACTTTTGACTGAATCGTTGCACACAGATTTTTTTTTTTTTTTTGGTCTGGTAGAAAATTGCATTTTCTACAGAGATTATTCTGTTTAGTTTCCTTCCAGGTTGTCATATCAAGTAATTCAAAAGAACTCACACATAATTGAACAGTTTTGTTCTTATGAACCTGTTTTTTATTACTTTGAAGTGCTATTACTTTGAAGTTTCAGCTCAATTTAATTTAATAACCTTTTATGTTTTCCAGGAAAGTGTCATGAGTCTTTGTACAGCACATTGAATTGAAGCCTCCTCTCTTAAAAATTCTTAGCATTGTTGTTTTCAGGAAAGATTTTGGTAATGTTATTAATAAATGCCTTTCAGAACTGCAGCTCTCTGTGAGTCTCAGCATGTTGCTCTGAACAGTGAGATCCTGGACACGGTGCCTAAGCTGTATGTCAACAGGGAGGAGCAGATCACCCTCCACCTGGAATGCCGGGGAACTTCAAATAAAGAGTGCCAGGGAGCAGCTCAGCTCACTATACAGGTTGGAGGCATGGCATCACCTCCCTTGTGGGGCAGTTGGACATAGAGGATGAGTGTGAAATGGTTTATTATATTATTATAAAAGTGGTAGCATTTGACCAAATAAATCCACACACATATTAGTGATCTGAAACACCTCCTGTAATACTCAAAAGGAGAAGCATGTCAACTGCTGAAGAATAAGTTGTTTCATAATTTCTTCTGCTTGTGGCATCCGTTCTAAACTGCTTCTTAGTGTATGGATGTGGGAATTTGCTTGCTGATAGGAAGAGAAGCATGAAAATGTTTATGGGAATACTCCCATGTTGCTTAGTAAATTAATTTTTTGATCCCCTCTAAGTTTCAGTCCCTGTGGATTAAAACCCTTAGATAAAAGACATGAATTCTATTAATGTATGTGATAATTAATTAGGAACATGACCAAGGATATGTGCTTGGACATCATGTACTAAATCTGATCAAAAATCTCAGGGGGAAAGCCATCCAAATCCAGAGTTCTCTGACTGGACTCTGCTTTGTTTTTAGAAATAGCAGCAACATGGAAGAGTTTTAGCAAAACCATGTTAATTCTGAAACGAATGTGTGTCTTTTTGTCATTTAGTTTGAAGGGAAGCACAAAAATGAAGCAGTGAGCCAGCAGCTTCACGCTTTGCGTAAAGAAGTGAGACAGCTGCAAGCAGAAGCCATGAAGCCACCTTCCCTGGGTGTTGTGGAAGCAGCTGTACACGTGGAGAATTTCATAACGTAGGTTGTTCAGATGCTGCTCTGGGTAGTGGTTTTTTGTGTTTCCATTTCGGTGTGTTAAGAGCTAAAATGTGGAACCTGTTCATGTGTTTTTCCTTGTGCTCATCATCTCAGGCCAACAAGAGAGCTGGAATCCTGAAACCTTTGTGTTTGTGACACAGTAATTATCAGAGGCTTACTCAGCAGGGCACCCAGTATTGTGTTGTATTTCTGTTTATTGTTTTCTACTTCTTTTTATTGTTCTGTGCATTATAATAGTCCTCCTAATCCTGCAAAAGGACACTGAGTGATGACAAGGATGCTGTCCTAAACTTTAGGAAGTGGCAAACTTGTACCACAGCTGTCTCAGCCATAGGCTAAATTACATGATTTGAATATGACTATTGGTTTTTCTGTGTTACAGTGCAGGACATAAATCTTTCATAGAGTGCTATAATTTGAAGTAGTTTTTCAATATGTGAAACAAAATGGTGCAGTGGAAGCAGGTTAGATAATACCACTTTTTTTGGGGGGGTGTAAATAAAATGGGGTCATCAAAGGCCCTCTTTCTCACTTGAAGTCCTTTTATGGTTCATCCCACAGGTTCACTTTTGCAACTTCATCCTCTTCCAGATTTCTGGTGGGATTCTCTTAGTGTAGCTGGTTTACTATGGAGTGTAATGATTGTACAATTAAAAGGAATTATGTTCTGCTTCTACTTGTTCATTCTTGATCATTAATCTGAAAAATTATGTGGATGAGCTAGTTCTTGGGATTTACATCTGTGGAATTGCATCTTCACCTGTTTTAATTCAGACTTAGTGAAGACAGGGGTTTAATCTCAATAAACATTTACTTGGCAATACGCAAGAAAAGATTGATTCTGTTTTAATTTTTTATTGTTGAGCTTGTTGTTGAGTTGTGAAATAAAATGAGGTAGTTTTTCTTGAAATACAGTTCTGAAGACAGTTGAGATGCCATCAGAATATGAGAATTACGTGATTAAAGGGAGAAATAATCCATTGGAGCTGTGTTTTGGAGATCTTTCAGTGTTCACTTTCTGACTCTGAATATGGAGACTTTCTAAGGTTTGGAAGTATCCATTTCAGGCAGCAAAATTGCATGAGCTAAATCTGTGACTTTTCAGTCTGGGTGTGAGAAGGAGGGGGATACTCAGGGAGGGGGTAATATAAATACTCATCTCAAGGCTATACATTGGCAGGAAACCTTTCTTTATTGTCACAGGTTATTTTCCGTATGTAAATTTAATTTGCCTTTTTAACTTAATTTTTTTAGGGCTCTGATAAATATCTACAAGGTGCAGCCTATGCCTGCAATCAAGAAAGTTGGAATTGGTTTGTTTTTCACATTGGTAGAGTATGTGTGTGATGAAACTCAACGAAATCCTCCCACAAGGCAGTTCTTCACGTCCTGCATTGAGATTCTGGGCCAAGTGAGTTTATTTCTTGAATATGAAAATATTTTCTAAATTTTTTAGATCTGATTTTTGATGCTTATTTTTATTCTAATTTCACCGCTATTAATGGAGGGGTGGGGAGGTGGTCCTAAACACATTCAAAAGCTTTAAGTTAATTTCTAAACTTCTATCCCATTTTGTTTTCATCTAAATGTGTAATATTCACAGTCTTTAGAAGAGGTGAAGCTTGAATTTAAGCAAAATATAAGCTGTTGCTCTGAGGTGCTTCTGCTTAGTGTTAATAAATTGTCATTGTGTTAGTTAAATGCTGGAGTTTTGGGCAGGTAACTAAAGTTTGGATATTTCCAGTTAATAAAAGTGTGTTTCAGCATAGACTTTGCTTTTACCTGTCATGTTCTGGTTGATTCACATTTTATCAACCTCTGTATTTAGTCAACTTTCTTCTACAACCTTGCAGTGTTCTCTGTGTAGTGAGTTATATCAGAAGTTTGCTGGTAGAGCAGTCAAGTGCTTGTTGGTAGTGGTAATGTTTGCTGTGTTTGTTCTCTGAGAAAAATCCTTAGCCTCTGCTTTGGGTCCAGATACTTCTGTTTTAAATACAGTTTATTTCCATGTCCAGGTGTCCTTGAGCACCTCTAACAGCTGAAGTGCTGAGAAGTTCTTCACAGCTGTAACTCTGTTAAATTTTTCCTATTATCAAGCAGAGCTGGTGAAATCAAGATTCATTTTCTTACACTATTCCATCAGAAAAAAATGGTTTTTCTAGGTATTTTTAGACAACATATGTTATCACAAATGCTGGTCTAAAGTGAGCTAGGAAGGCATGTTTGTTTTGTGTTAAATCTTGTGGAAGAACAGCATTTAGCTGATGCTGATCTTAACAATCTCAGCCTTTTGTTTTTGAGAAAAACTTCCCTTCTTATAAAAGTACCAAAACTGTGGGTGTCTCAACAAGCTTAAGAGGTGTATTTTCCAGTTGACTGATATTTGGCTGTTATTTTTTCCACCACTGCCGCTTTTCTCAGGTGTTCATCAGCGGGACCAAATCAGAGTGCAAGCGTCTGCTCCAGACGATCCTGCAGAATCGGAGGCTCTGTACTCTCCTTTCTCCTTACTTCACTCCTGTTGCCTCTCCCAGTGAATTTGTGGCTTTATACGAAAAAGTTGTGGCCTTTCTGAGTGAGGATAACAGTGATGTTGTCTTCATGCTGCTGACAAAGGTAAAGTCTGGTCTGTGGGTGTTCTTTGCCTAAAGACCGTGTCTTAGCCTAAAGAGGAAAGAGGTGCCAATCTTGTGCTCTAAAATAGCATTGACAGGTTCTGTAGAGCTGTGTTGGTCATACTGAATGGTAAGTGTTGCATTTAAGCTCAAGAGGGGCTGGAGTCAAAAGCAAATAGCTTAAGTAGCCTTTTCTAGCCCAGACAGTATTGGTATGTGCTTCCCAGGGCTTACTGCTGAAGTTAAAACCATCTCTCAGTGACTTCTTCTGCCTGGTATCTCTGCAAAGACATTAATCACAATAGCTAGTGAATGCCAGGTATCTATCAAAACAAAATTTGGGATAGTGTCTGCATTTTCCAGCTCTGTTTGGCACCCTTCTCCATCCTGCATGTCTTAAAACAGAATAAGGTAATTGCAGGTGATTGGCACATCTCCTGTAACTCGTTATGCTGCCAGTGGAGAAATTAGTGTAACACTTTGATATTGCTCTGATTCTCCTCTTTAATGGAGAAATTAATGTAACACTGGTATTGCTCTCATTCTTCTCTTTAGTTACAGGGGCACAGCTGGGAGCAGCAGGCAGTCTGTCCTGGGCAGGACTCTGAGCTGTCCATGGTGGCAGTGGTCAGTGTTTTCCCTGCTGACCAAGGTCTGAGCAGGCGCTCCAGAGGTTACGAAAGCTTTGCTCCTCCATCTGAAAACGAGTGGACAGTGGGCATCAGTCCAGTTTAATGCTTGTGTGCAAACTCAGAAACATCTTCATGAATTTGAGCCCCTCTGCCAAGGGCTGTTTCACAGATCTAGAGGCTTCTGCAGTATGCTAAATCATAGCCTTTAGAGAGCGACGTATGGAGTTAGGACTAAAGACATGCAAATTTATGAGGTTTTTCTTAAATACATGAAAAATGCCATGATTTAATTTTCCTCCTTGTAAAGGTGTTGAATCTCCTGCTTTCAAGTGCTTTCTGTGCTCTGTTGTAGTTTGACCTCACACAGTGGCTGAGTGTGGCCAAGCCACCTCTCTCAGAGCGCACCCAGCTCCTGGAGTCCATTCACTTGGCTCTCAATGCATGTGGCCTGGAACCTGAAGAAGATATTTTGATGCCATTTAGTATCTTCTGCAAGCATTGGACTAACCTTCTCCAGTATCAGTTCCCTGATCATTACAGTGATTTCTTAAGGCTGTTTGTGCAGAGTGAGTATCTGAGGTGATGCATCCTAAGCCTTTGTGTAGAACTTTCCTGGTTTAAAAATATGAACTCTATGCAACAAAGTTATGCTGCAGAATGATTTACACTTCCTTAGGTTTCTACCTAGGGCATTTTTATGTGTCTTCCTAAGTGATAGGTTTTTGTTAGACATATTGTAGCTCTTCTGTGGGTCAAGGCACACATCAGTGACTATAGATTTTTCAGCCCATGTAACAGGAGAAGGATGGAGGAGAGTCTTCTGTTAATGGAAGCGCCTATTAATAGTGGTTATGTCATGGTCTGTAATGCAGAACCCTTGTTTTTGATTACCCTTCAATATCAGGCAGAGAGCTGGAATTATCAAGACGTGTAACTGACACTGAAATCTGCTAATATGTCCTGGTTGACATTTGATGCCACCCATATTCTGATGTGCCCCTCAAATGAGAACAAAAGTACTTCTCTTTGTCAAACCATGTCTGCTGTGGCAGCAGCTGTCTCTTATTGTGTATTTGCAGCCAGGGACGTACAAAGTGCCTGGGAAGCTGTCTAAGAAGAGAAACATGTAGATGCCAAAAGGAAATGTTGATTACATTTGCAAACTATAGATAATCTATCACCTTTAAACTTGGGGCTTTCAAACTCCCGTGTTACCTAATTTTTCATGTAGCAGGGAGCTCTAATTTCAACCTCTTCTGACTTACTTGGATAAAGGGACTAACATCTCTCTGATTTTCACAAACGCATTCCTTTCTTTCTCCTAAGGCTCATCAGAGCAGCTCCTAAGCCCTGACTGTTGGAAGGCATCACTTCAAGCTTTGGGATGTGATTCAGCAGTGACTGAACAGGGCAGTTTCAATAAAAGTGATTCTGCTGAAGGTCCTGTGGTGAGGGATGCTGCAAAATCTCTCCTCTCCACAGAGCAGGTGGGTGCCTCTTGTGTTGATTTATGTTTTTCAGGTGAAACAGATGCCCTCTAGTGACAGGTAGCACTGCTGTGCAGTCTTTCTGCAGCTGATTAATAGCTTCCTTCTTTTTATAGGTCAGAGAGACAGTAGAGTGGCTTTCTACGTCCTTCTGCAAACTCCGACTGGCCTCGGTGGACTTCAGGACTTTTGGCCTGTTTTCAAAATGGACTCCTTACGTGGCTGAAGTGAACACATTCCTGAAGTATCTCATTAAGCGACTGATTGACACTGAAGTTGCTAATTTAGCCCAAGAGCCTGTTGGCAGTAGCAGAATTTTAGCAGGTAATGTGTCTTAAAAGCAAATTACTTAAGTACCGACACCTGATTTTTCTAATTCCTGCTGTTAAGGGCCATTTAAATATACACTAAAATCTTCTTTGCATTTGTGCAATAATGATAATATTAAAATACAGATAGGAAATGTTGCTGCTACTTTATGGCCATGTTGGACTTTATGCTTTATAATCTGTAAGAAAGCTTTTTTGCATTTGAACTTGCTTCAAAATTATTTTATGAAGCGACTGTACTTTCTTCAAGAAAAATGGAGTCTTTTGCACTGAGCAGAGGTTTGGAAGGAGAAACTACTGAATTTCACCATGCATGATTTAGATCTGGAGAAAATTTGCTTTAATTTTTAATTAATTTAAATTTAAATTTTAATTAACACATTTTAATATGCGGAGGTTTAAAGTGTGAATCATCATTGCCCCCACAATCTCTAGTGTGTTATTAAAGTTATACTAATAAAATATCTTAACAAAGCAAATTGCTTATGGTGGTCATTAAAACTGCCCTATTGTTAACTAGAGTTATTATTAAGCATAATGTATTATAAATTTTTATTTGATCAGAAGGAACTGATTGAAGGTTTGGACTCAATGATCCTTAGAGGTCTTTTCCAATCTTTATTATTCTATAATACTGTGAATGGTAGAATGAGAAAAAGATATTATGTGCAAATTTAGAAAAGTGTTTGATTTGAAGGAAAAAAACAACTTTGTTTTGTTTCCTTTTAGCATTGCAGTCCTTGTATTCAGTCATTGCTGGACTCTTTAAACCATGGATACTGGTCTTGGAGAAAGAGGATGCAAGGTATATACTGAATTTTAAAATTAAATTAATTTTTGCTAAAGTAGGGACTTTAGTCCTGTAAGAATGGCTTTCATTATTACCTAGCTTTTAATAATTTGTGACTGTCTTGACTTCCATTTAAATAGCTCTCACTTTGTCATTTCCTTAATAATTACAGAACTAATTTATGACCTACATCAAATTTTCCAAGGTTTGGATAGAATAATTATTTTAGAATGAGAAAGATCTTGTAATAATATGAGCAGAGCTTGATTATTTGAAGAATTTCACTCAGTTTTAAAAACACTGAAACTTGAATTTCAGATTTCCTCTTTTTAGCTTCCATAATATCTATAATACCTGTTTAAAGGAAAACAAAAAAGCCAAACATACACAACCCCAAATGCCAATGGTGTATAAAGAAACTTTAGGCTAAATTAATGCTTTGATGATTCACATCATTCATTCACAGCATTCATTCATGTACACGGTTCATGTTGCCCTGTGTACCTCTGCTTTCTCATGAAAAGTTAGTTATGCTACTACACATTCAGATTTTGCTTTCTTTCAAAATTAAAAGCTTTTGGAATTGAGTGCACCTTCAGCACTGAAGTTAGAAGGTTGTCTGCAGCTGGTGAATAAGGTCATTGAGAAACTGTTGTTTCAACTCCATTATTAAATACCAAACAAGTAATCTCTGCTTACTCAGTGAATCTTCATAGTGGCATAGTGAAGTATGCAGCTCTTCTAAGGAAGGAGAGTCCCAAAGAGCTGAAATTGGGAGGACTGCTGATACCTGTAATTTACTGCTTTAGAATATTTAAATTGCAAATGTTTATGCTCAGGTAACTGAACACAAAAATTTCTGTTGTGCTTCTTTTCAGTAGCCAGCCCTGCTACCCTTGGTTGGAGAGTGACACTCCTGTAGCCTCCACTGTGGTCTGTTTGTTTGCAGATTGCATCAAGCTCTTGCATGAGAGCTTCAAAGGTGAGCATCAAATCCTAACTCTCCCCACTTGTTGATTTGGAGGAAAAAACCCCAAAAGTTCAGTGTGCATTTTTTTTTTCTTTGAGTGTATTTTAGTGTAACTTACAAGTTTTTCATTTTCAAAAATAGACTTTCTTCTGAAATCAAGTTTTATCTGAATTTTTTTTCTGTTCTTAATTCAGCTATTTTCTTTGATTCTAGAAAAGCTGTTGCCAAGCCACCATGGGGCTCTCTGGTTACACCTAATGCATTACTGTGAGTGTTGCACAGCCCCCAAAATGCCAGAGTTTATTCTCTATGCTTTCCACACTGAATTCAGAAAGCTTCCATGGAAGGAAATGCATCCAGACCAGATGCTTATGGAAGAGTTCTTTAAAGTGAGTTTGTGGCATCTGTTGAATTAAGTTCATAGTGCTGCCCCTGAAAATAGCTGGAGAGCAGGAGGCAGTTCTTTTAGCAAGTAGGCTTTTAAAGTTTGTTTTCAGCATTCACAGCTGCTCAATTTGTGATGGATTTTTGGAAAGGAGTGATTCTGAGTCTTAGACAAAGTTGTGGGGAGCTGTACAGCTCCCTCTTTGTTGATCTTCCAGAATGTCTTATTTACTGCATATGTATTATGTATATATGTATAGTTAGATTTAATATATTTTGCTATTGTCATGTTGTTCTCATTTCCAAGTCACCTGAGACAAAGTAAAGCTGCAAGTGGGGGAACCAAATGATGGAGAAAAGACATTTGTCTGCTCCTCTGCTGACCTAAAATGCTGCTGTAGATTTACAGTTGGCTAAGCATCTGGAAATTGTAAAACTACTTATATCCTACACTGTTTTATGCACCTGTCTTTTTCCCTTTCTCCTTCCTAGATTGAAAGAGGCAGCCCCAAGAGTTGTTTCTTGTTCTTGGGTTATGTTTTATGTGAAGTAAACTGGGTCAGTGTCCTCTCTGATGCCTGGAATCCCAACCCTCACCCTCAGACTCACAGCATGATTGTCTGTTTGCTGTATATGATGGTCCTGTTGGCAAAGGAGGAACAGCTTATAAGCGAAGAGGTAATTTTTGTGATGGTTCATACCCATCTCTTGAAAGAAAAATAATCCTTTACTAAAAAGGGTATGAGATGTGACTAAGTGCAGTTCATTGCTTCTGGAGGACTCTTTGGAGGGTCTTGATCATCTTCAAGAAGTCCCATTTCACATCTGTCAGCTTTCTTCCATGTGCATTTTCTTTTGCACCATTTCCTCTGAGGCATTACAAGATGCTGCACCAAGATGTCACCAGCAGCCTTTGACCATCATTGTATTTCAGTTTAGGAAAATTACCAGACTTCATGTGCTTTGACCTGAATGTCTTTGCTTATCAGAAGCTTCTCAATCTTCAGAAGATAGCTGTCTGCACATGGTGTGAGTCAACCTCAGGAATTTCTTCCTTCCCTCCAGCAGTGTGTTAAACTGGCACACTGTCAGGAGGGTTTTGCCTCCCAGAGCACTCCTGTGACACCTTGATCTAAATCTCAAACTTTCTCAGCCTTGTGTTCCAGGGCATGAGCAACCTGAGGAGTACAGTGTCACATTCCTGTACAAGTAGTGTAATTTGGGTTAGTTCTGGATTATTCATTGTAAAACCTGTAGAAACATAGAATAGGGTATAGAATATCCTGAGTTGGAATTAATCATTGAGTCCAGCTCCTGTCCCTGTACATACACCCCAGCAATCCCACCCTGGGCATCCCTGGAATAGTGTCCAAATGCTCCTGGAGCTCTGGCAGCCTCGGGGCTGTGCTCATTCCCTGGGGAGCCTGGGCAGTGCCAGCACCCTCTGGGGAATGAACCTTTCCATGATCTCCAGTCAAAACTTTTGACACAGCTCCATGCCAGTTGGTGTTTCTCTGTGCCCAGGGGACTCTTTTTTACTGCAGATGTTTAAGAATAGATAGGAGCTGCTCATAGACAGAGAGACTTTTACATATGCTGACTTGCACTCCCTGTGTGAGCTGTGGGGCTGTTCAGGGTGGTATTTATGAGAATAAGCACATGAGGAGTCCCCCAGGTTGGTGGGTGACTCACTAAATGGAAAATTGAGGGACACAGTTTCTCATAGCTACATTAACGTATTTTTAGAAATAATTTATAATTTAAAAATAATATTTTAATGCCTCTTTTAAACCTGTACTGAGGTGACTTTACCTTGAAGGGTTTCCATATCCTTCTAGCTGTATTTATATGTTTACATGGCATGTTTTATCATTTTTCGCAGAGTTTTGTTCTCGATTAGAGCTGCTGCAACAGTCTGAATACAGTTGTGGAAATGCTAGAGATGAAATACCTGTGTTAGCTTACTGCTTGAGTAAGGAATTGATTTTCAGACAGACTCCCTAAGGTCATCTATTTCTGCAGGTTTTCAGCTCCATCTCGTTCAAATTCTGAAGCCAGAGCTTCCTTACAATATTGAGTACTGTGCGTATGAATTGAAAACTGCAAAGAAGGTGTAGCTTAAACTGATGTTTTTAAATCTTCAGGAATCTCCACTCATAAATCTTCTTGGACAGACCAGCTCCCTTCCTTGGCAGCTTGTGGGCATTTCATCTTATGAAAGCATCATCAGCTACTGCAACAGTCACTACCCTCCCTCCGTTATCCTTGCTAAGGATGCTGGAGCTGAACTGATCGTGAAGCTCCTGAAGATCTCAGCAGGCTTTGGGGCATCTTCTGATAGTCACATCCACCTTGTGAGTTGAACTAGTTTTGGAGCATCTCCATGCTGTTCTTGGCTTTTGTGAAGTTGTGCTTGTGTATATTATGGAATAATATTATGGAAAGAGTTCTAGGTGTGATTTTACTTTTTTTTTTCCCCTAATTGATTTTAATTTTGTTTGACAGGATGCAACACTGAAGTGCCGAGCGTATATTCGCCAGGTGGTTCAGTTCCTCAGCACCTTAGAACAAAGTGGAAAGATAACCCTTGCAATTTTGGAGCAAGAAATGGCCAAGTTGCTAGATGATGTAGTCATCTTTAATCCCCCAGGTTTGTGTTGAGGAAATGGCAAATTACTCTAAAGCTGTCAAAATCCTTTATCCGCTGAGTGGATTGAGGAACATCTGTGATGATTTAATTATTTGCATTATTGTCATGTCTCCCTTATGGGCAGCAGGGCATGATGCTTTGGTGATGTATACATAGGTGGTATATTAGCACAAAGCAAAAATATGAATCTTGCCCTACAGAGCTGTCAGGAGTGACAGAACCAACATTAAAAAGAGGGGTTATGTTTGTGGGTAAAACTGGCTGATTCACAGGATCTTAAGCAATTCATTTCTTTGTCATCTGGTGGTTTCGGGTTTTTTCTAATTTTTATTTTACTTGTCATTTACCTCTGTTTTAAAGGGAAGAATGGCACAAATCCTTTCTCCTGGTCCTGACGGATTAAGAGTAATGGGTACAAACTGAAAGTGGAGAAGATTATGTTAGGTATTTAGAAGAAATTCTTGCTGTGAGGATGGTGAGACACTGGCACAGGTTGTCCAGGCAAGCTGGGGATGCCTCAACCCTGGTAGTGCTCCAGACCACTTTGGGTGAGGCCTTGAGAAGCCTGATCTAGTGGAAGGTCCCTGCCTATGGCAGGAGGGTTGAAACCTAGATGATATTTAAGGTCCCTTCCAATTCTTAATATTCTATGATTCTGTGACTCAGAAATGGTTTTAAATTGTGAAACCGGGAAAATGTATTGAAGTAGAAGAGGTATACTGGTGTACCCTAGCGGTATAATGTGTCCAGACACCCAGGATTGTGTGGTGAGATCACCTAGACCTCATTTGTATTATTAGTACCATCTTGAGGTCCCTCTGTCAAACTGTGAGTTCAGGTGAAATCCATGTCTCGCTGTACTCCACAGAAATGGTTGTGAGGGATCGTGTCTCATGCCCATGGGTGTGTAACAAGGAAGAGGCTTTTCCCAGTGTCCACAGAAAGTCTGCTGGTGAAGCTGAATCTGGGTTCCAGTGTCTCTCCACTGAAAGGATTTTGTGGTTTCTGACTTGCAGACATGGATCTGCAGACGCGTCACCTGGCCCTCAGCAGCCTGTTCACGGAGACGCTGATGATGCTGAACAACTCCAGCATCACCACGGCCGAGTCTCTGCGGGGCAGCCTGCGCAGGTGGATCGACAGCAGGGTGCAGGGGCTGCTGGCCATGCCCCTCCTCACAGCTGCATGCCACAGCCTGGCCTCCGTGCGCCACATGGCCGAGACCACCGAGGCCTGCATCACTTCCTACTTCAGCGACGGTAGGAGCCCGTCTCTGTCTCACAGCCTCTGCTCAGTCTGGGATGCTGCTGAGCACAAATTGTCTGGAATTATGGACTGCTTTGGGTTGGAAGGGTCATTCAAGATCACCTTGTTCCTGCCTCTCTGCCATGGGGAAATGGCTTCGCACTGGCAGAAGGGTAGATGAGAGAGAAATTCTTCCCTTTCAGGGTGATGAGGCCCTGCCACAGGTTTCCCAGAGAAGCTTCTCCATCCCTGGAAGTGCCCAAGGCCAGGTTGGATGGGGCTTGGAGCAACCTGGGGTAGTGGAAAGTGTCCCTGCCCATGGCAGGGGATAATATAAGATGGTCTTTTATGTCCCTTCCAACCCAAACCATTCTGGGATTCTGTGATTGTGGTTTGGGTATTACAACTTCTCTACCTGTATGTTTTCTTAATATCCATACCCATCTCTGTGAAAACCGATTTGCTCTGTGTACTGTTGCCATTTTTCCAGCTAAGGTGAAGGACTTCATAAAAAAAAATAACCCCAAGAAAATGGAAGACATTATTCCCTTTCTCTAGTGTTCTGTAGGCTAATTAAAGAAAAAAAATATTCTGGTTTGGTAGAACTCTGGTAGTGTAGTGTGCATGATTTTTTTTCTTTTTTCTTTTCTTCGTTTTTCTGTTTACATAATTCTTGTGGAATTACATTTTTATTGCTTTCACTGTTTGGAATATTTTAGAACACCTGGGGGAAATACTTCTAATTCCATTGCTAAAATGTTAAAATTTTAGCCCTGACTGGGAAAATATCTCACCTTGACCTCAAGGAGGTGCCCTGTGATAGTGAAATTTTTCTGTTCTCTCCATCGGAGTTGCATGACATGCTGATTACCTGAAGAACAGTGTAGACCAGCTGAGATTGTCTTAACTAGTAGTCCTGGTTCTTATGTTTTACCAAGTGCTGCTTTCTCACATGCTTTTTGTTCTTCTGCTTTCTTCAAAGATTCCCCTCACCACCGGGAGTTAGGCTGGGGCCCTATACTTGCTTCCCTCCAAGTTCCTGAGCTAACCATGGAAGAATTCCTGCAGGAGTGCCTGTCTTTAGGAAGTTACTTGACCCTCTATGTCTACCTGCTGCAATGCCTGAACACTGACCAAACCCTTACCAATGAAATGAAAATCCTGCTGACCATCAGCAAATGGCTGGAGCAAGTGTACCCCAGGTATGAAACTTGAAACTTCTGAATGTGCCTGGACTTTTGGATTATTATTATTTAGATTAAAGTTTATTTAGAGTTGTATAGCTGGTATAATTAGGTAGCCTTGGTTAATCAAGTTAATTTCAACAGAGTGCTGAATGAAATGGTCAGTCCTTCTGTATCTACTAATACAGGATCTGTAGTGGCAATACCACCAGAAAGTAGTTGTGGTGGTTAGATGGAGGAAGGAATTTAATCTGCTAGAAAATTAGTGAGTTTCAGTCATTTTTCAGTCAGACAAGCTTGGTTTCAATGGCAGCCTGGATTTGTGCTCTGTTAAAACGACTCAAAGCAAACCTTGAATCGTTCTGGGTTCCACTTCCCAGCGTGTCCACAAGGTGGGATGAGTTATGTGCTGAATGTTCAGGCTGGCACTCTGAGAGACCTGGTATTGAAAGCTGCTGGATGGGGACAATGCAGCATCTCTGAACCAAACCTGGAGCCAGTGGATCTGATGGAATGCCTAGGGTTGGCAGACTGTGTTGCTGTAGAACATATTAGATAACTGGATTCTGAGGGGAAAGGATGCATAGCTTTGGGGTCAAAATAAAAGTGTTTAATGTATGTAACAAGTGTAGTTAGAGTTGCTGCTGAAATTGCTGGGATTTGGCAAACCTGATTATTATTTTTCCATGTTAATGTTGATAATGTTCATATTTTCTGTAAAAGTACAATTTGGAAAAATCTATATTCCCACTGTTTCTTGAAATTGAAAAAAATACTTTCACTGTGGTAGGTACTGCAGTAATCTCATTGCCAAGGTATGAAGAAGACAGCAAAGCCACCATATAATGCAGATTAAACCTTGCTTTAAACATGAGATCTGAGATTGCCTGCGATGGGAAATGACTGGGAGGAGTAATGGGAAGATAATCTGATACAGGAAACTCGTGCTGGTGCTTTATGTGGAAAATCTGAGCTTGTTAACTTAAACTGCCAACTGTTTGAGGAAAGATTAAAAATAGCATAGGGGGAACTTCACTTTGGGCTGTACTCAACAAAAAGCTTCAATGTTTCCTTTTCTCAAGGATCATATTAAATATCTAAATTGTTGTGGTAACAACATCCAGTGCTTCCTAAAGTGTTTTATTGGTAAGTAAAGAAAAGAACAAACGAGTAGAGATACAGCTTCTTTCCTTTTGTGCCAAGTCTTAAGCAAGTTTAAATCCACTTATGACTGCAGTATCATTTATTTCCAGTTGTAAAGCTTAAAAGGAAGCACTGTTCTTTGTCCTGTTACAGGCCCATAAAACCTGCTAGCTGGTGGATCAAATCCCTAACAGTAGGATCATGGCAATATAATAACTGGTGGGGTAGTATAGTTATGCTATCCTCATGTGATAAAATTAGCTGTTATTAATTAACAAGGTGAATTCTTCATGGACCTGGTGGGGAGGGAAATAAACTTCTTAACCTATGCATATGACTCTTTAATTTTTATTTTCTCTTACGCTTTTCTTTAAATTTTACCTAAAGCTCAGCAAAGGAGGAGGCAAAGCTGTTTCTCTGGTGGCATAAAGCCATGCAGTTATCCTTGGTGCAGCTGGAGCAAGATGACCCCGTTCTGATTGAATCTGTCATCCGGACCCTGCTGTCCATCCAGGGCCGGCAGAGCCAGCTGGCTGAAGAGAGACTCACTTCTGGAATACTTGGTGCTATTGGCTTAGGCAGGAGGTCTCCTTTGTCACCCAGGTGAGGGCTGAAGCTGTGGTGAATTAATTGGTGTGAGTCTTTTTAAAGGAACTGCAGCCTGGGTCTAGAATGCCCAGTCTGGGTCCAGTGTAGTGTTAAAAGATGATGAGAGTCCACATTATCCCCAGATCTATAATGTTCATTGGGCCTGTCACAGAAATAGCACAGTGAGCATGTTAATCAGGTTAAGAAACAAGTGTGAACCTCTGCAAAGGTTGTGGTGAAAAATGCTGTTCTAAATCTGACTTAGTGTCCACCTCAGGCAAACCATTGTAGGCACACCATTTGTTAGAGGAAGGTACTTCCACCTGGTCTGTAGAAAACTATTTCAGTTGATGTCCCAAGATTTTATATAAAAACAGACACATTGGGATTTCTGTCCTAACCTTGAAGTATTGGAAATGTTAAGAGATGCACAAAGCATGTGCTTGCTTGTGATTCACTCTACCTTCTAAATAGAGACACCAAGTTTGATTGTTAGGTGTCAAAATTGAGTTCATTCTGGAAAAAATGCTGAGAAAAGAACCTCATGAATGTTTGTGGAACAACAATTCAACCCTGCACCTAAACATTACTTTGTGTTTATAAAGACCTTCTGGGATGCAGTGCTGTTCAAATTACTGTGAATTCTTGGTGTCATTCAACTAACTCCTTGATTTGGATGATAGGAATATTTTACATTCTGTCACCTGAGGAGAATTTCAGATATGAGCTGAAGAGTATTTCAGCTAGGCTTGAAACAGATGCAATATTTCCTATACAAGTATTATCTTCTAGTATGTGTCGTGTTCTGTTGTGCATATAACCAGAGAATCTGGGATCCCCTTCCACCCCTGGCAATGTCCAAGGCCAGGTTGGATGGGGCTTGGAGCAGCCTGGGCATGTGGAAGGTGTCCCTGCCCATGGCAGGGGGTAGAACAAGATGAGCTTTTAAGGTCCTTTCCAACCCATATCCAAATTTTGGGATTCTGTGATACTGAAGTGGTTTCTAATGCATTGGAATATGTCTTTAGGGTCTAAAGCCTCTATTTTGTTCCTCATGCAAAAGATACTTGGACAGATCTTACAATTTATCTGCTGGTGAGACTTGTAGGTCTGGTGTCACCCTGTCCCTCTGTGCTCTCCTCGCGCAGGTTCCGGGTGGTCGCCCGCAGTTTGTCCACCTTCCTCCTGGTGCAGATCCCTGCAGAGAGCCAGGTGCGCCTCAAGGCTGGCTCAGAGCCCAGGCTGTCTCAGAAGGCCCAGCAGGTGAGTTGTGCTCATCTCTGGCTGCTTGACATTGCCCTCTCTGTATGCTTGTTCAGCTTTTGGGGTGAACTTCGTAAGAGTCACTGCAAGAATTCCTTCAAGGTAAATCCTGCTCTCACCTTATTGCTAAACTTTGGCAGCAGGATTGTGTGTTTGACTCTGTCCTAAAGTGTTCCTGGGTAAAACTTCATATGGTGTTCTGCATTAATATGAAGACACTATTTTTGAATCTTACACATTTAAAAGAGGCAGATAAATTTACGTCTGTAAAGCCCGACTTCAGAAAGTTTGGAGCATAGCAGGTAGAAGGAATTTAAAACAGACAGGAAAAAACAGTGCTGCTGTGATCTGCACTGCTTTTCAGTGATAAAACAGAGCTACATTCACGGTGACATTTGTTTATGTGAGGTCAGGGCTTAAAAGCCCTGTGACAAATAAACATTCCCCCTTTAGCATGTGCACTGACCGTTGTGTTCTTTCAGTAAGCGCTTGAGAAGAGGAAGGAGGAGCTGGTTAGAAACCAAAGCAAAGTAGCTTGGTACAGCCTGTTTCTTTAATAAAAGAACAAAACTTGTTCAGAAATATTTTCTACATTTGCCCTTGCTAGTCCTGCCGACATAGAGTTCTCTGTATACAATTTTTAACTTAATATATAACCTTAACTATACTGTTAATGGGAGCAATACAATACTTTCGTGAAAGTCAATATATTCATAAGAACAACCTAAAGTGAAGATTTAAATGTGCTGCAGCTTGTAGTTTGATATAATTTCTGTGAAACCATGTCTTGAGTTCATGAAGTAGATATTTGACAATATTTGGGTTACAGAACCCTAGGAAGCATTAATAGGACAGTTTTTGTGTTGATCTCAGGAAGAGAACAGCTTGAAAAATACAAGTTGGCTTGAAACTCTGTTATGGGATGGTAATTTGCAACTGTTTTGTTCCGAGTACTGTGGGTTCTGTAGTAGCTGAGGGTTCTTTAGGGGGATTGTACAGATGGTGGTGTGTTACAGACCAAAATACACAAAACTAACAGAATTTTCCCCTTTCCCTGTAGGCACTGAGTGCTCTTGAAGCCATGTCATCCAACAAACAATACATGGATTACCAAGAGCAGCTCTCCCAGGCCTCTCTGTTCATCAAGCACCCTGAGCACTGCCTTCAGGATGGCAATAACCTCCTGTCCCTCCTGGTGAACACGCTGTACCCAGAAGTGCATTTTTTGGACAGCATTCGGTAGCGGCATGCGGGGGCCGGCGGTGGCTCTGGTTTACAAATAGTGTCCTTATTGCACAAATGATTTTTACCTTCAGAGTTCCACTTCAGTTAAGTCAGACCTGTGAATTAGAACTGCACACTGTCAAGTTTTCTCCACTTGAAGGTTTTCTTGCTTTCCTTTTGATTTTTAGGCCTGTGGAATTGCTTAATGGTTTGCGTTTTGGGGTGTTTTGTTTTGTTTTTTTGACTGAAAGCACTTGAATATTTTCTCTGTGTGGTGCCCTTTGGAGGGAAGGGTGCCTGGGGATAGATGTACAAATCACTAGTCAGCACAGCTCATTCTGTACTGTCTGAAGTTTTTGCTTTGTGCCTTTTTTTCTTTTCCAGTGTGTCATCAATTAGGCCAGTTCAAAAGTGAGTGGAGGAGTGTGTAAAAGAGGTTTGACTTTCTTAACTGGGATACCTTTGAGTCTTACCTGATGAGTGTGTGTCTAGCAATTTTTGTGAAATCCCTGTATTTGAAAAGATGGTATTTTAAATCTTGACTTTTTTGCTATTCCACAGAAATCTGTAGTTTAGAGGCATGCCTACAGTCTTTACCCACTTCCGTAAATACCAACAAAAATGGGAACTAAGAACATTGTTTTTTCCTGTTTTCAAAATATTAGTGTGTCTGCATCTATATTTCTTGATTAAATGGAAGTAACTTCTAGCCACATTCAAGGGGATTTAAATCCAGAGACATATGTTCTGGATCTCCAGTGTCTGAGAGGAGAACAGTCAGTCATGATCATGTTAAATAGGATTCCTTAATTCCTAAGTCTGGTTGTTTAGGAGGGGTTTAATAACCACCACTTAAGCTTATTTTCTTCTGCCTGGCTGGACATGACATGACAGGATTTTAGATGACGCTGTGAAGAGGTATTTTTGTTGTATTAAATTTGGTGATCACTTGTTAAAATTCTGTTGCCAAAGCATGAACCATGAGCCTGTAAATCTGTTGTTTCAGCTGAATGATCACTGCTTTTGTTGCCTTGTCTGATCATCGGATGCACTTTTGTTTAGGGAAAGCAGAAGGCAAATTTTTCCTGGTGCTTGTTTGATGTCCCTTTAATCACTGATCTGTTTGAGCTGGCCCAAGGTCCTGCAGTCCCAGTCCCTACGGCTCTATGAAGGAACTGACCACTTTTTCCCTTCCTCCATTAATTGTGCCTTTGTGTTTTTGACATGGTTGCACGTTGAAACATGAGTTCTGGTCAATAGGGGATAGAAATGTGCTACCTACTGTCTGGTCAATGATGCTTTGAGCTGTTGCTCTTAAACCGTGGTTCTGGTGCTAGAGGACAGATCACCTTTTCCTTCTTGGCAGATTCTGCTAATTATGCCAGCTGGGTCATTAGATCACCGTCATTTTAATGTGGTCTTAGAGTTCTTTGCTCTATCTGCGAGCCTATAAATAAATATATATATGTACATCCCTCTGTATAGTAACCAGATACCAATGCAGCATGGTTTTTAACAGACTTTTTGAAAATTCATGTCTGGAGGAATACATTCTGCTGCTTTTCCCCCCCAAAGACTTAAAAGCACTGGGTTTACTAGGCTCAATGTTATTGATCAGTTGCATATAAATGTGAAAAAGTCAGAAATACGTGTTTGATATGCACTTTCAAAATGAGGAATTGTTTCAGCTGTTGAGTTTTTACAGATGTTGTATTTATAACATGTTCTGTCTGCAAAGACCATGCAAAATAAAAACAGAAAATCAAGCAGTTGGTGACTGACACTGTGATATTTTCAGCTTGGTAGAAGGATCCACATCAGATAACACGTAATTGCTGTATGTGTCACCTGCAGACCAGTCTTCTGGCTTCAGTCTGAAGACTGAACCTGTATTGCAGTTCTCTGTGCACATACGAACTCCAGAGCCTGGGGTCTCATTTTCCAAGTGGTGCCCAACAGATTGAGTTTTTTTTCTGGTTTCTAGTCTAAACCTTACAGTTTTACTGGAAGGACTTTGTCAGTCCCTGCATCTCCCAGATGAGTTCAATACCAGAAGTGTCCTGGTGCAGTGCTGTGTTTTACCCCTCCAGTTTATACTGGTTTGAGTGGGTGTTTGAGTCTCCCATGAGGACCAGGGGGAATGAGTTGGTTTTGGGACGTGATGTCTGATGCTTCTATTTGGACCCAAGCTACTTGAGTTAAAGAAGTAATTTTTGAGAGAAAAATTCAGAAAGCCAAGCCTAAATTCTATGCACAGGTAGAAGTGAGTTCTCATTACTCTATGTCTGTAAATCATAAGGGCTCAGAAATCAAATTCAGTTTGTCCAGCTGATATATCTGAGATCTCTTTCCTTTGTGACACCTGTGACATGGAGCTTACAGTTTGTGACTACACTGTCTGCTGTAATTTCCCTTTTCTCTTTGCATCTCTTCTTATTTTTATTAAATCTGGCTTTGTCACTGCTGGGATTTTAAGCAGGGATTTAAAAGATCAGGTTCAAGTATATCCTTGCATTTTTTTTTTCCCCCTTATCATTCTGGCCAAGTAATTTAAAATTCTGGTTTGCTTTCCCAGTGCAGATATTATGAAGAGGTGAACTTTAAAATAATGATTCCCAGCCTGGGGTCGAGCTTGATGGTATTTCAGTAGCTGTTGCCAGGAGCAGGATTGTTTGGGGAACAGTTTTGGAGCTCTGTGTTGGGGTGACACTGGTAGCTCAGTTCTTTTCCCCAGGTCCGAGACTGATGAGAGAGAAACTGTTTCCATGTTTGGGCTCAGTTGTTTATTTTTCCTTATCTGTATGACATATTTACAGACTACAAGGAGCTATGTACAGTAGGGGTAACAAGGTGCAAAATGGAGGGACAAAGAATCTCTTCAAGGTATTTTAAGTGTCAACCTATCCAGTAATGAAATGCCAAATAACTTATTTTCATTAACAACCCAATAACCAAACATCTGTGTCCTGCAATACGGATTCTTCTATCCAATCACCTGTTATTACCCAAAAACCCTAGAAGAAGAAGATGAAGAAGAAGGAGAAAGGGACAACACCTTAAATCCTCCATGTTGTCTCTTTTTCACTAATATAACTTAAACCCTAAATCCTAATTAAGTTTCTCACCCAGTGACTTTATATGATTCTATCTAACTCCCACATTCTCAGTTTCTTCACTTAGTTCTAGAAGCTTTCTCCATGGTTTTAAGTTGAACTCAGTGTTCTCTTGAGTGTCTGAGCCTGTCAGCACAGATAAGGAAATATTTTCTGTGCCTCTGACTGCAGTACTGGGATGGTTGAACAGAGCATCAAATCCAGCAGTGTAAACATGAAAGTAAGTTCAAACCACATGCTCTTTCTTACTTCTTTCTCTTCCTCCTCATCAAATCTAACCTGTTGCTGTCTCCAGCCCTATCTGGGGCCTCTGCCTGCCTCCAGGACTCCAGGTTGACCCACATGGCCCTATACCATAAGCTGGACCTATTTACCTGATCTTGGAGAGTGTTTACAGTTGGGTTTGAGATTTCCCTGTGGTTGGCCCTTGTGACCTTTGTGATTCTGTAGTAGTGACTTCATTTCAGAAGAGAGGGATTTAAGAAATGAGTACTCAGACCTTAAAAAAAACTCATCCGTGTAACACAGGGATGGAAATGGTTTAGAAATAATTTCTTTAGCTTTAGGGAAAAAAACCAACAATTTGGTGTATTGGAACATTTTCACAGCACATTTTTCACAAAGCTCTTGAGTTTCTGAGCACTAGAAGCTGAGTTGGAACACAGACTAGTTTAGACTTCTAGTGTCCTGGTTTCAGCTCTACCAGTTTTTGGAAAACATCTTCCTTTTTTGCTTGGGTGCCTCTTTAAAGTTAAGAGTTCCTTTAAGCTCTAAAATAAACTCTTGTGGGCATTTAGGAATAATATTAATAATAATTTTTTAAAAAGGATCAAACCCCACCAGAAATTCCAGTAGTGTTTTGCTACAGCTAGGATTTCTATCATGTCAGTAGCCCACTTGGATGTGGTTGGAGAAGTGAAGTGGTGAAAATGGCTTTTCGGAGTGATGTTTGAAAATTGCCAAAGTAGAGAGCTGTGAGGTGATTTTATACTATTGCTAAATATCTGATAGGAGCTAAAAACACCTAACAGGTTAAAACTGACCATGTTTTGCTCTTCCAGCTCCGTGACTCTTTCTTCTCTTTTCCCCAAAAAGGCTGCTCTCACTTGTGAGGAGAAGCAGGGCTGGAACTCATGGCACTGTGGAAGGGACCTTAGAGATGATCCAGTTCCAACCTCCCCAAGGCTGTCTGACCTGCTGTGGCTCAGCCAGGGCCAGTGCTGTGCTCCCTGGGGAAGAACATCCCTGGGGATGGGTCCTGCCCAGCCCCTCAGCTGCGCCGCGGCGCTGCCCCTCCCGTGGGCAGGGTCTGGCTGCCGCCGTGTCTGCGGTCAAAGTTCTCGTAGGTGCACTCTGGCAGCTGTGGCCTGGCAGGAGGAGACGTGGGAGAGGTGAGGATGTGTTTCAGGATGCTCTGGGCTTTGCCAGTGGCTCCAGTGGATGTCAGAGGAAGCGTCTGTGGCACTCTGAGACAGATCCTCTTCTGCTTCATGGTGGCTTCTAAGGGTCTGAGCTGCAACTACTGTTTTACACCTTGAAACTTTCACATCTCAAAGCATCCAGAGCAATCTCCTGCACCTTTAGCATCCACTGTGCTACTGTCCTGCCCAGAGCCTCGTGAGGTTGTGACAAACCACTCCTTCTTATGTAAGCATTGGCTTTAAGCCTTCTTATCTGTGTAGGTGTCTATGCAAATATAACCCAGGGTGCAACGTGGTTCAGGCCCTGATAAATCAGATAAACTGTGCTTTTTTGTGCTTTTTACAAGTAACTACAGGTTTGACTGTAGGATTAAATTCTGTGTTTCTTTGGCTGTCCTCCTGGAATGGGCATTGTTCTTGGGGAAAGGTCAGGGAAGGAGACATGTGGGGTAACTCAGGAAGGAGATATCACAGAGAAATAGCTCAGATTGAAATGGAGCAGCCCCATACAGATGTAACTATCCTTGACCTCAGATAACTCTTTTTTACCATTAGATCAAGGGTTGGTTTTGGTGGGATTTTTTGTTTATTTTTTTGTTTTTTTCCATCCCAGAAGTTTGGACCCCAGCTGTCAGGAGTGCCCAAGATCAATGTTGCACTGGGTAATGGGAAATGCCAGGGGTTTATGGGAGCATGGTGTGGATGCCAGCCCAAGAATCAGACCCTGTCACACCTGAGCTGGGCTGTTTGCTGTCTCCATACCTTCCCTGCACACTTGGCTGAGCTCATCAGCTTTGGTGTGGCAGCTTTTTCTGCTCCATTACAGACTGGGGTACACAGAGAGGGGAAGATTTCTGTTTCACAGCGTCACCACAGACCCCATCCCTGACTTTTCCCTTGGCTGGATGATCCATTGTTCATTTAATGTGGTATCACAGAACCCTGGAATGGTTTGGGTTGGGAGGAACTTGAAAGCTCCAGTCCCATCCCCTGCCATGGACAGGAACACCTTCCCCTGTCCCAGGCTGCTCCAAGCCCTGTCCAGCCTGGCCTTGGACACTGCAGGGATCCAGGGGCAGCCCCAGCTGCTCTGGGCACCCTGTGCCAGGGCCTGCCCACCCTCCCAGCCAGCAATTCCTTCCCAATATCCCAGCTGGGCCTGCCCTCTGGCACTGGGAAGCCATTGCCTGTGTGCTGTCCCTGCAGGCCTTGTCCCCAGTCCCTGGGCAGCTCTCCTGGAGCCCCTTTAGGCCCTGCCAGGGGCTCTCAGCTCTCCCTGGAGCCTTCTCTTGTGCAGGGGAGCAGCCCCAGCTCTCCCAGCCTGTCTGCAGCCTTCCATCCATGCTCTGGGCTTATGGCACACCTAAACTTCTGTCAGCCCTTTGCTGGTACAGCAGCCTTTTGCTGTGGTCTCTCCCAACTGCTGCCCAGTCCTTTGTCCTCACTCCACTGGGGTCCAGCTCTCAGCTGTGCCAAGACAGAACCTCTTCTCAGCAGTGTCCAGTCCTTGTTCCCTCACACTTGCTCACCTGGCCATCAGCTCAACCCTCTCCTTGCCCCAGCAGTCTGCTCTGAGGCCAGAAAATTGTTACCAAGACCAAAGACACGCACATTTCTCCCCTTGGCCATCCTCACGCTCCTGCAGGATAACACAAGTAGAAGGCAAGACATCCTTACCTGGCCAGGCTGGATGGAGCAGAGGGGGAACCTGTGAAATGGAAATGGTGATGTGGGTTAGCAGTGAGGTTAGCAGTGGCTGGGGAGCCAGGAGTGACCTAAGCTGCTCTGGAGGGTGGTTGTGACACTCCAGTGAATGGGAAGAAGCCCTCATGGCAGGCATGTGGCTCTCTCCATGTGCTTGGGAATTGGGCACTGGAATATAAGGAGCAAAGCATTTTTGGTTTCTTGAACTTTACTCTTCAGGACAAGTGGCGGCTTCTATGAGTGTGACATCAGACTGTCCCTACAGACGAGTCACATGTGACATCTCACTCTTCTCAGTCCCCTCCTGCCCATGCCACTACTCAGAAGCACTGGAGGGCTGGGGACAGGCAGCGTCCTGGCTCCTTGGGAGGTTCTGTTCCTCAGTCCATGGGCTGGTTCTCATCTCCTGTAAGCTGGGCATTCCCTGATCCCACAGCCTTGGCATGGCTGGAAGGTGGGATTTCACAAGTGCTGGGGAAGCATTGGGTAGTGAGGTCCCAGGGGACTGACAGGGGTGGTCTGTAAAATGAGGATGCCCATCCCAGGAGATTAAACTTGTGTGGGATGCAGCAAAGGTAAACCCCGTCTGTGGGCTACAGGGGAAGAGACAGTAATTAGCCAGCTTCAAGGAAAAAAAAAATAAATCTGGTTATGTAGTCAGTGGGTTCTTCACTAATTTCTCCTCTGTTGGTTTATTAACATTTTTTCTTGGCAACAGGGAAACTCCTCTTCCCTCTGAATTTCCAAAGGCCCCTCTGTCAGCAGGCTGTGACCAGCCAGCCAAGAGCTCTTGGCTCTTAGGTTTCCTGCTAGAATTGTCCCTCTCCTAGGGCAGAAAATCCTAAAATCATTAACACTCCCTCCCCCCAAACAAACCCAGTCCCCTCCTGCCTGACTTGTCTGCGCATCCATCCCTGGTTTGCAGTTGGATGGAGGGAAGTCAGCACACTGACCTTCTCTGGAGAACACGGTGAAGCTCACTATCACCAGCAGAATGACCACCTTGATTCCCAGCGGCACAAAGATCAGGATCATGAAGGAGGAGCTGTCGGGGGCTCTGAATTTGTAGAAGTAGACGGCCCCCTCTGCGCGGCCGTGGCTGTTGACAGCAGTGCAGGTGTATTTCCCGTCGTGGGTCAGGGACCGCAGCTCCTTGGTGACGCGGTGGCTGGAGCTGCTGCTGGAGCTCAGGTTGCTGTAGAGGGGCCCACTCCAGGTCAGGGCAGGAGCTGGTTCCCCCTCGGCCGTGCAGCGGGCCTGGAAGGTGTGGTCCCTGCTGGAGCTGACCGTGATGTTAATGATCCTGGGAGCAGCTGTGGGGATCACAACAGGAGGGAAAGTGGGTCAGGCTGCAAAGGCAGCTCTGGTGTGAAACACCTGGAATGAAGTTTTGGTCTTGGTGGACTCTTGGCATTGTTATATTGGGGTAAAGTTGGATATTGGTGGGTGAGAGCTGGACCTGCCCCAGCCCTGAACCCCCTGCCCTGGGCTGATCCCCCAGCGTGGGCAGCAGGGGAGGGGGGATTGTGCCCCTGTGCCCCTGTGCTCAGGTGAGACCCCACCTGCAGAGCTGCCCCAGCCCTGGGCAACAACAGCACAAGGACGTGGAGCTGCTGGAGCCAGCCCAGAGGAGGCCACGCAGCTGCTGCCAGGGCTGGAGCCCCTCTGCTCTGGAGCCAGCCTGGGAGAGCTGGGGCTGCTCCCCTGCACAAGAGAAGGCTCCAGGGAGAGCTGAGAGCCCCTGGCAGGGCCTAAAGGGGCTCCAAGCAAAATGGGGATAATTTTTTTAGCAGGACTTGTGACAGGACAAGGGTTGATGTTTCAAAACTAAAAGAGTAGGGATTTAGATTTGATATAAGGAGGAATTTTTCTTGAAAGGAGGGTTTCCCAGAGCAGCTGTGGCTGTCCCTGGGTCCCTGGAAGTGTCCAAGGCCAGGCTGGGCAGTGCTTGGAACAACCTCATCTAGTGAAAGATGTTGGGTGGGTTGGACAAGATAAGCTTTAAAGATTTTCTTCAACAGAAGCTATTTAATGACTCTATGGATGTTGGGATCAGCCCTTTTCTTCCTTGTTTTTCTCGGCACTTTCTTCTCCTAGATTTCCCAACCCAGCCTATGTTGGAAAAGGATTCACCCAGCAAAGCCTGGACGTAAGGAAGTGTACGCTGTTTTATCCCAGTAATGGCTCACACTTTTTTTCTGAACTTTGGTCAACTTCAGCTGTTGTTCCCTTCCTCAGTGGCAGAAGGCAGAGAAATGCCACCCACCATTGTAGGCACAGGTGCAGCTGGTGACCTTTTTGAACTTGGCTGCACCACCACAAGGTCCAGGACATGCCAGCCACAGTGTTCTGCACAAGCATTTTATGGCTGTTCCTTTGATCTCTGACCTCCAGAGCGCACGTGGATGGACTCGTTTGTGTGAGCCCTCTGCGCAGTGCCTGAGACTTGCCAGATTTGGAAGGTCAGTTATAGGTAAAATATCTGTTTCTCACCACAACCTATTTTTGATTATTTTTTCCCAGCCCCAGGGTTACCAGGTCACTGTCAGTTTGGACATAGGATAAATTTCTTCACAGAAAGGGTGATTAGACATTGGAAGGGGCTGCCCAGAGAGATGGTGGAGCTCCCATCCCTGGTGCTACCTGGTTTTGAACCTGGTTCAAGAAGGTGTTAGGGAAAAAGAAGGGCACTAAAATGAGTGTCTTCACAGAGGAAGAGCAGGAATTCATTTTTTCAGACTGGACAAAAAAAATAGACTTTGCAACTTCCTACTACTCTTTCCCTTTGTCCATGTAATGCAAGAAGAATGTGAGGCTGTTCATCATGGGTCTGTGTGTTTTGGTGTCTAAATTAACCTTTCAAGCATTGATTAACCCCTCCCAATCACAGTGTCAGGGCCCATTCCCAAGCAGGGAATGTATCTGTGTGTGTTGTCATTCCTCTGGTGTTAAAATCCAGGCAGCCCCTGAGAGACAGGTCTGGCTGCCATCCTGCCCTGCTGTGTGTGGGTGTTCAGGAGCTGGTGCAACTGTGCAGAACTTCTCAACAAACAGCCAAGCTCATCCTCAGGTCCCATCTGGATACCCACAGCTGGCATAAGGAGCTTCCCTCTCAAAAGCAAAATCATCCAACCTCATGGCCTGGGTAAGATCTGGGTCTGCTTCTGAGGCCTCCTGTGTCTCCTGGCTCCTCCTGATCTCTGAGCTTGCCCTGGGAAGTGGGATTAGCATTTGACATTTGTTGCTCAGAGCCGGTTTTCCAGGAAAAACTTTGTGCTTCATGCTCCAGAGGATTTTGGATTTATGGCACCTGGGTACCAGGTATCTTGTCTTTCCAATCCCATTACCACCCAGGCCCTGTTGTGCTAATGCCTGTGAACTTGTGCTCTGCACCTGGGCTGTCCAGTTCGGGTTCTGATGGAGAAGATGTCTTTAACCCCAGCTTGGCTGAGCCCAGCTTGCCTCTGCTGCCTGCCCTGATCCTGAGCTGCAGGGACAAAATGGGATGCACAGCTTTTGGTGGGCTCTCACCCCAGCTGCCAGAGCCTTGCCATTTCCTTACCAGTTTTGTTCCTGTTCCCTTCCCTGCATGGTGCTCACTGTCTCATGCTGGGAGACTGAGGAGGACAACGAATTTTCCCTGTTATCATGGAGAAAGAAAACCCAGCCCCTTGGAAAACCATCTCAGGCAAACTTCTGCCACCATTTGTCATTTCTCACACCCCCTGGGCTCTTCCCTAGAGGGTGGCTTTGCCTCCTTTGCCTCTCACACCCTCTTACCAATCACATGGAGCTTTATCCCGTTCCTGCTCTCGTACTTGTCCTGGATATCTCCGGCCAGCTCCACCCGGCAGAAGTACCTCTCGCTGTCGCTCCAGGTCAGGTTGTCAACCCTGATGGACAGGTCCTTGTGCCGGGGGTTGCCCAGCAGTTTGTACTTGTTCTTGTGGCTGATGGCAGTCTTGCAGAGCTCGCTGCTGCCCTGGCTCACACACTTGAAGATGACTGTGCCGTTGTAAGGCTCCTTGATCCTCCAGATGGCCGTGAGGGCCCGGTCGAATGTTTTGTAGGGGTGTGTGAAGGTGCAGGGCAGGATAACCATCTTCCCAAGCTCTCCAGTAACATCAGATGGGACGTGGACAGACCAGCCATTGCACTGCACACCTACAAGCAAGAAGGGATCACGGAATTGCAGAATGGTTGTCTGGAAGGGGTCTTAAAATTAATTTCATTCCACTCCCCTTTCCACTATCCTGAGTTCCTCCAAGCCCCATCCAACCTGGCTTTGGACACTTCCAGGGATCCAGGGGCAGCCACTGCTTCTTTGGGCCACCTGTGCCAGGGCCTCACCACCCCCACAGCCAAGAATTTCTTCATAATGTCTAATCTAAATCTCCCCTCTTTCAGTTTAATATATAGATATGTCTATCTACCCACTGTTCTGCTGCTATCAACAGCTGTAGCAGCAGATTGGGCTTCAAAGACATCTGTGCCTACATTCCTGTCTTATGAAACTCACTTTGTTGGATCAGGAGCTCTCAGGAGCTGAGAATACCTGTAAAATGTAAAAGAATACCTGTAAAATGTAAAAGCATCCTGCAAGTAGTTCCACCCATCCCTGGTCTTGCTGGCTGCACCATATGGGCATTCAGCTGTCAGATTACTCCGGTAGACTCAAAGATAAGATCTGTTTTTTGTTCCTGTATCTGTGGCCCATAACACTTGACAAACATCTCCGTGGCAGTGCAGCTTGTATTAACCTATTGTGTGTTACACAATGGTCAAAAGCCATCCCAGGGCCAGTTCTCTGTTCAGATATTTACACGGAGTCAGCTCCAAGCCGGTATTTTGATTACTGAGATCTGGAGTCGTGCTGCCCTGTCATACACAATAACAGTATGGGCACCTTTTCCAGCCCAGGTTATCTAATAAATAATGCTGCAGCACTGCTGGGGCTTCATGAAGCTCATGGGCTTTGAGCACAAGGATCTGGCACTGAAAACAGTAATTGCTATTTCTTTCTGGCTTATTTGTTCTTGTTTTAGTTATTTTGCAGCATGTCAGTGTAACCTTTACTTTAGGGGAACGGTAGATTTTGTGCTTTTGAATATGCCTTGCTTCTCTCTGCCACCCCTTTGATTAGCTTTTTTTTTTTTTTTTTTTTTGTTCTCAGTCTTAAGCAAAGAACACTTTTTTTTTCCCCTAAGAATGCAAGCACCCCCTTGCCTTCCAGATGAAAAATAATGTTAAAAATAAGTGCTTTTAATGTTAGCATCTCTGCCCATTTCCATGGAAACACAGTTTGCCTAGTTTTGAGTGGAGGGAGCTGTCAACTTTCTGTGTATAATTTACCCTTAACTCTAAAACCTCAGCATGGTAGGTCTTTCATACTCCTTTTTGTTAATATCCAGCCTCCATTTGCTCCTGGAACTGATGCTCTTACAAGAAAGAGAGAAGCAAACAGCCTGCACACCTTACAGAAGGTAACTCCCAAAAGGAGTGGTCAGGTCAGTGTTACTGCTGGTTGTCAGTGGGAAAGGTCATGAAGACAACAGCAAGAGCTGGGGACCAGCTCAGCCACTACCCTTCGTCTGGCAAATGCTTTTTGGCAGTGAAGCTAAGCAAATCCTATGGATTTGGATATGGATTAATGGAATTTAAGCATATATTTGAAGTTAAATGTGAGCTTAAGTGCTGGAACTGGAAAATATTGTGCCTGTTGCATAATAACTTCTAAGGAATATGAAGCAGAGCAGTGATGAAATGTTGATCCACATGACAAAGCTGGGGAAAAGTTAGATGAACTTCCTGCTCAAGTTAGGAAAACAGAAAAATGCAAAAAAAAAACCCACAAACCTACAACCTCTCTAACAATTGCTAAGCCAGAGTTTTCCCAGTGTTGTCACGTGCACTTGGAATTTCAGGATACTTTTAAGCAACGTGATGGAGATTCAAGCAATTCTTGGAGAGTTTGTTGCAGCAGGCAGTTCCCTGGCACTTGGACTGGAGTGAGAGGACAAGCAGTGAGCAGGCAGAGGCTGACAGCAAGAACTCACCCTTCCTGGAGATGCGAAGGAGGCAGAGGAGAACCAAGCCAAGCTCTCTCATGCTGCTCGATGTTCTCCCCTGGGAGGCATCAGCAAACCAGAACCATCTCGTTATGTCTGAGCTGCTGGTCTTGCAGTCACAAAAGGTTTTTCCAGGGGTAGAAGAAGTTGTGGTTTTCTTCTGCTTGGAGGGAATGAGTTGTTTAGCTGAACCAGCTCTGGGTTCAGATATTAATAGTTCTGTGGTCAGTCATATGAAAATTACACCAGAAGGAACCACAGTATTAACAATTTTCCAGCTAAAGGGAGGGAATTGCAGACTGGAGCTGCAAACATCCACGCTGTGTGTGATGGGGCAAGAGGGGATGGCTTTTGCTTCCCACTCACCAGCCTAGAGGAAATCCTTGCAGTCTGCCTGAGGTTGTGACAAGCAAGACTCTTACTGTCCTAGCTTAAGGCAGCTCCTTCTCCTGAACCTGCAGCCTTCAAACCAGCTGTGTTTTACCCCTTGCGCTTACTGGATGTTGTCATCCCTATGTATAGGCAAAAAACCCAAACCACTCTTCTTTTGAAGGCACTTGTGCCAAGGTTCACTGGTGGATCAGTGGTTTGGTGTCCCCTGGCACCCTGCTCTGCCCACACTTACATGACCCCGATGAGCAGTGAGTTGCTCCATCCCTTGAAATAAGATCAATTCTACCTTTTTTCCCAGGATCCTTGTGCAAATGCTTACTGTTTTCCTTCTGGGTTTAGCTGTAGCAGATTTACTGTGCAGCTTGCCCATCTGCAGAGCTCCGGGGCCTGTGTGGAGCTGATCATGTTTTCCCCTTTGTCATCTCCCTTAAACCTGGCCTGGTGGAAGGTGTCCCTGCCCATGGTGGGACTGGATGATGTTTCAGGCGCATCCCATCCCGCAGCATTCCGTGATTCCCGCTGGAGGGCTCCCAGAGCCAGGATAAGATGTTGTGGAGTCGCTGCTGCCACTTTCCCTGTGCCCAGAGCCAGCGTCCACGCTCAGGAGGAATGTCAGGGCTCCCCTTGGTGCTTCACCCCTGCTCCCTTCTGAACTGGAGGAAAATCTCCTAGAAGGGGAGTGTGAAGTGTGTTCGCTGCTTTCTGATCTCTGTCTTCCTTCTGTTTGCAGTGTTTGTGAAGAGAGAGATTTCTGTTTTCCTCAGGCTTTTTGGAGGAGGCTCTGAGTGTATCCAGCTCTTATTCATGGTTGTTTGGACCTATTGCTATTCAGCCAACGGTGTTAGTTTTTCAAATACCAATTTAGATGCCTGCCCTGTCCCCTCTGCATATCATCCTTGAGCAGGATCATCAGGACCAGTCGTCTGATTACTTTGCAAACTGTCCTTAGCAGCTGTAAAACATAATTCATGCCACCAGCAACTGAGAAACCCGAGGGTAAGGCTGGTGTAAGTACCAAGTAAGAGATGTGTAATCCCTGCCACATCTGTGATATGTGCCTTTTCCGTGTACCTCCCCCTTCTTCCCCGATGTGCAGTTTGATTTTGTCTGTTTGTGATGTAAAGTTTTTGGTAGTGTGACTCTTTTTAAGCACTTCACCACTCATGGCACAGTGGGACTCAGTGGATTGAAGTAAAAGATTAAAGTGAAATCCATGTTAAAAACATCTTGTTACAGTGAAGCATAAATGATTCATGTAAAGAATAGCTGCAGTTAACACCAGTAGGATCCTCTTCCTCTTTAATGTTTTACTGCAGGATCTTCTAGAGAAGTATCTGGTAAATCAGAGCAGAACTACAAATCTTTCGAGTTTTATCTGTGAACTGATTTTCTTCTTGGACCATGGCTATTGGAATGAAGAATTTTAGTGTTTAAAATACAGAGTTGATAATATATAGCTGAAAAGATTTGCAACTATTTGAATCAGACAAAAATTTTGTCAACAAAATCACCCATGGCTATATGATCCACAGACTGTGACTTTTTTTCCCTGGTCTATGCTTAAATAATATGTAAGATTTCAGTGTGGAAGCACATTTCTGGTCCAATACCAAAACCAGGATGCCATCTGTATTTATCAAATACTGGTTTTAGTACTAGTAAATACAGAGGCTGTAAATAATTACATTTCTCCTGTCTCCCTAAGAAATTCCTCCAGTATTTTTTGATGAATGATTGAGGGATTGCCCCAGGGAATATTTAGATTGGATATTAGGGAAAGTTTCTTCACAAGAAGGCTGCCCATGGTAAGGGTGGAGTCCCCATTCCTGGAGGGATTTGAAAGCCATGGCTGTGGCACTTGGGGACATGGGTCAGTGGTGGCCTGGGCAGTGCTGGGGGAATGTTTGAACTGGATGGTTTTACAGAGCTTTTCATTCTAAAGGGTTCCATGGCTCTGTGGTTGCGTGGTGATGATCTGCAGCCAAGTGTGGCTGGAGATGCGCACAGCAGAGGTCATCCCTCCTGGTCCCAGGTTTGTCCCTAAGGACTGAAGCAAAGAATTATTTGTGTAGCTGTACCTGTGCTGACAATTCATCCACTTATTCAGGGACCAGAGTGAAGAGACAGGTGTTCCCCTTCCCACCCTTCAGGTTTTAGTTTCAGCTCCAAGGTTTTCTACTTCAGTTCCTTCAGCATCATGTGTGTTTCTAGTCCTCTGAGAGTGCCAGCCTGCACACATTCAAAGCAAAAGCCTCATGTTTTGTCACATCTGGCACTCCTCCCTGAAGGGATTGGCTCTGTGAAGGACTGGGAAGTGAAGCTGGGAGGACAGAGGGGTTTTCCTTCTGTCTCGTCACTGTCCACAGCACAAAATGGAGCCATGCCCCCCTTCCTGTGGAGCTGCTGTGGGCTGCCCCTCTTCCCTCTGCATCCACTTCATCCTCACCAAGCAACAGGCAGGAAAAAAAAAAATTATGGGTAAACCTACAGAGCAGGGAAAGTAGAAAGGGATGGAGGGTGTCATAAGCAGGCACTATTATTTTTGGTGACACTGACCCTGTTTCCTGGCTTTGAGTTGCAGAACAATGTCACTGCTGCCTCAAGCTCCTGCTGATCTGGTTTGAAAGTCTGCAGGTTCAGTCACTTGCCTGTGGTGTTTGCTCATCCCCTCACCAATGCTCCTGACCCGGGAAGTTCTCCTGGCTGCCACCCCACTGCTCCAAGTCTGGGGCTGTTCCATCACCAAAGCTGTGCTGGCAGGCTGATGGAGCTGGAACATGGGTGCTGGGGAACCCCTGCTGCCTCTGGTGAGCAAATTAAGTGTTGAATTGGGGAATTTGCACCTAGTGGGCAATTATTGCATGAAAAACAGCTTTGAAAATTAAAAGCTAAATCAATTTAATTTAAAAATAAATTTTAATTAAATAAATTGAATTTAATATAATTTAAAAATTAATAAGTTAATATTATTTATATTATACAATTAATTTATAATAAGAAGATATACATTGTTATATATTATATATAATAATAAAATTTATAATATAATTAATGTAATTCAAGTTTGATTAATTCAACATAATATCATTTATAAAATAATTTATGAAAATAATATAATATAATATAATATAATATAATATAATATAATATAATATAATATAATATATAACAATTAATGTATTAAATAATTAAATAACTATAATTTTAATAAAATTAATTTATATTAATTTTAAATTGAAAAACAGCTTTTAAAATTACTGCATGAAAAACAGTGTTATGGGCAGAGCACGGCAGGTAGAAAAAAGGCAGAAGAAGTCTCTCTCCAAGTTGTTTGTTGACTGCAGTCACAACCATTGAGGTGGAGGAACTTCTCTGATCTCCCAAACTTACACATTTCTGCCCCTGCTGCTGCTGTTCACACCCTCTGCCCTGCTCTGGGCGTGGAACACCTGTGGACAGGCAGTGCTGTGGTGGTCTCTGCTTTGCCCCCACCAAGGCAGGTCAAAGCCATTGAGGGGATGATCCTGGGGCTAGGACCACAATGTTGGTGCTCACTCCCCCAGACTGGTCTTGGTCCCAAGCCCAGTCAAAGGTGTAGATGCCCCTGCTCTAAGCCCAGCTTTGTGCTGGCAAACCTGATGTGGCCACTCGTTCATGTCAGCCTTTGACTCATGAGGTCAAGTATCAACTTGTCTCAATGACAGCTGTGGAATGTTTTAGGAGTGCCAACCCTCCTCGGAACCATGTCAGCTCACCAGCCACTGAGTGTCCTCTCCTGGCCTGGCCATTCTGTCACCCAAACCAGCACAGAGTGTCTGGCCTGATCTCTGTGTGAGGAGGCTGGGACTAGTCTGAGCCAGGGCCTGAGCCAGCTGGCAGGACAGAGACACTGTGCATCACTTTGGACTAATCCAAATGATGTGTCTGATCAAAGGCACTTGAAATGGCACCAGAAAAGAGGTCCCTGCCTACCCTTCCTACTGAAAGTGAGCCTTTGGAGATTTATGTGCTCTGTCTCTTCCTGCTGAATGGGCACAGCTGGTGATTTAAGAGATTTATGCTCCTCTAGTTGTAGATTTCATAGCCCTTCTTTGGGATGAGAGCTGCTCTCCTTTGGGAAGGAGTGTGGGCTGCTTTTTTCCACCAGGCCACACAATATCTGAAGCACCTCCTGATTTTTCCCTTGACAGAACACTCTTGGCCAGTGAAGGGATGTATATGATCCATAATCTGAGCTTTGCTGCCTCACTTTGCAGGCTCCAAACAGATTCAAAAGCACTCAGAATGAGATCTGTGGTAATGAATGTGACACCTCTCTAGCATGTGCCTCTGGAGAATAACTCTACACCTCTTGTTGTTACTCACTCACCCACACCCTGCCTTGCCTGAGATCCTGTGCCCTTTAGAGTGGCATTTATTGTGGCATCTTCTCTGGGAAATGTTCCATCCTGTTGTCCTTTGTCCTTCTTAAGCTGTAATAGTGTTTTCACTGATTTAAATGAAAAGTTTAACCAGAATGCTGTAATAGTTTTTATTTGTTTGTTTTTTGTTTGTGGGATTTTTTGTTGGGTTTGGTTGGCTGGGTTTTTTTTGTTTTTTTTTTTTCAGATCCTTGGTGGTTAGACCTGGACTGTTTAGCAATTTCTCCCTGCTGGTGAACTTCAGATGAATTTCTCCACTTGTCATTACCTGTTGCTGTGTGGCTCTAGAAGTGCTTTGGCTGCTCCTCAACATCTGTAAGCATCATCCACAGGTTTCTCACATTGCAGTGGCACCTCTCTATCATCTACTCTTAAACGTGGCCCAACATGAGTTTGAAACTAAT